TGTAGTTCCACTTGTTCAATTTTGCTTTTGTTTTTGGTGTCAGATTCAAAACATCATTGCCAAGATATATGTCAAGGACCACCTATTTTCTTCTAGAAGCTTTAAGGTTTCAGGTCTTATATTCAAGACTTTAATCCATTTTAAGTTAACTTTTGTTAACTAAAGGGAGTTGTATATAAGACAGCGATCCAGTTTCATTCTTTTACACATGACTGTCCAATTTGCCCAATGCCATTTATTGAAGGGACAATCCTTTCCCCATTATACATTCTTGCCTCAATATTTTGTCATAAATTAATTGACCATATAAGCCTGTGTTTATTTCTGGCTTCTCTACCCTCTTCCACTGATCTATGTGTCTGTTTTATATCAATACCACTACTATTTTAATTCTATAGCTTTGTAATATAGTATAAAATCAGGAAACATGACATTTCTAGCTTCCTTCTCCTTTCTCAAGATTGCTTTGGCTAATCAAGGTCTTTTTGTCTTTTCAATTTTTTTAATTAATGTCTTATAGTTTTCAAAATATAGTTCATTCACTTCCTTGATTAGATTTATTATTTTTGTTGCAGTCATAAATGGGATTGTTTTCTTAATTTCTCTTTCTGATAGTTCATTATTAATGTAAAGTAAGGTGGCAGACTTTTGTGCATTAACTTTGTATCCTGTAACTTTACTGAATTTATTAGTTCTAATAGTCTTTCTATGGAATCTTTAGAGTTTTCTATATATAATAGTATCTGCAAATAATGACACTTTTACTTCTTCTTTGGATGTATGATGTTAACGGAGTTTGTCATATACTGTCTTTATTATGTTGAGGTACACTCCCTCTATGCCCACTTTGCTGAGAGTTTTTAATCATAAATGGATGCGGGGTTTTGTCAAATGCTTTTTCTGCATCTACTGAGATGATCATATGATGTTTATCCATCATTTTGTTAATGCAGTATATCACACTGACTCATTTGTGAATGTTTAAAACATCTTTGCACCCTGGAATAAAACCCACTTAATCATGATGTATCATCCTTTTAATGTATTGTCATACATACTTTTATTTTTTATTTTTACTATGTCTTCTCCCCCATCTAGAATGCTAGAATTGTAGCCACCATCAAGGCAGAGACTTAGCTTTGTTTATTGTTCTATTCCTAGCACCTATGCTTTCTGTGTAATAAACATTCAATAAATATTTATGAATGAATGAATCTACATGGGAACACTAAACTACAGTGTATCCATCCTAAGGGGTTGTGTGCAGTTATTAGAAAAACAAGGAATTTTTAATGATAAGAGAGAAAGCATGTGCAAAAAAGTAAGTGGGAAAAAAAGGAGAAACTAACCCAGCCATAAAAATAAGCTCACAGTGAGGAAGAAATAAAGAAACCTAAAAGGAAATATTCTGAGTTACATACAATGGCATTTGGGTTGTATATGTTGGCCCTTTGTTTCTGCTGGTTGTGAAGAAGCCTAGAAGGATTGCGATAGGTCTTCTAGTTTGGGCAACGCAGAGCCTTGATCAACTGTAAAAAAGCAAAACTGAATGGGCTCCTCTTCACCAACGAGAGAAAGTCACAGAGAAGTCAAGGACAGCTGAACATTTATTCCACATCCATGAGGCCATCCTGAGGGTAAAAGTTTGAGTTTACAATGAGGGAGAAAACTCATTTTTTGTCTCCTTTAATATCCTTTACCATCATTTCAAGGACTTTCAGCTCATCTTTTCATTTCAGGCTCATCTAAGTCTGATCTGAAACTCAAAGGAGTCCACAAACTTCTGTAATATATCTAGCTCTCAAGAGATAACTCAGGATCAAAAGAATCCTCATGAGTGTCCCTCTCAGCAATATACCAGTCTTCTGGCATCTCTTTTATGAGCTAAAAGTGAAAACTTGTGAAATGTGTTGGAAAAGGATGATGAGAAAGCCAATTCACCCATTAAATATGAATACTTACTTTATATTAAAGATACAAAGGGTTAAAAGACACCACCTGAGTTTGGAAAGCTTGCAATTTTATTCAAGTTAGTAAAACATATAGAAATAAGGTAGAAATACCATACCACAATACCATGATTGCCAGTTAACAAGACATAAAGACAAGAGCAGCAGTAATTCTGATAAGAAGGAAGGGAGGGAGTTAGAGACAAGCCTTTCCAACAAGTTGGAATATGAGCTGACCCTAAAGGATGTCTGGAATTTAGATAAGCAGAGAAGAATAGGTGAGAACATTCCAATAGGCCAGGGAAAACCAGGATGGGTAAGCAACACAGAATATCTGAGATCAGGGACAGGTTCTTTTCTCCAGGACATTTTGAATAAAGCGTTTGCAGCAGAATTATAGCAACATATTAATTCTATCCAGGTAAATCTTTGTTCAACTGGCAACATTAAAAAAAATGTTTTTCATTTTCAACTTATATTTTTCTTACAGACTGTTTCTTTTCCTTGAACAATTTAAAATGAAGGTTAGAGTTATTGATTGGCTTTGTATTGTTTTGTTTTGTTTACACCAATTATAACTTCTGCCTTTGGGAGCCATAATTTCTCTCAAATCCAATATTCCCAGGTCATTTTTGCAGATAAAAAAATTTATCAACGAGATTTTATTCTTCTGTTAATTTTTAGTGAATAACACATTTCAACTAGTGCCGATTTTAGCCATAGCCAATTTTTCCCTCTTGATTACGAAATCTAATTTTTCCAGAATAAACTTATAGTTTTCAATATTATCAGCCATTTGTATTTTTATCAATTACTTTGATCTATAATAAATTTTCCTATGAGATTTCAGCCACTGTCTATTTTATGTTGTAGTAAATATTTCTACCAATATCATTTATTATGAATTAATTTTAAAAGTCTAATAATTTGCAACTATATCCTAGCTAAAGCATGATAGTTTATGGGCTGTTCTCCTCAGATATTCTGTAAATTTCTCTATTATCCAGATTGTAATGCAAGTGTATTGTACCGAAAATTCAATTCTTCTATATGTTTCTTTGTGCTTTCCAAAATAAAGTTTCTGTATTACTTTGGCAGAGCAAGAGTCGTAGTTACAAGAAACAGAAACTGACTCTGGCTGACTTAAAAGAAAAACATTTATTAAAAGGTTATGGAGATAAGTCACAGAATCCTTGGGGGGGGCTTGAGAACCGAACGCAGAGGCTATGGAGCAGGGAACCCCTGCTAGAAGCAGACAGCAGAACCAAGCCCCCAGTCTGCCTGCCCCGGCTGCCGGAGACACCAGGCTCCAGGCTTGCTCTCCTGGCTCCCCTGGCCCTGGACGCTGCATTCTGGGAGCAGACCAACTCCACTTGCCACCATGACCAGGGGTGACTCACCGGGGACCCTGTTTCTTTGCTTCCTTCTCTCTCGATTAGAAGCCTGTGGTGGGTGCGTCTGAGTGGTGGGGGCTCGGGTCACTGCCTGCCTTCGTATTGCATGAGATCTTAGGGAAGCAAATTGAACATGGCTCCTCGTCTGAAGATAAAGGTAGGGGAACTCCCCAACAGGGGAAGCGGCATCATATGGTGGGCCAACAAAAAGAATGATCAATGCCCATTAAAAAGTCCGGAGATCAGAGGGAAAATAGTCTGCCTTGTTCAGTGGATACTAGATGTGATAGAGTGGCCATGACTCCCGGACCTTTACCTGGGGGCTGTTCACCACAGAACAAACACACTGACCTCTTTGTGAACCTCACCACACAGCCTGTCATCGCTGCAAGTTCTCAGGCAGTGGACAAATTTAAAAATGAACTAAATGACCCAAAGCGAAAATGATCCATGTTCTGCTTCCACAGTAGTTTTTAGCAAATGTTATTAGTATGATCAAAGTGTTCTTTGTATCTAGTGAACATTCTGTATGCTGCAACTAAATAACACATCGAATACTTTCATTAGATCTGTTGTGAGAAGACTTGAAGCTTTCTGATTTAAATGGGCAACTGCAAAGAATGACTGGCTTTAAATTAGTGTTTCCCTGAAGTGATTTTTTAATAGTTCTCATTTAGGTGCTTATTATTTTGTATGGTTGCTGAAAATCATACAGCTTGAATTAACATTATATTATCATTTGTATTTAATTTTAAGGACAATTTCGTAGTAAATGTAATCGTAAGTATTTTATGTAGAAAATAGATATGGCAAATAAAAAATCTATATTAGCTAATTCCTATAATATTAATAGCACACAAATCACAGAGTCATTTGTATATGATCCAAAGATCATGGAATGCTAAACTTTAGGACATAAAGATCTTCATGGTCCTCTTTGCAATATGATTGAAACCGCTGTTCCAAAACTGACTCCAAAAAACAAAATATTTTATAGTTGTCATTAAGGACAGTATTTTTTGTATTAATAGCTTTCTTAACAACTTGTGTCTTGGGTGCTGGCTCCTTCTTTATGTGTAGAGTTATTTAGTCATTTCCTTTGTCCTGCTTGGGATAACCTGCAGTTCACTTGACTCCCTGAGCACACTTGTTCTCCTCCTTCAGGTCTTTGAATGTACATGTTTTTTTTTTTTCCTGTCTAACTAAAATGTTGCTCTTAGAGCCCAGACTGAAGGGTGGGAAATGGCCTAAGGGACCTCAGGGCAAAGAATTACAGTTTCATTTCCAGACTCCTTAGTCTTTCTAAGCTTTTCAAATGCTCAGAGGTTCACCACAGAATTCTGCTCAAGGTTAGACTGTTGGTATGGAGATTGTCTCAACCTAAACCAAATGGCTCTTAGAACCAAAATTAGAATACAGGAGAGTATTAATTTGATACTTTATGGGCCGTTCTCCTCAGATATCCTGTAAATTTCTCTATTATCCAGATTGTAATGCAAGTGTATTGTACAGTTCTTCTATACGTTTCTTTGTCCAGTGTTAACTTGGAGTCACAGACCACCACACCACAACACCTATCACTCTACTAGGTTTTCTTTCAGTGACCACTTAATGGGAGGAGTGTTTATCTCAACCCTGCATGTCCCAAACAGAGCTATTAATCAAACCCATCTCCATACCCACTGTGAGTGAGGCAGGCATAGTTCAGGCCTTCAGGCTTGCCAGGAGGGCAGTAAGCCACTTGTTTTTCTTGGCAGATAGCTTTGTCTGCGTGTGGTTCCTTCTCTTCTTTCCTCAGACCACAAGATTCAGATTCCTTAGAGCCTAGAGGACCCTCAGAATTGGCTTTACCTTGTCTGCATTCTGTAGCAAGTACCATGTAGTGTAACCCTTCTTGGTTCTTGGTTTCCATTAAAGCAACTGACGTAACGTCATCTGAATTCAAACAAATTGGATGGCCATCTTCATCTGTGAAAAAAAAAGCAAACATTATTCTAGCATCTACTTGGTTTCCTGTATTTGTAATATCCAGGCTCTATGAAAATTAGAAAAACACCAGCCTTGCTCATTGGTTCAGTAAGCATTTATGATGACCACTGAGGGAACACAAAGATAAAAGACATGTTCCCTGTCCTTGATACTACTGCAGTCTAGTTACAAGAGCAGAAGTAATAAAATGTGATGGAAGGTTACGTGTGCTTATGTAAGAAAGGAATACATGAAGCAGTAAGAGCATAGAGGTAACTCTGCCATAACAGGTGACAGAGGTCTGGTCTGTGTGACAGAAATTAAGTGGCCCTAGGATGGCCCTTTTTGTATAGAGCTTACCCTTTCATCTTGCCACATCGGCTAAAATATCCACCTTTAAAGATGTACTTTTTTAGATCAAGGAAGTCAATCATTTATTAAGCTAATATTTATTGCCTGCATACTGCATACCAGGCTGCGTGCTAGATATTGATGTTACAACAGGGCATGAAACACATTTGTTGCTGTTTGGGGTTTACACTCTAATGGGGGGATACAGACAATAAACTAGTGGACAACTAAATCTATGTCAGGTGGCAATAAACACTGATATGAAATATAATCATAATAATTGTTATTAATACTTACAGAGTACTAATTACATACCTGGCACTATTCTAAGCTATATGCATATATTAACTCATTCTTCCCCTATTAAGTACTGGTACTATCTCCATTCAACACAGGAGGAAATTGAGGGCAGAGAAGCTTAATACTTTGCCCAAGGTCACACAACTAGAATCTGAACCCAAACTATCTGGCTCGAGTCTCTCCTCACATTGACCTCCCCAAGCAGAGAGGAGCTGCCGTGCTGTGTGCAGAGGAGGTGGTGGGCAGCATGCCCTACAGGAGTCCTTGAGAGGGGCTGACTCCAGACTCACATGGGCGAGGTGGGGGTGCCTGCAGAAAAACGGATAGTCAGAGGGAAATCTGACCTTCTTCACAACTGTGCTCATATTATTTTCTTTCTCTACTTAAAGGCTGACCTTCTTACTTAGAAACATATAAGAATTCTATTGAAACCTAATAGCAGAGCTTCTGAAACATTCCACAAAATTCTAGGGAATCTACAAGATAAACACATAGGAATTATTTGTTTTTTATCCATGTTTTCCAATCCCTGAGTGTTACTGCCTGGATGAAAAGTTTACAGTCAGAAATGTAACTGTCCTTTCACATAGCATCACATTTAACAAATCAGAAACATTTCAGTCAATAGATGAAGGTCTCTCCCTTTCTCCTAATGATACTTGCAGCACAAGAGCGTCCAAATGTGTGGGTGAGACCAGTCTGGCTGCCAAGCTTCTGTGCATACCTCAGGCTCGATTTATTTGGAATGTATTTAAATTGAAATATCGGAAAAATTTAAAGAATCTCAAAGGATGAAGCGAGTCACCATTGCACCTATTTATTCCCTGATGGAATTTAATGGATCTACCTATTAACCAGGGCTTCCCCAGTGGTTCAGCGATAAAGAATCTGCCTGCAATACAGGAGACACAGGAGACATGGTTTTGATCCCTGGGTGAGGAAGATCCCCTGGAGGAGGGCATGGCAACCCACTCCAGTATTTTTGCCTGGAGAATCCCCGTGGACAGAGGAGCCTGGTGGGCTAACAGTCCATGGGGTCCCAAAGAGTCAGACATGACTCAGTGACTTAGCATGCATGCACACACCTATTACCAAGTTCCAAATCTGAACTACAAAGCTTATTTTATTATAAAAACATATGAATCACTGTTCTTGCTCTGTCTTAGTAGGTGTTTACTTCGTCTTTCAGGCCCTCCCCCACTGCTGAATAACACAGAGGCCAGGCTGCAGGCTCTTTGGTATCACCCCATGTTCCTCTTCATTATTCCAATATCATTCTAGTATATTTCAAACCATGTGAATAGTCAGTTTTTCTAAAATATCTCCCCCATAAAAATAAGCTTATCAGATGCTGAGTTTGGTTAGTGCCTCTGTGCTGAATATATATGGAAGGCTCCAACTGTTATGATTATTGTCAATATGTACTGATAGCCATTGAGAAATGCATAAGAATAACTTGCTATGCATGAAAATAGCAATAAAAATATCAAAAAATGATAGGAAGAAATAGGATTAAACTGCCCAGTGGCCCAGATTATTGAGAAAATTAGGATGATATTCCTGAAGGGCTTAAAGAAATTAGGCTAAAGAAGTTTAAATTTCAACAAAAACATATGCTTATAACATAGGTCTAGGTACTCACATTATCAGCTGCTTCACTGCCATACCTTTGGCTCATTAAATAGTATATTGGGAAACATGATTTAATGTTTTTGCCTACATTGGAAAAAAATTCTTTTCCATAAGGCAAATAAATTCTATTTTTACAAATTCTGCTGCAATATGTCAAAGAAAAATCATTAGCTCACTATTTCATCGCTTCATAGTACTTAGGACAATATTTAGTAACTTGACACTGGCAAGCTTTCAGCAATGAGTACATCTTCTTATTGCATAAGGAATTTATGAGAGAAAGGGTGGGTAGTTTATTTTGATTTTAAAACTACTAAATAGAAAACTTGCAGGTCCTTAGAGCAGAGATCCTGAGCAAAGACAGCATGCACTTGGCAACCCTTGGTTTAAGAGGGAAATATTAAAATAAAGACTTCCAAGTAAGACAGGGTATTTACAGACGAGACATATGCCGGCTGACTGGCTATGTTTAGAACAGCAGAGGAGCATTTAGATTTGTTTCCTGTAGAACTCTCTGGGACTGATGAGGTGATGTTTACACAAATGTTTGGATGAAGTCACTAGGATATTTTTACTAGATGCCCAGATATGTTACTAATCTTCTCTCTATCCCCTCTCCACCCCATTAGGTCAGTAGGACCATAGCATAGGCATGGTATTATTGCTCCCTTAATCCTAATGCCCCTCCTTTTTTTTTTTTTTCTCAAGAAAGTCCTCCTAGTGGCTTTACTTGTCTTCTTATATATCTCTGGCAATAACAAAGACGACTTCTTACTGCTTTGTTAAATACATCCACCAGTCTGCAAAACAGCAAACTATTATTAAACACATTCTTTTACTTAAAAGTTAATAAAGTGTAAGCTTGCCTTAAAGTGACTGTTCTATGATTTCTATCCTTTGCAAATATTCAACCTCTGCTTTTCATTCTATTTCTTCTCATTTTTCTGTCACTTTTGTTTGGTCACATGCCAATTATCAAAAACAGTGATCCCCATATATCTTTCCATTCCTTGTGGTCACGATTTACATTTGTTGTAGATTTCAGAATGTGAATTTCTCATTACCAAAATCATGTATCTGTCATGGCACAGACTTGTTTCTAAAAAACTATTAGAGTTTGATTATATTCCCTGTTAACCTCTTCCAGTATCCTTATTCTGCCTCATTATGTCTGCTTCTCTATTTTTAAAAAATATCCTTTAGAATTTTAATTCAGTCTGTCAACAACTTGGCGCCTCAATAAATTAGATATAACCAGGACAGATTTTTTAGCAGGCCAAAAGTAGCAAATTCTTTCACTACCCCTAGCTATGCAGAACACTAAAGATAACAAAGTTTCCTTGCCTTAGCTGCCACTCTGAAGTCTGAGAGTAAAGGCTCAAGAATAGAGTTCTGCTCCAGCCCCATTCAGCAGGATGACCATGGGCAAGTTACCAACCTCAGTCTTTTCATTTGTAAAATGGTAATATTATAATGCCCACTTCATAGGGCTATTGTAAGGATTTAATGAGTTAAATAGCACAAGTGGTATATTCAGAAGTGCTGAAATAAAGTTATATAGTATTGCAATTAAAAGCCATTCATTAAAAGGGATTTGTCCTTAATAGATACTGTGAACAGTTTGGTATTACTTCAGCTTCATAGATGAACTAGGTAATGCTACATGGTACAAAGATTTCTGTAAGGGTTCATAGAGACATCTGGTAGACCCTAAGGTAAAGCTAAGCTCTCAGGTCTTCTAACACCCATCATGGCAGCCTTTGCTTTTTTTTTTCAAATGTCTGTACACATTAGAAGAAAGGCTTCTGTGAGCAGAGCTGAATTTTGAAATATAACACAAGTCAACTGTAAATTCCTCATACCCCCACAGAACTCTTATTCTCTGCAGTGTTTGACCACTCCTGACTCTGAGTCTCTCTCTTTTCGATTTCCATGACATCCTTCCTCTTCCCATTCTGACTTCTCTGAGTGCCCACCAAGAAAAGTCAGTCAGTCTTCTGTCTCCTACCACTGACACTCTGAGAATCATCAGCTCAGCTTCATGATGAGATAGCAGATAGCGCCAATGTGAGATTATTAACAAGGCTTATTCTGAGGAGGATCGGGATGTATGCTCAAAGCACATCTCTTTCCAAATTGTCAGTTAGCTGTTCATGTTAAAGAAGTCTCACGATCACAGTCTTATCTCCATTCATGTCATGGATCGAAATTCACTCAAAATGTGTAGTTAGAAACACAGCAAACAAGACAAGCAGATAGTCATCCTGGGCTTCTTATTTTCCTGCTATTATTCGTCAAGTGCATCACTCAAGGTGAAGGTCCCACTGTAGAGAGATGCCTCCAGGGCAACAATCAGCCATTGTATAATCAATCAGTGCTGAGCCAAGAGGCTTAATTTCCGAGGGATTCTGAGTCATGGTCCATCTTGCCAGGTTTATTTCTAAGCAAGAATGTTTGCATTTGAAAAAAAAAAAGAAACAAGTCCTGTGAACTTTTAATTATGGGATGGAGTTTAATAACAGCTGGAAAGGATCATGTTAAAATTTATTTTTCTGCAGCCAATTAGGCAAATGTATTATAAATCTGCCTTTGGAAATGAAGTAAGTGACTAGTGTATTTTAATACCGAAATTCTGAGGTGGAATTACACTAGCCTTTATCAGGGTAGGACCCACTACAATAATCACAGCAAACTAACTAGGCAATTTGAAGTACTAGATTAGATATACACACATGGATGACTTTTAAAGACACAGTATTAATGCAAAAAGGAAGAAAAGAAGCAGTGTATAGCACTGAAGTATCCATGCATACAATACACATTTTGTAGAAAACATACAAATGAACAGAGACACATTAAATGACTACTTGACAGGTAGAGAGAGGAAATAGAACAAGAGAGGTACATGGATATAAGGGACTAAACCAACAAATGAAAGAGAAACCCTGCATAGACCAACGATGATAACGTACCATCAATTGTAATTAACAACTCTGACACTGGGGTCCAAACTGGCATGAGAAGTGGAGAATGAAGAGAACAGCCCTCATGAAAATATAGTCTAATGTGTTAATTCTCTTCCTTACTATCTTAGGTTATAAATCCAGGGGCCATATTATTATTATTATTTTCTTAATGTAAAGAACAAACCAAAATTACTTTCAAAGAGGAGGATAATAAATATTTACTTATGAGGATGGTGCCAGTATATTATTCCCCCTGTGCACTGGAAGGTATCTTCCAGGTACGTCCCATTTTGACCTTGTTCAGTTAACACTGGAGAGAAAACCCAGAAATTCTGACGAAGAATCAAACTTACCTTCAAAGCCTTCATTTATGACTCCACTGGGGTGTGCTTCTCCTCTGCATTGAGAAATGCTATTTAAGGAAAAATTTCTGAATAACTGAAGCTGTTCTTGAATTTTATGGAAGGTAGGTCTTTGGTCAGGTTCTTGAGCCCAGCACTGGGTCATTAAATTCCACCTGGATATATGAGTAAAGACATGAAAGTAAATGGTGACTGGATATCATTAGGTAGCCACTACCGATAACCCGGGTAAGGTCATTTCAGAAGGAAAAGAACTTGAGTTATTGCCAGTTTTCCATAATTAATATAACCGAACCAGAACAAAAGCTTTTGTTTCTTATTTATTTAATTTCTTGTTGTTTAGTTGCTCAGTCAAGTCTGACTCTTTTGCAACCCCACAGACTGTAGCCTGTCAGGTGCCTCTGTCACTAGGATTTCCCAGGCAGGAATACATTTCCTTCTCCAGGGGATCTTCCCAATCCAGGAGTCAAACCCCTGTCTCCTGTATTGCAGGCAGATTCTTTACCACTGAGCCACGGGTCAGGAAGATAACAGTTCCTGGCAATATAACCACCTTTATTAGAAAACTTCTCCCTTCTGAAAGGCCAACATTTAACAATTATTAATCAGATAAATATACAGTTAGAAAATGTTTACCGAACCAATAAGAAAACCAACAGCTATACAAGTTATTGAAGAAGTTGAGATTAAATTTTACATTTATACATTGATATCTGAAACAAAATCTAAGGTTCTCCAAGCCACACAGATATTTAGTGGCAGAACCAGAGGCAGAAATCAGATCCAGTTCTTCACTGTCAGGTTAATTAAGATGCTCAGTTTCCCTGGCCATAAATAGCTGGTTGTTTAATATTATTTTTTCCTTAATGATTGTCTAAGACATGTCTGTACAGAACTCTCAAAGAGCGTTCATTCATTCATTCAGCAAAGATCTGTTGGACACATTATATACAAGCAGGATATCAAGATCAAGAGACATGGCGGTATGGCTCCTGTCCTCATATGATATATAAAGCACATATAAGACGGTGGCAAAATTTACCCACTACAACTCACAGGAACAAGGGGGAAAGGTAACTCTTTTGTTAGCTTTGTAACTGATTCTCAAAGCCTCACCCAGCAGAAGAAAATTAACTTCATTTAGAACAATGCCAGTTGTAAACTAGTCTGTTCTGAAAACCACCCTTTTTAGGTAATCCTGTCTTTTATGGCTAATAACTCACTGCCTCTTATCTTCAGGCCATTCCTACTCCCTCTGTCTTCCTCTCCAAGGGGGTGTCAGGATTTGAATGAGCTGTACTGGCCCCGTGAAGGATGCTTTGGGCCCCACTGTGCCCTCCAGGCCTTCTCTAGCCTGAGTGGAATGATGAGGAATTCCATAAGGAGCGACTGGTCTGGTCCATCTTGCAGGCATCGGCTGCTATCTGTAATCCATGATCTCTTTACCTGCTCTTCTTGGTCCTTCTCACACAACTGGTCCTCCCGTTTCTCTCTCTAGCTGCAGGCCTCTCTGAGACTGCATCACATCCTACATCTGCTAACAAGGCTCAGCTTCTGCTGCCTGCCTACAGGATGCTCCCTAGCCGAAGTTCTAGCTTTCAACAAAATGTTCACTTTACACAGGGAAACAAAGGAGGCTTGGAAGTTCAAGCTACATGTTCTGTCTGGACTTGCCAGTCCATCCTACTCAGGATGCGGAGTGTCCCTGTCAATGCGGGGGGTCCCTGCTCAGGGATCCCCTTGCCATCCTGCCAGGCTGGGAGGAGCAGGCAGCTGCTCCCTGTGTCTGGGGGAGCAGACACACCTCATCTAACTGAAGCCGCCAGAGGTTTCAGGACCTAAATATCCAACATCTTCACACTCCTACCTCTGTCAAGGTTTCTTCTTCCTCCCTTTGTCCAGAGCGTAGAAGGAGTGGAGTTTCTCTTCACTTCTTCTTGCTTGTTAGATTACATAGAATTATAGGTTTAGTAGCTCAAAGTTGCCATTTAGCAAACTAACAAGGAGCTAAAAGATTCTACATAACCCGCTCTCTGCTCTAAGCATTGTTTCCAAGTCTGCTGACTCACTAAAAAGGTCAGTACCTGCTCTCTTCTTTCACTCTCTGGAGCTAGAAGGCTGATTGGGGGCAGAGAGAGAAACACTAATAAAGAAACATAAACTGGGAAGTATTTAAAAATGTTCGTACTACCATATCAACAGATAAATATATAATTAAAAATGATAAGTTCTAAGAATGGTACTATAGAAAACAAATGTGAACTCTAATTAGAGATGGAACATTTTTGGTAAGTTGTTCATAGAATAATTTCTGCAAAGGTGACGTTTAAGCCAATGAACTCTGTAGAAAAATAAGATGCTAGTCATGGGAACTGGGTGGGGATGAAAGTCAGGGAACACACTCGAAGAGGCAAAAGCATGTGTAAATTCCTAACTTTGGAAAGAACTTGGCACATTTTAGAATGAGAAGGACAGCCCATATTGGCTATAGAGCAGTCCCTGAGTGGGAGAGTGTAAGAGATGAGGCCAGAGAGGAAGGCGAGATCACAAAGGTCAAAGATCAGCCTTGGCGCTAGATTCTATGCAACACAATGGAAGCTGTCAAAGATTTTTAAGCCGGCATGATCTTTACCTTTTTAAAGGATGACTCTAGCTGATATATATGGAGAATTGATTGTAGAGGGGCAAGTTGGAAGCAAGGAAGTTATTAGAGAAGACTAGGTGAGAGGCGATAGTGGACTAAAGCAATGACTATGGAGTGAGAATACATTCAATCTCTAGGGGACAATGACCCAGAAACCATCATAGGTATTGATTGAATAGTAATATCTATATGTGGCACAAAAACTCCACTTCCATCTCTTTTATTTCTTGACAAGCACCTAAGGTCAGTGGTAATACTCAACATCAGAGTATTATAGAGAAACCTAATACTGATCTTTTTCAGTATTGATCTGATGACTTTTCATTTATATTACAATTTACATTCTGGATATAGAGTACTGAACATGGCTGTATTTTTTATAGATTGGAGTCATCACTAAGAATCTAATCTTTTACATATTGCTTTATAATCTTTGGCATTTAGCAACAGGAATGAAACAAATAACTCAAAGAAGGACAATTTGTGAAATAATATCATGTAACTGATACTTGATCATGGAACTTAAACCAATATTTAAAATAGAATCTTAATGACTAACCTAAGGGTGGACTTCTAAAGTGGTGTTACCAGTAAAGAATCCACCTGCCATTGTAGGAAACGCAAGAGATGCAGGTTCTATTCCTGGGTCATGAAGAGTCTGTGGAGTAGGAAATGACAACCCTCTCCAGTATTCTTGCTGGGAAAATTCTGTGGACAGTCTGTGGGGCCACAGAGAGCTGAGCACAACTGAGTGGCTAAGCACACAGGTGAAAGGAGAAAGTAAAGTGTAACTTGCCACCAGAAACCTAACCTCTTCTAAAACAAGGTCATAATTCTGAGATATTACCAAAGGATACGTTGAATCTCCCAAGATTTGTCATATTTCCATTATGAAGTTTTTACTTTATTTATAATCCACTTCATTCTACAAAGTATTCAAGACACTTAATGAAGATGATAGAGTGAGAAGGAAGGAGGGAGAGAGGACAGAAAGCACCCAGACAATTGCCCCTTCTCCACTCTGCACCTCACCCACTCCCACTTTCCTGCCAAAGTTTAATTTATGTAAGTTATTTAAGCAGATATTCCTAATTTTTCATCTATGGAGGCTTTAATTTACATTATTCTGCTTAACTCTCTAATGGCAAAAACAAGCAACCTGATAAATATATAAAACCTCTCTCTCCCACTGTCCAGGGTCAAATGAGTACCGATTGCCCTAGATTAAGAAAAGAGACACACTCTATAAAGCAATAGTCATTTAAAGTAAAGAGTACAACTTGTTCAGGCTTCCCAGGTGGTGTAGTGGTAAAGAACCTGCCTGCCAATGGAGGGGACACAAGAGACGTGAGTTCGATCCCTGGGTTGGGAAGATCCCCTGGAGAAGGAAATGGCAACCCACTCCAGTATTCTTGCCTGGGAAATCCTATGGACAGAGGAGCAGAGCAGGTTACAGTCCATGGGGTCTCAAAGAGTCAGACACAACTGAGCACACACATAACTTGTGCTCTTAAACAGTATTAAAATGGCAATGGAATAAATGAATAGGCTTTTAAATATTATCAGACCCCCAAAAATGCATTTCTTGCATCTTGTAAATTAACAACTATTTCTTTGGTATAGGGGTCTTTCCTTACAAATAGGGGTCTTTCCTCACTTGTCACAATTCAATATCATCCATTAAATACTTTTACCAAGTTATAGTTACAAATATTCAATCATATTAGTCTAAATAAAGTGACAGGTCCTTCAATTTTGTTAAAATTTACCTGGGCTGTTTCTACCTCTAAACAGATACTCCAATACTTGAAATATCTCATTTAGCTAAGTGTTTCACTATGAATTCTTACATTCACCATACCAACCCTTTTACTCCTCTTTGCTGCAATTTTTTCCAAAATAGCACAAAGCTCATTAACCATGTTCATGATTAGTTTTTATGAGTAAAGTTCTTAGATTCATAAAGCAGTTGAAATTCAACAGATGAAAACTGCATGGCATCTTTCAGAATTAAGGGGAGGTTAATTAATAGGGATTTAAGCAAATCACATAAAATTCAGATTTGAAAAACTCCCTTACTCATTATATGCAATCCTGGAAAGATGCAATTAACATCCAGATATTATATTATATATATATAATATATTATATTATATATTATAATATATCCCATATTCTTGGGCTTCCCGGGTGGTTCAGATGGTAAAGAATCTGCCTGCAATGCAAGAGACCCAGATTCGATCCCTGGGTCAGGAAGATCCCCTGGAGAAGGAAAAGGCCACCCACTCCAGTATTCTTGCCTGGAGAATTCCATGGACAGAGGAGCCTGGCAGGCTACAGTCCATGGGGTCCCAAAGAGTCAGACATGACAGAGCAACTAACACTTATACATAGTCTTAAAGTAAAAATAAGACGGTGAGCCTCCATGTTCTCTATTGTGACCTCCTGCATTGGAGAGACTCTCCAGTAATTTCAGTTTCCCCTGTGATACCTGTGGCGGAGAACCCCAAAGAGCTCTCACTTGATGTAGATTGCCCTTTGATCCCATTTATTCCTGAGAGTGTTAAGCTCGTTGTGCAAACTAAAAGCTGAAGGGAACACTGAGGACTGAGCTTTGCACCATACATCCCAGACTATGGAGAGAAGGGCGGGAACGCTCTGAACTCTCACATTCCATTAATAGCTAAGCACAGCATAGCCATCTACGGGCTCACCTGACCCAGAGTGCATCCAGGTGCTGAGCATTCAAGCAGTGAATAGAAGGTGCAGATCGGCTCAGCGCAGACTTTCAACCCTCTAAGCTGGGCCTGTGATCTCAGAGAGAGGCTTCAAATAAAAATCAGTTTCCTCTGTACTCTAAGGAGAGTAGTTAATCTTTATCATGACAACTTAAGGCCGTGGCCAGATGAATGGCATCGCTGAGAGCTCCATTTCCTTAGCAGGGCTTGTCTCCCTAGTCGGCCATGGATCGTCATTAACCCTTCCTGGGGATCTGAAGCAGGCAGCCTTTGGAGGGTGTGGAGCGTTGTTTGTTTTTTAATTACTGATGTTCAAATGAACTTCAAAATCAGCAATGGAAATTTTGGCTTCAAGGAAACTATACTTTCATAAAATTAGAGCAATAATATATTAAAATGAATAATTACTCAAGATAAAATCATATAGAACATTATCTTTTTTCACTCATAATCAGGAATATTTTTCTAGAACTTTTCTACCACTCCTTCTTCCTCCTCCTTCTAGTTAAATTTCTGGATACCTTTGGAGAAGGCAAAGTTCAACATAATTGCATTTTTCTTCCTTACAATAGGACAATTAATTATCTACCTTCTTCCTCCCCAAACAGAATGAACACATTAATCAAAATGTATGATTCAGTGATTCCTAGAATGCCTATCAAAAAAAAGAAATGCATAATTATGATGAGATACATTACCCCCTAGAGGGGAAGATGTGCCAAATAGAATTCTAACAGCACAAGGAAAATTTTGTGCAACTGAAATTTGGGGGAAATTTTCTGAGTATTCAATAGATGTATAAAAGGTGCAAAACAATGATTAGATTGCTAACTACTTGATACAAATGTTATTTCATATGTAGGAATGCTAGGGGTTGTTTTTTTTTCCCTCAAGCCCTAGTCTAACTTTTTAAAAATTTTGTATCAGTTTCTTACCCCTAACTTATAGAAGTTTTTCCATCTGCCCCCAAAGGATCATGAATCATATTTTTAGGCACTGCCACCAAACTCGTTCAGATATGTGTATAACTGATCCTTCTGTAAATATCCCAGAGGCTATAAAAGCTAAATCAGAAACAGACAGTGATTCCAATCTTCTTCGAGCTGGAAGACTTAAATAATACAAAAACAGTCACCCACAGAACATCCAACCAAGGTGCCCAGTTCTTAATCATCTTTTGGCTCCAGTCTGAATAATCCTCTAAATAACACAGCATAGTCAAGGCAGGACGGCCATGGTGTGTATCCGCATACTGCTAATTCCTTTTGCACTTCTCTCTACCACACAGTTTAGCACGTTATTACATGTTGGCTTATTATCCAACTGTTCCATGTGTGTGTCTGTTCTTTCAAAATACATTTGGAGATGCTAAAGAGCCATGGCTCTAGTTTAAACACCTCTGTATTCCACACAATCTGTAGCATGGTGCAGTACATACAACAGAGGAGTTTATACTTGTTGATTCTATGTTCTTTCAGAAACATCTTGGGTAAGACACCTTTTAGAAAAAGTGTCAAGACTTCCTATTTCTGCTAAAAGGTTGTTCACAAGAAGGTAGATTAGTACACAGCAAAATAACCTGGTTTGTTTTCCCTTTATAATTAGATCAAAATCACAGACTGTTCCAAGGATCAAAAATCTATTAGAATTCAGTAGTTGCCAGGACCAATTTGATAGAGTCTTTAATACTTAACACTATGTTAAGTTCATAAATAGATAACAACCTATATAGGTTGTTATATATTTTTAATAGTAGTATACCCCAATATCAGCTTTATTAACAAAAGCAATTCAGCTTTTAAACAATATATTCCTATTTAAGAGAACCTCTAAATATGCAGGTTAAGATGTTAGTCAAATCAGATGTTCCAAAATAAAATGAGTATGTTTGTGACACATACACAAACACACAAAGAGCTTTTGTTTACTTATTAGAATTCACTTAACCAAGAGTATAAACATATTCTGTTCTTCTAGATTTTGCTTCTGAAGTAAAGTATTATGTGTGTATATGTATATAAATAAAAAGAAATTATCATATATTTAGTGAGTTAAATGTCACAATTTACATTTTAAATAGGATATACAAATACATGAACTCCAGTTTTTATTTAAAAATACCATACCAATGAGGCATAAGAATGCATGTCCATGTGTTTTTGTTCTTGAGATGCTTATGGGAACATAATTAACTTACAGATCATCAGGACAATTTCTTGGTGGCTCCAGTCTCCCTCCTGTTTGCACATAGTTTAAAACATCAAGGTTGGAATGAGCTGGGTAAGGCTGATGACCAAGAGTTAAAATTTCCCAAATCAGAATTCCAAAAGACCTAAGGATATTAAACAATTTGCTTTAATTATACTTATTAAAAACATCATGTTTACAGTAGTTTTTCCAACATAATTATTCCTGGGGCTATCAAGAGTCTACTCTGTGATTGGCATTATTGGTCCCATAAAAGGCAGATGGGAGACTTAAAAGCAAGTCAACCTCAAGAAAAAGTAGAACAAGCAACTGCCTACTAGCAACACTTCAAAGGTGATAGGAAGGCTTAGCAGGAGCGCGCGCACACACACACACACACACACACACACACACACACACTTTGCTCTTCCTCCCTGGCTGAACCTGCACTGCACAGCTCCATTACCTATGGCTTTCATAGCTTCATTGTGTAAACACACTAGGGGTGAGCAGGAAAGCTTTTCATCCACGTGAGTTTGAGTGCTAGCAAACGTGGAGAGGCAAGGCATGAATAAAAAGTGGCAACACTGAGGGTCAACTTTATCTTATCCCCAATTTTGCAGAGGTCCAGTCCAGCTTAAAAGTTATTGGAGGGCTTCCCTAGTGAAGAATCTGTCTGCCAATGCAAGTGACATGGGTTTGATTCCTGGTCCAGAAAGATCCCACATGCCTCAGGGTAACTAAGCCCGTGTGCCACAACTACTGAGTCTGTGCTCTTGAGTCCGGGAGCCACAACTGCTGAGCCCACAAGCCACAACTACTGAAGCCCGAGGGCCCTAGAGCCTGTGCTCCGCAACAAGAGAAACCACGGCAATGAGAAGCCCGCTCACCACAACGAGGTAGCAGCCCCCGTTCCAGTAGCCCCCGCTCACCGCATCTAGAGAAAAGCCCAAGCATTAACGAAGACCCAGCATAGCCAAATAAATAAATAAATAAAATTACTTTTTAAGTTACTGGATACATCTTTACATTTTGAGCAGCTCTAATCAAAAGTTTGGGGTCAACAAGCAAAAATGAAGAGTTCTATTCAAATAATAAAGAGCTGTCCAAACCTTCCTCATGTCCTAATCTTTTTGAGATCCATGATTTAAATTCTGCTTATAAATTAATGACCAAACATCCCAAAATAGTAGGCATTTGGACACAAACTTGGACACTAATTCATAGATGCCAATTCCTATTAGTCATAGCCTCTACATTTTTGAAGAGTAATAAGATAGTTGAAGTAAATGGATCTCTTGAACATACACCAGTAAGCTAAAGGATCAAAAAGAATTGGTATAAACTGCTGAGACCCAGGACTAGCCTCTTCTTGCCCTCTAGCTTTCACTTTAGCTTGAGGAAAATCACTCAACCGCTATGGTCTTGTGTTTTCTCACATACGAAACAAGATGACCTTTTGAGGTCCCTTCTGGCTCTGATATTTGATGGTGCTGCCCACGTTTCTCTGTGTCCCGTAAGCTCACCATACATCAGACTGAGTAGTGAAGATTCCATCCATCAAACTTTCTGGAGCCATCCACCGAACAGGGAGCAGACCTTCTCCTCTCTTCCTATAGTAATCGTTTTTATAGATATCCCTCGCAAGTCCAAAGTCCCCAATTTTCACTATCCGTGATGGACTGGTATAGTCTTTCATGGAGACAAGGCAATTCCGAGCTGCCAGATCCCTATAGCAGAAGTTATATTTAATAATAATAATAATAATAACAATAAAGTTCCAGAGATCATACAAGCAACACTAGTAGGTCTGGAGAGAAGAGAGATTTTAATAGAAAGTATTGCTATTTTGAAGGAATGAAGATGTTAATTATCTTGTAAATTATCACCCAAACTAAGGTGATTATTGTATCAATATTCATAAGAACCCAGTGTCCAGAAAGTCACTATACCTATGAATGAAGTGCATCTGCTCCAAGTAGACGCAGCCTTTTGAAATATCTACACATAGGTCCACGAGGTCAACCAGGGTGAGTAAAGGACCATGAAACTGTAGGAAACAAAAGAAAAATTACAGACACTTTTCCAGTTTGCACTATATATATATATGGCTGGGCTTCCCAGGTGGCACTAGTGGTAAAGAACCCTCCTGTCAATGCAGGAGACAGGTTTAAGAGACACAGGTTAATCCCTGGGTCAGGAAGATCCCCTGGAAGAGGGCATGGCAACCCACTCCAATATTCTTGCCTGGAGAATCCCATGAACAGAGGAGCCTGGGGTGTCCATAGGATTGCAAAGAGTAGGACACTACTGAAGCAACTTAGCATTCACGCATACATATGACTGCATATATATGATGTTTTAAAGGAATTTTTAGTTACGGTTAAGGAATTCAAACAAAGAGGAAAAGAGCTATATTTATAGGCTTTCCACCAAAATATACATAAATAAGACTATGTTTAATAAGCCAAGGCAATATAGAATCTTCATTGGAAAACTCTCAGGGTGTTAGTCAAATGGACCATGTTAAACCTATTTCTGCTACTTAGAAGTTGAGTGAACTTGCTTACATGGCTTAATGCACTAAACCACATTCTCATGTATAAAACAGAAACAATAAGACTGATTGTGTTGGATCTGAGATGAGATATGTAATCTGGTGGGACATACCAGGAACTTAATAAACAGTAGCTGCTCTCATAAGTAGTAATTATGATAGTTTAATTATTGGCCCAATGTCATGCAATAATGTCCGTCATGAGAATGGGCTTGTTCTCCATATGAGCCCCATAGAAATTGCTAGCAATCCTCTATTTCAAGGTCACAGATTACTCCTCTCATCTAGGAGAACCAGCACAAACACAGAGTTGAGCCTGTACTAGCTGCAATGATTTCTACATGAAGAAAGCCAGTTGGAGTTTTTATTAGGACCATGTGGAAAAAATTCAAAGTTCCTTCCTGGAGGCTATATTCATATGTCTGTTCCTTACTATTTCCCTGAAATTACCCTATTTCAAGCCTTTATCATCCCTATCTGACGCTTCCCAAACTCCCCATGTCTCCAGCCCCCTGTGCTTTAATTAGCTCACTTTGTTGTGACCCACTGCCTGCAGCATCTATTAGGGATCCCTGAGCACAGCCTCCATGGAAGCCCCAGGCTGCACCAGCCTCTCCTCACATCTATTTATTTTCCATAGATTCTCCTCCCACAATCTGTGCTTCAGTCACACTGGGCCATTTGTAGTTCCTTATACCTGCTCTGCATTTCTCAACCTCTGTACATTATTCCTGCTATCATTCCTGGAAGGCCTTCCCTATGCTTGATTTCCATCAACATCCTTCACTGAGCATCTCAAAGGATTCACAACCTTGAAATCCCTTGATTCCTCATAGACGGGTGCTCTTAAATATTGTTCCCTCTGCCTCCTCATCTGGGACTCAGTATTGCCGTGATCCCACTCAACCACACCTGCATCTTATAACTTGACTCGATTTTACTCCCTGCAGAATCGGTTCCCTGCAGCCCTGTTATGGTTCACCAGAAGCCTGTCCCATAGCCTTGTGTCTGAGTCCCTGCTGGGCGTCCCGCCAGGTTCACTGGTTCTTCGATGAACAGAACCCTGCTTTACTCCTGGCAAAACCTACTCTACTCTTGAAGACACTCTTCCCAGAGAATCCTCCTCCAGAATGACAGTCTGGTGGCTGGTACCTTGCTCCCTGCTGACAGATTTTCAGATGTTCCTTGCCTGCCTGGATTTCTAACTAAAACTTACACCTATTAGTCCCCGTGACAACCTACTGGGACACCTCATCACCCCATGTTGGGCCTCTCTAACTCCAGATGCTACCCTGGACACCTGTCTTCTCTTGCCAACCCTCCAGATGTATCGAATCTCTATCTCGGTCTATCCCTAGTCAAAGCCTTTTATAACTCATATGGGTGTAGTTTCAGAAACTGTTCTCTCTCACACCTTGATTGTGTCCCAAACAGAAAACCTCCATCATGCAACCTTCTTGCATCTTCCCAGAAGGCAACATCTCTCTCTCTTATCTGAGCTTTAGCGAAATATTCTCTACTCCATTCTAATGAACTTCTCTCTTTCTACCTTAAATGAGTTATTCACACGTGACTTACCCATTCTACCATACAACGAGATCCTTGAAAGCAACTGCCACATCCCCCACTGTTGTATTAAATGAAATAAATATGCAGCAGAAATTTCACGAATTCAATCGTATCTGGCTATGGATGTGTATTATAGATAATAGACAATAGATTTGTATCTACAGAGCTTTTTTTGATAGAGCTTTTTTTTTCTTCTTTTTTCACTCTTTTTGTTTTTTCACTTTTTCTATCTTAGTATATCTTAGAATGTCAAAGTTAAAGGAACTGAGAAAGTTTAGATTCAATATTCCATTTTACAGATGCAGAAACTGAGCATCCTGAAAATGAAGAACTAGCCTAAGGTTTATAAACCCAGTTGCAGTCAATCCCTAGGCATTCAACTCAACAAAACAGTCTCAGAGCAGGGATGAGGAGAAGGAGGCTTGTGGCAAATCTAGAAAGGTGCCTCTGAGCATCCTCCGTGGAGAGATGGCTGGCCCCACATGAACTTAGCCTGTCAAGAGCTTAGAGCCTGTGGTGCTCTGCTGCAGACCCCAGACCTTAATTCTAGCACTGAGCACCTAAGGGCACCCTGTCCTATAGGGTCCTGGCAAGGGAGACAAGCGTGGAAGCAGCCTGGGTAACCAGCAGGAAAGACAGCAGAAGGACTGACGTGCACTTGAGAACCGATCATCTGAGCCACTAGGACACTAGCTGAATAGGATTCATTACAGAGAAGCAGCGCTGTGAGTTCTTTCAGCCCATCTTCATTGTCTCTTCTCTCCCCAACAAACAACTAAACGAAGAAATCTACCGAGAAATTTTCTTATTAAAGTCTCTTCCCAAACCTTACTAAAGTGAGCTTATAGAGGGAATGTTATAATCTCACGAGGGTGAACAGACGAGAATAGATAGAGAATAGGTAGAATAGAATAGAATAGATGGCCAACGTTTTGGAGGAATGAAAGCGGATGGAGGCGTGGTCATTTAACTGAGCCCAGAGAGATGAAAGCTAGTTGCCTGCAGAGAAGAAGACAAGAATTAAGAGATTTTTTTCACTATAGAACCCTATAAGTACTCTGGAATTGAAGGCAGCAAGTATCTCTGAATGCAGGCGTGAGAAGTAGGGTGAAGAGCAAGGTGAATACTTAAAAGCTTGTTTTATGGGCTAACTAGAGCCCCTCACTGCAGCAGGAGGCTTTCCTCTGCAAACCGCAACCCACCACCCACCCACCACATACACATTCACACAGAACCAAAACAACTCCAAGTTCAAAGATACCAGTCATGCTGAGGTTCTGTGCTGAAAACGGAGAAGGGAATTAAACACGCATCCTCACTCTGAGCCTTGAGACCCCCAGCTCTCTTCCCTGCTTCAAGTCCCTGAACTGAGGCTCAGACATTTATTGCCCAGGCAGGAGACCAGCCGACTTCTCTCTGGGGGAAATTGGCATATGCCAGGGAAGACATCCAGATGCTGTCATTAGGGGACCCCAACAGAACAGCAGGGTCCCACCTGACAACAAAAGGAAGCTGCTCGGACACATAGGCTCCAATCAGCTTCTTGGGGCTCACTATTAAATGTGCACACCGGCCACAAATTACCACACATCTGAGAAAAGCTTCTCACATTACAAACAGATCCCAGAACAAGAGGCAAAAAGGAAGTCAAGACAATGTAGAAAGCAAATTAACACTTTAAAAAAAAAACACTATAATTAGTATCCTAGGAAAGATAAAAGACAATTTTGCATGTATGGAAAAATCAGAATACTATTTTAAGAGGCAGTCAAAATATAAGAATGAGCTGTGGAAAATTACATTTTTAAATTCTATTTCAAAGTTGAGGAAATATATCAGAGTTGAGAGCAAAAATACAGAGTAGAAAATAGGAGCAAATAAAACAAAGATGACCATTATCCAAATAATAGGATTTTTAGAACAAAGAAATATAGAAAAAAAAGAGTTAATTGCCAAAGAAATGATATGAAAAAAATCCGAGAACTGAAAGACATGATTTTCCAGGCTGAGCATCCAGATGAGTAAAAAGTACCTCAGATAAGGAGAAGTTCCTAAAATTTTCCAAAGAGAAGGGCAAAAAAGCAGGTCACTGATCATTTGTCCAGGAATCAGAATGGCACAAAATGTTTTAAAGGCAATTGTAGAAGCTTGAAAACAAAGACAAAGAGGATTTAGTTTTGAGGAAAAGGGACTCTCAACCTAGAACACAGCAAATCATTAATCCAGTGTGAGGGAATGAAAAAGGACATTTCCTCAAAGTGGGGGAAAAAAAGGAGATTTTTGCCTCTTGTGCTTTCTCTTTTCTAAAACAGAATAAAGTCATGGAATTGAGGAAATAAGGGCCCAACATGGAAATTACCAGGGTAAACGTGAAGGAAACCCCTAGATAACAGCTCTGTAGAGATAGAAGACAAGGTGCCCATATCAAACTCATGAGGGAAGTGTCCAGGGGAAAAATTGTGAGGCGCTGGATTACCTGATACATTTAACCATGTTGAGAAAGGATTACAGTTCTGCCAGAAAGTTTAGGTATATAGAAAGCTAAGCAAATGCGGGGAAAGAGGCATTTATTAAACTACTCAAGAGAAAAATCACAATCATAGTATCTGAGTATCAAATAATAATTAAATAGGCATAGCAATGTAAACCTGCAAAGGTGATTTATCTGCAAATTGGGGTGACTGTCAAAGAATGGGGAAAATGAAGTTTTTCTGTGTGTAGAGCTGATGGGGCTGGGCTGGTACATAATTAAGGGGTTAAATCTTTGCCTCTCATGGTAGACAGTCAATAGATTTCCCCCAAGGCTGGAAACTCACTGTGTACCATATACACAGAGCACTTAGGAACGCAGAGGTGAACACCAGAAGGAATGAGCAGACACCTATTTTTCACCATAAACCTTGTCATATAGTTCAGTTTTTTATGCATATAATGTGTACTTTGATGGGTTTCCCTAGTGGCTCAGATGGTAAAGAAACTGCCTACAATGCAGGAGACCTGGGTTCTATCCCTGGGTTGGGAAGATTCCCTGGAGAAGGTAATGGCTACCTACTCCAGTATTCTTGCCTGGAGAATCCCATGGACAGAGGAGCCTGGCAGGCTACAGTCCATGGGGTCGCAAGAGTTGGATACAACTGAAGCAACTTAGCACGCATGCACGCACATGTACTTTGATAGAAATAAAAAACAGAAATTTTAAAACTACAGATTTAAATTTTAGTTACTTGTTTTGTCTCAAGGGTTTCTCATCTGAGACCCAAAGCAAATTCCATAGGAGCTGAGACACCGCCCCCGCCCCCAAGCCTGATTCAACACACACAGGCCACTGGATTTCCAGCGACCACCTGTGCAGGGTGCTGCTCTTGGCCCCAGGGAGATGGGGAGGATGGACTGGGGCTGCATGTTGTAAGAGGAACCCCAGAGCAGACAGGACCTATTAGCATGATGGTAGGAAAAGAGAAAGTAAGGAACTGGATGGGGAGCATGAAGGAGGATGCATGACATCAAGAGATCTGTTTTTGAGATGCCTGTGAAAATCCATACAGAAAATGTCAGCTGGGGAGGGACGTATAACCCAGTACTTGGTAAAGACATGAGGGTTGGAAATTTCAATTTGTGACATAAAGGCAGATAAATTAAGTACAGAGAAACTCCACACACTCTCTGTTCTTGAGAGAACACGATTCTGGCAGCATGGTGGTGGTGCGGAACCTATTTTTCCATTAGATACTAAAAACAGGCTCAATCAGCCAGAAAAGGCCAGACATTAGCCCAGGGTTCTAGTTTGAGTAGTCCAATATGAAGGAAATACAAGAATTTTTCTGATGGAAGTCTTCTAAATTTCTACCATCAGGCAAAACTGCAGTCTATTGAATTTAAAAGAAGTTTAAGAGGAACTTAAAGGTCATCTGTGTTACCAAACCAATAGTGTGGACCCCATTTCCTACCGGCGTCATCCGGGCTTTACGCAAATAGGTAAGAAGGTCTCCTCCCTCCATCAGTTCCAGGATAATGTACTGGGGTTCGTTCAGCAGACAAACTCCAAGCTGCTTCAGAATGTTGGGATGATTAAACTTGCTAAAAGGTGGAAACAGACAGGCAGGATAACATGTCAGTGACAGAAGTCTCGTGAAGGCCTTTGTGGAACAGAGGAAATCTTTATCTCTGGTTTCCTTTCAACCCCTGATTTTTTCTCCCTCCAATAAATGAAAGCTTCCTTTTCATGCCTGCCTTACAGAGGTAATATTGCAACCCCTAGTGGCCAAGGCATGTGGATAGAATAGGGGTAGTTTCAGAAGAAGTGGCATTTATAGCAAGTATTTTAGGTTTTGGGAAAAGAAAGTAACTTTAACTAATACCTTTCTTCAAAAGACATTTTAAAACACTACATTTTTGGTCATGACAAGTATGAAATAATTCTCTCCCTTTTAGAGAAACAATTCAGACACGTAATTTTTGGCTACAGTTGTTTTCTCAAGAGGTCAAAGCAAATAAGCCCCCGCCTAATGGTCAGAACCTGCAACCTGGGACCCTGTCGACCACCGCCTCAGCATTATTAAAATGTACCTGAGTCGTTTTCATTACTGTCAACTAACTCTAACTTGAAGACAAGTTTACCAAGACCAAGAATATTTTCACTGATGTCACTGTGCTTAAGAGAACTCTCCCTTCTTGGTCTACTTGACTTATGATTACACATTTAGAAGAACATAAGCATGTATTAAGCTTATCAGCCTCAGAAATCCTTTGCAAAACATGATTCTTATTGGAGGTAAAAGAAAAGAAGACCTATTGTCTAAGGACTGCCTGTGCCCAGTCTCAGAGTATCTATCATAAAAATCTATTCTACAGAATACTTGTCACTCCAGGCATACTTCCTTTTAAATTTCAGCCATGAAAAAAAAAAAAATTTCAGCCACACTTATTTTGAACATAATCTGCAATGTCAGCTGATTTTGAAAGTTAAAAATCCACTAATCATATGTAAAAGCTTCCTACCCATACCAAGGGAAAATTATTTCAGAACTGCCTAATACCTCATCAGATGTGCCTCCTTCAGGAATTCAATCTTCTCCTGGTCTGTGGAGCCCTTCTTCAAAGTCTGCACAACATAAAACAAGCCAGGAATCAGTATAGCAGGCATTTCTGTGAGCTAAGTAGTTAATGGAGACAACATTTGTTTTGTAATAGCCACCTTTATCTTACAAAACTGTTCTCCAACTCCCCAGCCTTTCTTGCAAGCAAGCGTGGTCATATGACTCAGTCCTGATCAATGAAATGTTAGGGGTAAATAGTTGAGGAGGTGTGTGGAAATTTTTTACTTTCCTGAACATATACACCTAACACTATCCTTCCCTCTTTCCATATCCTGAATGAAGATGTAATGCTTGATTCTTTGGCAGCCATCTTAGAACCATGAGGCACCACACATGTACAAAGTCGAGAGAATTTCAGATATACTAGCTCTGGCTTGACACAGTACTACACCAAAGCCAGAAGTCATCTGGTTATGTAAGAAAAAAAACACTTGTTTAAACCACTTGAGATTAAAATATGTTAAAAATACTATCAACCGGAAATGGAGAGAATTTTGTAACTTCTCTGACAACTTCTCAAAGCAATAAATTCTTAACAAGCAATAATCAGGATATTACTCAATTACATAAAAGATACGTCATCTGTTGATCAAAAGAAAGTTTTATAAAAATACAAGAGTATATCCAGTGCTTCCTTTTAACTGCATTAAATGCACTATGATGAATAATTTTGTAATGCAGGGGTCAGCAAACTACAATCTGTGGACCAATTCTAACCTATCATCTATTTTTGTATAGTTATAATCTGAAAATAGGTGTTACATTTTTATTTTTCCAGTTTTACTGAGGTATAATTGTTACATTTTGAAATGGTTGAAAAAAGTTATAAAAAAATAAGAGAACTGCATAACACATGAAAATTATGTGAAATGAAAATTTCCATTTTTATAAATAAAGTTTTACTGGAACACAACCACAGCCATTCATTCACATATTGACTGTGGCTGATTTCACAGTGCAGTGACAGAGTTGCGTAGCTAGAAGAAGTGACACCGTCTGGCTAGCAAGTCTAAAATATTTACTATCTGCTCTAGTACCAAGCACCGCAGTTCTCTTAGAGCATATTTGAAAGGAAAAACTCTCTGCTGGTCTTAGTGAATTAGTAACCTCAGAGGTAACTGTTAATAACAGAACTTATGCAGGAAATGGAAAAAGGACTGTTGATTTCCGTAGCCATGGATAGGTTTCTACCTTCTCCCAGTCATCTTTTCCGTCAAGATCACTCCTCTTTTCTCAGTGTTATGTTTAAATAAGTCTCTGTCAATAACGCAGACGTAACAAGCCGAGGAGTTAAAAGACCCACATTACCTTCACAGCTACTTTGGTTTCTCCACTTGCAACTCCTAAGATGTCAACCGCTGTCCCTTCATACACTTCTCCAAAGGCCCCGCTTCCCAGCAAGAGACGCAGAGTCAGTTTTTCCCGAGGGAAGGCAGGAAGACTTTCAATCTCCTCTTGGGTCGGAAGAGTACTGGAAAATAACGCTGTTTTTGGTCTCCCAAAATGGTTGATAAGTGGATATGGGTATTAATGTTTGAGAGTAAAAAAGGAGGAGAAAAGGAAGAGAAATCTCATGGCTTGGCAACGCATTGAAGGTAGTGCCTTCAATGTGACATGGTGTCGTGTCTGCATCCCTATTCCAGTCCTATTCCACCTTCTAGAATACTCCTTCTGTCTTCTGAAACCCAGACAGAGTAGGTTACTTCACTTCTAGGCAGCTTCCTTTTGATAACATGCCTGTGAGTGCATTGCCTCAAAATTTTTTACTGTAGTTTGTTTTGTTAAAATTATCAGTTCGTATTTTCTTCAGGTCACCTATTTGTATAAAAAGCTATTGCAAATTAGTAATAAATATAGCTGGGCTTATGAGCTCAAAGCTTTTACTTTACTTCATACACCTAATCTCTCATGTAATACAAAATTTACTAATGACTATAACATCATTTCTTGTCCATCAGATTAACTTTTAGAAAGTCAACTTTCTCACTTGGAATATTATGAGGAGGAGAAAATTCATCAGCATTAAAAATGCTTTGAGTTTTTAAGAGAGAATCTTGAAAATCAGATACACTGCATGTTTTCTCAAGGAAAAGTCATCTCTGAAAAGCATATTCAGGTCACCTCTGTGTCTAATTCAAGTCCTGTGTTCTTATGTCTTTAAATAAATTTCTAGAAACAAGGCCTATGACTATATACAATCTTTTTTGTATGGAGCATAATATAGTGTTTTTTAAAGGAGACATTTAAATATTTTCTTAAATTATGATGACAATGAAAGTTAAAACCTCATATATTTTAGAGAAGTTTTGTAGACAATCACCATACAATTTCTGAAAACAGAAAAAAATTGACTTAATAGCACACACAAGAGAATCCGTCTTTTCTTGTTGAATCAACCATATTACCATCTACTCCCTTCCACGTGGCATTTATCTCTTTGTTTTACTTATTTTTAAATTATGTGCTAAAACACTAGAAAACATTCGATTTTTGTTCATGTTTCTTAGGATAGGATAACAGCATAATTTGCCATCCATCCCAGGTCACATTTGAGAATGAAAGGGGATGTTATTTTTTAATATGCCAGAATAATGGGCATAAACCAGGACAGTCCTGGGCAATGTGGCACTCATGGACACTCTTTTTAGAGTTGCCCACAATAGGATCACAGAGTCCAACATGACTGAAGCGACTTAGCACACACACACTTTTCATCTAGGTGTCCCGTAATGCCAGCCCAGGTTACATACTGTATCGCATAGCAGGCGTTTGCCAGCCCTACTCCAGTGGCCAGACTTCGAAGTTCAGCCAATTCTTTGTCTTCATTTACGAGAACCGTCAGCCCTTTCTTGGGAGTGTTTTGATTCTTTAATCTATGCCAGACTATAAAGAAAAAAAAACATAATTTACCAAATAAAACATTGCTTTCTCTTTCTTTAGAAAATGCTGCTAACAATACATTTTTAAAGTTTATACTAAACAACACTACTGATAGAACAACCAAATTTGATTGAAAAAAAATAGGCCCATAATAGAAAAACTAACTAAATCCAGGTAAAAAGCCATATGAAAATGTATAACTTATACCACATCACATTTTATCTCACTTCTCAGGATAAATCTTAATATATTTCCAATTGCTGTTATAAACACTTGGAAGTATCTTACTATCAGAACTTATTTCACAAAATCACTCATAGACTAGAATCAAAATATACCAAAACAAATTTGCATTATAATTGTTAGTGAACAAATTCATTTTGGAATCCAGATACATCCAGGTTATTCTCCTCAGCAGACCTGAAGGATGCTTTCTATATAATGGCATGTTTTATTTTAAAATGCAGAGGTCAGAGTGTATATTCATTGTTTTTCATAATACACATACTCACATACATGGAAAGATTATTAGAATGAAATCTATCAAGTGTTAGCAGTGGTCCTCCCTAGTTGTGGAATCATGGGTGATTTGTATTGTTTTCTTCATACAATGGGCAAATAATATTTTTTTAACCATAAAACATGTTATATTTTTCAAAGATTAAAATACATTTATGTCATTAAGATTGCCCATCTATACTAGAATATTGTCACAGAAGTTGAAAACAGTAAGGATGTTTTGCGAGATGATGATTAAAATTTGAATTTTATTCCACTGTAGCTTCTGTACCCAACAGGTGAAGTTTTACACAAGTGAAATTCCATCTGAGGGACCACACAGGAAAAGATCTTAAGTACTTATGCTAATGCAATTTTTCTAAACCTGAAATGCTCTTACCACCAGTCTTTCATTTTTAAAGACCCAGCTCAAGACTCCATATCCTCAGGGATGCTATCCAAGACCTCTGCAACCTCTGTTGATATCTCATCTCTGAACTTATAAGACCAATTGCGGCTCTCAGTCAGCAAGGCTGTGTCACTGTCTTCTACATTCCATTTACTACTTCTTTTTATTACTGTTTAACACATCTCTCATTATACTTTTTGCACAGGATATGTCTTGAAAGTGAAAGTGAAAGTCATTCTGTCGTGTACAACTCTTTATGACTCCTCTATACAGTCCACACAATTCTCCAGGCCAGAATACTGGAGTGGGTAGCCTTTCCCTTCTCCAGGGGATCTTCCCAACCCAGGGATCGAACCCAGGTCTCCCACACTGCGGGCAGATTCTTTACCAGCTGAGTCACAAGGGAAACCAATATGCCTTACCTCCCCCATTAAACGACAAGCTCCTGAGGTCAGCAATTATATTTTTTAATTTACTTTTAATTGGAGGATACTTGCTTTATAATGTTGTGTTGGTTTCTGCCATACAACAACATGAATCAAAATATACATATATCCCCTCTCTCTTAAGCTTTCCTCCCACTCCCCATCACACTCCTCTAGGTTGTCACAGAGCACCATTACAGCCTATTTTCCTTTGCTCCCAGTGTAAGGCTCACGTTACACAGTAGATATAACCACTCACCAAAGAGTAGGCTGTTGATGCTTATTTTAAAATCTTTGTTTCTATTTTGTATTTATAAGTATGACTGATGAAAGTCCTCAGCACAATTCAAATTTTTTAACAATTGGTATTTTCATTATTTGAATAACTCAATCTTTCCTCATGCACTCACACAATCCTACCAGTAAAACCACATGCACTACTACTAAAAGCCAAAGAACCAAATTAGCTTAGCTCCACTCAAAAATGCTTGAGTTCCAAGTAGAATAAAGACCTTTAAGTCCTGAGAAAGTCAGATATCCATGAAGTGTCTTGAAAGAACAATAGGTTGTCTGAAATTATCTCATGTTCATCCACTAGAGTCATGAGTTTAGACAACGGTGATGTACAAGTAAGCAGGCAAAGGTCAGATGCAGGATCCTTCACATAATACTCCTTCCCAGCAGGAAAGCAGACAGTCAAGCGTATATGCCAACTGCCAAATATACTACAGTCATATGCGTAATTCTGGAGGGGCTGGCTTAGGGGCACAAACATCAGCTGTGCAGTACTTAGACTCTCTGGAACCATAGGTTAAAATCCTGGCAGGGTCAGCTGAAATTTTTAGCTTTCCAAGTTAGCTGCAGGAATCATATATTCCACATACTGTATGGTGTGGAATGTTTGAAAAAAAAAATCTCAATTCAAGTTTCAACATGCTAATAGCTATGACTCTAATCAGTTTGGGGAAAGAATACAGATTTAGGACATGGAGTGAAATATTGACTTTCTTTATCCTGAGGGTTCAACTTTATGTTTGTAACTTTTCCTTAAACTTTTCCCTATTTATTTAAAAAAAGAAAGAAGCCGCAATTTCCTGAATATATGCTTGAGTGTTGGTTTCTGGTAAATATCACGTCTTTTTTGTGTCAGAGACACATATGTTAATGACAGAGTGACTGTGTATCTTATAATCCAAATCAGGACATTTTAGGAGACTGAAAGAAACTAGTAGGAATGACTATAATGGAATGACGGGAATAAAGCAGGATGTATGATCCACTATGATAACCTGAGAGTGAACGTCTCTCAGTCATGTCCGACTCTTTGTGATCCCTTGGACTATATAGTCCAGAATACTGGATAGCCTTTTCCTTCCACAGGGGATCTTTCCAACCCAGGGATCAAACCCAGGTCCCCTGCATTGCAGGCAGATTCTTTACCAGCTGAGCCACAAGGGAAGCCCAAGAATACTGGAGTGGGTAGCCTTTCCCTTCTCCAGCAGATCTTCCCAACCCAGGAATCAAACTGGGGTCTCCTGCATTGCAGGCAGATTCTTTACCAACTGAGCTACCAAGGAAGCCCTGATGTATGATAACCTGAAAGGTCTAATGTTTAATCACCTTTTGGGGGCTTGTCCCTGTATTTTCCCATTATTAAATGTTTAAAGAAAGACTTTTAAGACTAACACATTAGTATAAAATTAGTGATGAGAAATAACTAGCTTTCTATCAATCTAGCCAAATTGCTCTACTTTCCTAGTTATTTACAAATGAGCAGAGATTTGAAACAAATAGACCAGACATCCAAAAGTGAGAGTGAATGCTAAAAGCCAGAAATGGAGCTTCTGCAAGAGGCCCTGTTCATTTTAAACTAGGCTGTCTGCCTGGAAACCCAGACTATCCCGAACAAGGGTTTCACTGGTCTCCCTTTAATCCTACACTTTTTTTATACCCAGAGTTATTTTTCTTTTACTTTTTTCAAACTATAAGTTACAAACACTTGTTATATAGCCAATCTGTAATACAGTTTTAAAAAAGGCTAGAAGTTGGTGCCTTAGCAAGTGGTTTTATCTAAAGAATACTGTGAAGTATAAATATGGATATATTTTTCATGAAATGGTTACCCCAGATTAGAAAAAAAAATTCACAGGGTTTAATGGTGATTGAAGCATAGCCAAAGGTAACATTGTGAATTTCATGAATCTATTTCATGTAGAAAATTAATCAGATATAAATTAAACTCAGATAAATCAATTAATATGATCAAGTGAGCAGTTTATTACCTATTGATGTATTTTTAAATCTATTATACTTACCAAAGACTAATGGGATTGTAATAACCAGAAATATTCCAATTATAATAGTAAGTATAAAGCTTGTTTCTGGTCTCCAAAAACCATCTAATAAAATAAATGAGAAAAAGAACATAATTCAAAGAGTAAAACTCGATTGTCTCAGTATTGTGCCAGAATATGCCAAAGTTAACTCCTACTGAATTTTTGCAAGCCAATAGTTAAACCATCAGTAGTTTGAAATCATCCATGGAGAGAGTATATTTACACTGTGAGTAATCAAAGTCAAGGGATTTTTTTCTCTTTTTTCATTTCCAGTGATCTGGTTTCCAATATATCTTTGGGATATACCCACCCTATCTTCTACTTTAAAGTAGTTGATAAAACATGAATAATCTTTTTAATGAATTTGGGACAAAGACGTCTCAACTTTCATTTATCATATAGTTGGGAGCATTATTTCCTCTGTAACATCTTCATATACATTTAATTCCATGAGTATTTAACTGAGGAATATAAACATGAAAACATGATGTGTGTGTGTGTGCTTGCTAAGTCACTTTAGCCTCATGTCTGACTCTGTGGGACCCTATATACTGCAGCCTGCCAGGCTCCTCTGCCCATGGGATTCTTGAGGCCGGAGTGGGTTGACATGCCCTCCTTCAAGGGATCTTCCCGAGCCAGGGGTCAAACCCACATCTCTTACATCTCCTCATTGGCAGGCGGGTTCTTTGCCACTAGCGCCACCTGGTGAAAACATGGTACCGGCCCTTAGTTTCACTGAGAAGATAGACTTGTGGACCAGAGCTTGGCAAACTATGGCATGCAGGCCACATCTGGCCATAGCAGCCTGATTTTGTACTATTCGTGAACCAAGAACAATTTTTACATTTTAAAAATATTATCAGAAAAAAAAGAAGATGCTACAGAGACTGAATGTAGCCTGAAAAGCCTAAACTATTTACTATTTGGTTCTTTCAAAAAAGGTTTGTGGAATTCTTCTCCAGGTAACTAACTATAACACAAATAAGAAAGATTTCAGTTTTTCATAGAACAATGTGCTGTGTGTGTCTGAGGAGCAGCAGTTACGCATCACAATGGATACTGAGGGATGAGAAGAATTTCCATTGACCAAGTGAGAGAAAGAAAAGCCCAGTTAAGGGCAAGTTGTGGGTGGTCCAAGCCTGCATTGGAGCCTGAGGGAACATGGTGTCATGGAAATTTGTTTGTTTGTTTGTTTGTTTACCAGTTTGGTATGGCTATAGCCATAAGGATAAATATTGGGAAAGAGGAACCACAGTTGGAGGGCAAATCATGGAAGGCCTTAAATGCCACGGAAAAGTTTGTACTTGATTCTGACGGCAGTGAATGGAGAGCCATTTCAAGATTTTCAGAGAGCGGTGCAGTGAGCCAGCTTCTGCTTCAGCTGGATTAGCTGTCAGCCGTGGGGTTAAGCCAAGAGCACGGGCTTGTGTGGTAGCTTAAGTTAGGAAAACCAAAGTCGAAACAGGAAGAAGGGAACTCAGTGGACAGAAGTCAAGATAATAAAGTCAACAGAACTTGGTGGCTGAATAAAGAGTAAAATCAAACATGGTACTGAGACTTCTAGCCTATGTGATTAGAAAGACAAAGTATTACAAACAAAAATAGGCTCCCCAGTGGAAGAGGTAGATACTGGGGAAGAGACAAAGTCGAGTTTCAGGTGTGTTGTGTAGCAGATGAGAGATCCAGAAACAGAAAAGTAAGGCTGGATAAAAATTAGACTGCAAATAACCTTGGAAGTCCATCTAGGAGCATGGACTTGATGCAGTAGGCATTAAAGATCAGCTGATGGCTACTGAGGAGAAAAAGGACATGTTGATATTGATGTTTCAGGAAGCTCACATCGGATAAAATGAATAGTTCAATAGTTTCTATGGTAGTTTGGTGAAGTTATATAGTCACTCAATTACTGCTAATGCTAAGAATACACTTATCTTTATTTCTGAATCCTTGTGTAATAAGTTAGTATGTAGACAAACATGTTAACATACCTCCAACTAATATAATATCATCACTGATTCCACTATATTCACCAAACCCCAGATTATTTACAGCTACTACTCTGAACTGAAATGTTCCTTTCAGGTTTTTGGACTTCCATGTGCAAATGCTACTGCATGAGTCATTAAATGCCATCTTCCATGTTAAATTCTGGTTCCATGAATCATTTGAAGTGCTCTTTCTGGAAAAAAAAAAAGAAGAATCATAAATATAGGAAATATACAAGACAATATATGTGTTATTTCTAGATGCTCATATATCATTTTAATGACAGAACTCCGGAGCGTCTCCTGTTGCACACTTTGCCCTTGATCTCATTCCTCTCACATGGTTTGGCTACAGAACATAGCAGAGTCTTATAAAGTCATCCCAGCAATGCCTGGAGCCAACCAACTCAGCCCATCTGGAAAATGACGAATAATCAATGGCTGAGAGACAGCTGAAGAGCCTCTTCTTACTATTGGAGTGTGCAAACTTTCTTCAGAATTCCAAACACATAAGTCAGTGATTTCATACTTTTTAACTGGGAATTTTTTAATTTTTCTTAATTTTCAGTCTCATGCTATCTGTCCTTTACTGATACCATATCTGGATAAAACACAGAACATAGAATTGATAAAGAAAATAAAATAGTTCAGCCACCAAAATTATCATTGTATCTGAGATTCTGAGCCTCGTTGCTTCCAATTAGCCTATACTCTATCTCAGTATCAGTCCTCATTACTCTTCCTAATGAAATATGGAAAGAGAACAAGAGCTGGGTTCAAAAGACACACTAAAATGACTTTTAACAGAATCATAGACTGAAGGTAAGCTCAAGGCCTTCCCATTATGTCTTTTCAAGTCTGCAAAGGTCTGAAGCTTTTCAGCCCGCAGCAGTTTTAGGGCATGGTACCAACCCACAGTCAGCTTGAAGATAAATAATGGAAGCCAGTTCTGCTCCCACTAACTGAATGATTGTCCTGAAAGAGCACCAAGGACAGCAAAAGCTGAGCCTCCAAGGGACAGAGGATGAGTTAGGACATCGGGAGGAGCAGGACAGCAGTGATGGTCACAACTGTGACGAGCAGCTAAGTGTCCTTGGGACCATCCTAAGTAAAGCTGTGTTTCTCCTGCATTGTGTGAAACCTCATGTTGGGAACTGGCAATTTCAATTTTCAACCCAAACAACTCTGATCCAAAAGAAAGAGACCCTTAAACTTGTATAAAATGGTAAAACAATTGTCCTTCAGTTAAAAATAAATAAATTTTTTAAAAGTATAAAGTGGATCTTCACAAGACACATGCACCCCAATGTTCATCGCAGCACTGTTTATAATAGCCAGGACATGGAAGCAACCCAGATGCCCATCAGCAGACAAATGGATGAGGAAGCTGTGGTACATATACACCATGGAATATTACTCAGCCATTAAAAAGAATTCATTTGAATCAGTTCTAATGAGATGGATGAAACTGGAGCCCAATATACAGAGCGAAGTAAGCCAGAAAGATAAAGACCATTACAGTATACTAACACATATATATGGAATTTAGAAAGATGGTAACGATAACCCTATATGCAAAACAGAAAAAGAGACTCAGATGTATAGAACAGACTTGTGGACTCTGGGAGAAGGCAAGAGTGGGATGTTTCAAGAGAACAGCATCAAAACATATATATTATCTAGGGTGAAACAGATCACCAGCCCAGATTGGATGCATGAGACAAGTACTTGGGCCTGGTGCACTGGGAAGACCCAGAGGGATTGGGTGGAGAGGGAGGTGGGAGCGGGGACCGGGATGGGGAATACATGTAAATCCATGGCTAATTCATTTCAATGTATGACAAAAGCCACTGCAATGATGTAAAGTAATTAGCCTCCAACTAATAAAAATAAATGGAAAAAAAAAAATAAAGTGGCTCTTCACAGACATTGGCCACTAAGAAAGAGAAGGAAGACTTTTTATACTGGTTGGGCACCTTCTATTTACAATACATCATACTGGGGCTTGTCATATGCTGTATCATTTCACTGAATCTTCACAGCAACCTGAAGAGGTAGATATCATCATCTCATTTTACAGACAAGAAAGCTTAAGTTCAAAAAAGAAATAGAGCAAGGATTTTAAGTAGTCTATGTACTGGGTTGGCTAATCCGCCTCAAACTTCATGCCACCCAGACCTTGTGAGTGTGACCCTGCTTGGAAACAGAGTCTTTTCAGATATAATTAAGCCAAGATGAGATGGTCCTAGTTTACAGTGGGCCCTAAATCCAATGACCAGTGCCCTCTTAAGAAGAGACACACCCAAGGAGAAAATCATGGGATAACAGAGCCAGAGACTGGAGAGATGCCTGTACACACCAAGGAAAGCCAAGGATTGTGGTCCATCACCAAAAGCTGAGAAGAGGCAAGGGAGGATGCTTCCCTAGAATCCATCCTGCCAAGACCTTGACTTAAGACTTCCAGTCTCCAGAACTGTGAGAGAATACATATCTGTTGTTTTAAGCCAGCCAGTTGGTGGTACTTTGTTCTGGCTGCCCTGGGAAACTCATGCAATCTACTCAGCTCCCAAGTGCATGCACTTTGCAATAAGACTGCCAGCACAACACGAGCAAGTACACACAAATGTCCTGACCGAAGAAGTTACTCTGAGATACTGTGAGATTCTCTGAGATAGATGACACTTTATATTATCCTACAGTCCCTCTCCTGAGAGTAGAGACTTGGGAGCAAGGAAATGCAGAGTATTTATGGAGCTATGCACTTCACATGTTACTGAGGGGAATACACTACAGCATTTCTAGCAAGGCTATAGTAAGACTATGGTGTGGCCTGGCTGGTGAACATAACTGCAGTCATAGAACACCAAGACATTCTACAGGTCAGAAAGTACTTCAGTCTGCATCATTTAAAAAAAAGTACCAGAAATTTCAAGAAGTTTTCAGTTAGAAATAAGCAAACATAATTCTCTAGTGTGAGCAGGAAATTTTTTTAAGGTTATGGGAATGCCAGAGCAAGATGAAGCAAAAATAGATCTAAAGCTCAAGTTGCCAGGACTATAATTATGGAAGTGACTTTTGTCCTTGGAGCTTCTTAAAAGATGGCTTCATAGTCCCGTGAGGGGAGTGTCTGTGGAATTTGGAATTCTCTCCTTAAGCTGGCACGAAATCAGCTCATCTGAGCCAGTTATGATTCACAGAGCTCCCCATACTGGCCGGATCTGAGGTTGCGTATGTTCATCAGATTTTCATCGAAGGCGCAATTTTAGTCCCTGGGAACACACTACAAACTGTAACCTTGAAAATGGAGAGAGAATCCTGGGTTGCCTATACACTACAGACCATCTCAGATCTTGACTTGACTTCACCTTCTGAAATATACCAGGTCATTATCAGTTCTCACTAGATCTTATTCATCTTTCTAAAACAAATCAATCTCAGAAATTTATGTACATACCATCATCTAACATCAAACATCAATTTAGCTTTTTGAACAGAATCAAGTAAATATTAGGTGCATGATCAAAAGACTGAGTTGTTTCCACTAACAAGGTGTCGCAGATTTCTGAGAAGAATGACTATCTGCCTTGTAACTGAATGCCAAGGCTGACCACTAGGAATTGTGTAAAGAATGTAATGAGGCATGCAAGGCCCTTACACTAAAGATCCCTTATGTTTACTTATAAATACACATTCATAAATATTGTTAATTTTGATCCAATAATACCTTAAAGTCAACTGCTTAGGTCTTTGTAGTTTACAAAGCACTTTTGTAAACAGACATACCTGATCTCAAGGATATAGTACATAAGTCTGCTTCCATTATCATCAGCTTTTTCCCACTGTATTGAATTTTTACTCCCTTCTAATAATTTTGGAATGCCTGGTTTACTTGGGACTCCAGCTTTGGAAACAAAAGAAAATTTGATTGATATGTTAGAAGTATAAAATATTCTGCATAACATCTTTCTATAGACAACATTTACCAAGAGAAAAGCCAAATACATTAAAGAAATGTTCAGAAATACATTCATATGAGTGCATATGTTTAAGTGAGTACCTGAAGATTTTTATTAGTGACGGATTAGATAGATTTATGATAGGAGTAACAATAGATCTTAGCCCTATACAAAATAAGTGATGCCAGTAAAAAAGATGATTGTAAGATTTGGAGCATTTTCCACTGATTATTACAGAGATCAACTTGGAGTTATGGAATAGCTGTTAAAACACTGGCTAATTTAATATACTTGTTAGATTTTTTATTTTTAACATCTGGTTGTAGTAGTCTATAAGTAAATATTTGAACACCCAGTGACACTGTTTTCATTTACTTGTTACTACAAAATATCATAGCTAGACAGAAAATCAGAATAATGAAAGGTGAAACAATTTTTTCCAGTTTAGGATCCTGCAAAACCACACAAGTATTATCTCATTACTGCCTGTAAGAAACCCCTACCTCTTTTCAATTTCTTCAGTCAGGCTCTAAAGATAGTAATTTACTCTTTTAAGAAAAATTTCAACCTCTATGATTAGTGAAGCGAGCGATGAGAAAAGAATTGAGAGATGTCTAGAGTTGCCTAAGTGTTGAATATGTTAGTACTCACCTTTAGTCTTAAAACTTCCCGGAAGAGAGGTACTGTTTGCCCCTGTCCAATACACCACCACTACTCGGACATTATAGGAAGCATAAGGCTGTAGGTCTGTGATGATACAGACATAAGCAGGACCTTGGCTGCACAAAGCTTTAACATGGTAAAACTCATTGTGCTTCCACTAGGAAAAGAAGTCTAAATTAACATTTTTGTTTCTTTAAGAAAAACTTCTTAAACATAGAAATTCAAAAGCCTGTAGCAAGCATTAAAGCTTGAAGTTTATACTAAAATAAGAGCTTCTTTATGAGTGTCAGATCCCAGATAGTATCCCCTTCCACGAACAGCAATTTTATTTTTATGACAAGCTGTAAGTTACTTGAACGATGGTCCCGAGGATAAGTCCAAGGTGCGACGTGCACCTCTGACTGTTTATCATCGGGAGGATTGTTTGGCTTCTTGGTATCCCTATTCATAGGCCTCTTTATCAAATCAGGATGGCTGAGGATGCAAATTCACAGCTGAGGGGAAATGACCAATTAAAACTGTGATATTTTCAATTCCACACATTTGCTGATTTCAAAGTAGTAATATTTTCACAATATTTCACATATTGAAGAAGTCCACAGTGACTTATAAATGAAAACATTTAGTTTTTCCTCCCCAAACCCTCTTCAGGCATCTAAGCAGCATTCCTTATTTTTCTACATAGGAAGCCTAGTTCCCTAAAAGAAGGAAATCTTTGCCTACTGTCACTCAATCACTAAGTAGCAAGGTTAGAAGTTAAATATAGGAAATGTTACTTTCATTTCACTGGGTCTGTAATTATAGCTATATTAAAATTCTTTCTCTGAAACACTGCTTTTAAAAAATCTCTATATTTTTAAATATCTGTGTATTTTAAATAAGATACAACAGCCTTAATATCTTATATGAAAATGATGACTTTTTTCAATATACAAATAGGAGAAGACAGAGGATACGGCCTTCTGTCAAGGGTTCTTCATGTATTTTCCCCAGTAAAGTTTCCTAAGAAGATCAGTTTCCATAAATAAACCTTACTTTACATCTCCTTTTTCATTTAGCATTCACAAGGTCATGCCATTTCATTGGATGGGCACTTTATATTAGTTTTCTATTCAGTTAGAAATAATTCACACACACAAAAAAAGAAATAATTCACTATAGCACCTTCAGGAAGTAGATCACCTTATTACAGAAAGAAAGAGGAACAGAAGGAACGAAAAGAAAAACCAGAAATGCTGATGTCATAGACATTGCCTGTTAAACTCATAAATGTCTCAGTGCCACTGATTCATATAGCCTAATGAAATAGATGCAGATGCAAAATAATATTTATTCTGAACCTTCTGAAGTGGGTGAGGGGCAAGGAGGAAGGGAGATGTTGAGTCCTGGCTGAAAAATTTTAGCCCTTTTTGGTCCTGCCTCCTTAATGCCTCCTTCAGTGAGTAGTCTAGATGGCCCAACATTCCACACCACCCAGAAATCATAAGAACACCTTGGCATGTCAGGGAGATATTTGGCCAAGGGTTTTGCTGGAAAACTATAGCGTATTGACCTCACCACAGCAATGAACGTCCTGGGCGGACCACTAACTTGGAGAGACGCCACGGGCTACCCCAGTAAATCACAAGGGAGTTGGGATCTTCATTCATCAGAAGTCAACAAGTGCAGTGGGGAAGCCTGCCAGAGAGGATTTCCAAATTATTGAGCAAGGGTGTGGGGGAAATGGTGCAGATTATGATGTATCAGAGACAGAAACTTCAGAAATGTCTGGTTCTGGTAGGGATTCCCCTGGATAGCTGAGAAAAAGACCATTTTAATGAATTTTCATGAAAAAAATTTACCAAAGCAAAATTATTTGTTTCTCCTCAATCTTAAATTGAATGTGTTCTTTTTCTATGCATTATTATAATAAAGAATCTATGAAATCTAAAGACCAAGATAAAAATTTAGCTCTTGTGCTCTAAGACTCTCATTTTTCCATATAAGGAAAAGATGAAGACTGGAAGCTTATCTTTTTCTTCCTTTTCAGAAAGGAGAAGGGTGGAGGTGGAAAGGAACAAAAAAGATTAATTAAAATATGCATATTCACCTTTGTCACTCACCCCTCAGAGTTTTGGTGTGGCGTTACAAGACTATTCCTAACTTCCTATCATGATGAGGTAGGTTCAACTTGCTCAAAAGAAATAGACCTTTCCGACTAGATGTCATCACCAACCCTCTCAGAACACAGCCTTCTACATTAGTACTTGTAGGTGATCATGCATGTAGAAATTACCATCTTACATTTTCAGCTTCATGATTTCTCAAGTGGTCTACCTAAAAATCTGTTCTGAGCAAGGGTAGAGGAGGTCTTGAAACAAAAGCATCATAAGAAAGTCATGGGGACAGAACCAGGTGGCCCCGTCTGCTGCCCCTCTCCTAAACTTTAAGAAGTGGGGTGGGTGATGATGACTCATGTTCCTTCTGCAGATGGACTAAAGGAAAGCCTCTGTAGCAAGGAGTCAGCCCTGAGGGTCCTCCCCTGTCCAGCCGTGATTCTGACTCATCGGGCCACCTGCCTGAGTCTCCAACCTCTCATCAGTAACACGAGAAGCTGGAATCACCTCTAAGGTCCTTCCTCAGTTCACATCCTTGATATGGGAAATGAACTTTACATCCCTCCCCTTGACTTCAAGCTGAACCTCTTTAAGCTTACTTAAATAGATGTCCCCCCCAAAAGATGATCCTTCAGTTTCTCCAATTTAAAACTGAATTTTTATGAAATGACTATTTTCTAAATAGGCAACAAATCATCATTAACACGCTCAATGGAAAAAAATCCAATTAAACTGTGGTCTTTGGTCTTATCAACTTAATACTTAGAGCAACTTATCACTGCTGTTGCTTATTTTTCATAGTTTTTATCTAAAAGTACAAGATTCTAAAAAATATTTTATATAGTAAAATTTTAAAACCTCTGGGGAGCAACTTCATTTTTAAAGAAAAGTGAGGTCATTAACCATACTGATTTGTTTTTACAAAACACTCCTAACCAGTCTTTACAAATATGGACACACAAATATATAGGAGTGAAAAATGAAATGTCACAATTATAAAAACTTAATCATCTATTAAGTGTATCAGTATAAAAATCAATGTAGATTTTCCTTAGAAGTGAATTAATTGATGCTTAAATTGATGCTTAAATTCAGTGGATAGCTTTACATTGGTTAAAGCATGAAGATTTTTGAATGAGGAACTATTTAAAGTTTACAAGCTGAGATCCAACTGCTTTAGAATAAACTAGTTTATCATTTACTTCTTTCCTATTGCTATACAGTCCTTAAATGGTTGAAAGAACATTTATAAACAGGTTTTAGGTTTGTGTTTGTTCATTTCATTTCATTTTTTCCCCCGTAGAATAAAACAAATTGCTATGGACTTCAAACCAGAGAACCATGCTGATAACATCTAAAGTAAGTAAAACATTATGAAACCAGTTAACCGTAATTTATACCCTTTTATGTGGAGCCTTTTAAGAGCAAATTAATCTCTCTAGGAATTTTTTCCATCAGAAATCAGTCTAGGTAGCTTACCACATCTATCTGGAAAATCTGAATCAATGAATGTTGTCAAATATATCACTCATTTAACACAAGTGAATGCCCCCAAGATATTTTTTGAAAAGGCCTTTTGATTTATTCTACAGCATATAACAAAGATTTGCATTAAAAGTGTACGTTGAGATGTACCTTTTGGAGTTCACACCAAAATCTGATGAGGTGAACATTTGAAGGAGCATTCCAATGTAACTGCAAACTAGTGTTCTCTGGAAGAAAGCCATAAGGTTTCTCTGGCGAGTCAAATGTTTCCACAGTGACAGGGTGACTCTCTGCACACCACATTTCCTCGGCATGGCAGGCCAGAACCTTTTAGTAAAAAAGAACAATTGCGTAACCTTTCTCAAACCTTGCTCTGGAGCGTGGTAATTAAAGTACCCAATCCACTGGCCGTACCTTTAACACATAGACTTTTCCACCAGACAGTCTAGTAACGAGGAGAGAGAGACTCCCATCTGGATATTCACTTTGCCTTAGTGGAATCTCTGGAATGGGAGCCAGATGAGAGATTGCCACCTGATAGCGGACGGACTCTCTCGGTCCATTTGGCTTGTGAGATTCCGTCCAGGATATAACGAGGCTGGTGTCTGACTCCACGGTTGTGTTAATGAGCCAAACCGCCTCTGGTACTGAAATAAATAGCAGCGCACAATAAGGGATGTTGCAACAGCACTGAAAGATGGAAAGAAGTCATAGGGTCTTGGTTGAGGAATAAGCATATCATGTGAGCAGAATGAATGACAGATGTTCCAAGGGAAAGCCAGCCTCTTATATAATGGTAAGTTACCAGGCTGCCTGAAAGGCTCTGGCTTATTTTTGACTAATGACTAAATCATTCTCTGACTCCAGTTCGAGGATCTGGCCAATTCTGGTTTTGTAAAAGCCATCGGAGACATGTGAAAGAAATGGCATTTCCTCATAATAATCACCACCTCTTACAACACATTTTCAGACTCTAAATCCATTTTCTTTAAGGCAATGAGGCTACATGACTTTACATCTCAGTAGCCCTCGGTAAAATTCACATAGACCTATGGTTGATTCATGTTGAAGTCTGACAGAAAACAACAAAATTCCGTAAAGCAACTAAATTAAAACTTCAATTAAAAAATAATAATTTTTTAAAAATTCACATAGAGAAAAAGTTTGACTTTCCTGGGCCTCACCATGTGTGCAGAGACCTAGAATGATACAGGAAGAGAGTGACACTGTGTGGTGAGACCAAAGAATGTATTTCCAGTAACAGAATTTGTTACAATGTTTTGCTATATAGTTGCTTTTCATTTTGATGGAATATTATCCATCATCTTCTGGTGTTAGAGTAAGGATGTCATCAGAATATTCTTCTACAAACACATTTTTCTATTAAGCTTAAAAAACTCACATAAGAAAGATTTCTTAACATCCAGATAAAAACCAAATATAGGCTCACACATCACATAAATTGCAAAATCCCACTCTAGAAACCCACACCATGCCCATAACTCACCTCCACTTTTAGTTTTTCCCCATATCTCTTTTCCCAGAGGTATTTGTTCCAAAGGATCTGAATAATAATTCTTTACAGCTATCTGTATCATATATGTTGAAAATGGTTGTAAACCTTCAATAAGGGCGATACTCCCCTGAAATTCCTGTAATTAATTTTAAAAAATCAATAACTTATTCTTATTTTTGTAGAAATGGGGAGAAATTATTTAATCAAAGAGAGAAAAAGGAAAAGACTCAAAATTTTAATTTATTTTTAAATCTTGGATCATGACTGACAGTTTCATTGTCCTAGTCTGCCCAGACCTGAATTATTTAATGTTTCCAGGAATGCCAAATGATTGGCAGCCCTCAGTCAGTTGTTATTTAACTATTTTATGTAGGATGTTAAATTCCCAGAGGACAAAATTGTCTTATTAGCCGTGCATTAGAAATTCAGCAGGAAGGTATTGTAAGGATGTGACATGTAAGTGAATACAGTAAAAGATTAAGCTATGTTACCTAATCATTCTTAGAAATAAAGCTTAAGAAACTGAAAAGGCTTTCCTTAGACCAACGGTTCTCAATTTTGGTTATACTTTGGAATCATCTGGGGAATTTTAAGAAAACACTGATGCCTGGGTCCCACCCCTAGAGATATGATTGCATTAGTCTTAGGTGAAGCATGTGCTCAGAGACTTTAAAAACTCCAATGCACTATCAAGGTTGAGAACCACTCACTGCCTTTGATCCATGTTAATCACTATGAAGCCGAAACAATAGATTAACTCTAATAAGAGAAATGCCAATGCCAGAAGCCCAATCTTAGTCAGCCAAATGATCTAATCTGTCTCTGAAACAACTCCTTTTAGAAATGTGTAAAGGAAGATTAAAATAGACAAAATTCAAAAATAAATAATATATATATTTTAAATAGACAAATGAAGTAACAAGAATCAGGTGTACTTTCTGTCAAAGTGTATAGCGCTTGTTACCACCAATAGATGATGGTCAATTTCACCTTTTCACTTGATCAAAATATAAGTACAAAGAAAAATACTAGAAACACATGATTCCATCACGTGGAATTAGAACATCAGTGCCAGTGTTGGAATGAATTGTGTCCATTCATTCATTCAAGAAATACCTAGTAAATGCCTATACAATGCCAAGTAGTATGCTAGGTGCTAGGAATACAATGATGGATAAAAAGGTAGTCCCTGCCTAATCGTACATTTATAGAAAATAAAAATATAAAGTGCAATTTGTATATTAGCTATATACAATGGAAAAGAGGTACACAATAATGTTCTTTCTGCCCAATTTACTTCTTACCCCTCAATCTGTTGGGATGGCCACAAAAACAGGTCTCTATCACTTTCTGGGTATAATTAGATAAAATAATTAGAGAGGCAACAAACCCAGCTCTTTTAGGACACTCAGGGAACAGTTACTATAAGGCAATCTACCATTAGTTAGAGTTAATGTACTTCCTTAAAGCTTAACTTACTCCCAGGCAAGAGACTAGAATGGTTTGATGATTCAGTTGTAAAAATCAGAGTAATAGCATATTTCAGAACATTATACAGAAAATACTTCGGCTGAGGATTTTATATCAAAATAGGGTATCTTGGGAAAAGACAACTGGCTTCAGCCTTACCAGCATTTTATCTCTCAGTTCAGAGCTGTTCTTCATGTCAATTACTTCTTTGTAATAAACCAGGTATGTGGGAGTGGGACTGGTGATGCCGTCCCATGTAAGTTTTGTCCGAGTGGGTGGTAATCTGATTGCGAGGCTGGTGTTAGTGGTGTTAAGTATAGTTGGCTCTGCAATATCAGAAGCTAGAGACAGAAATGCTCTATCTAAAATAATAATAAAAATGATTAAATACATATACACATATGGATAAAAGAGAATCAGGAGATTTGTCTAACATCAAGGATAATTTCACATTTCATTTTTATTTAACAGATAAGGTATGATATATTGGAGTGTTGGAAATGTTATTCTGGACAGGAAGACACTTTTTTTTCATGTATTTTGAAGATGCTAAATGCCTCGGGAAAAAGAGCAAAGTAACTGGTAATTGCTTACAATCTCCAGCAGATGGAGCGAAAGTACGCTTAATTATGTACCTGCTGCTGCGTTAGTCACTTCAGTTGTGTCTGACTGTGCGACCCTGTGGCTTGTAGCTGGCCATACTCCTCTATCCATGGGATTCTCCAGGCAAGAACACTGGAGTGGGTTGCCGTTTCCTTCTCCAATGCATGAAAGTGAAAAATGAAAGTGAAGTCGCTCAGTCGTGTCCGACTCTTAGCGACCCCATGGACTGCAGCCCACCAGGCTCCTCCGTCCATGGGATTCTCCAGGCAAGAGTACTGGAGTGGGGTGCCACCTAGACAGTAGCAAAATGGACCCTTTTTTATTTCGAAGAAAGTAATGAGAGCATTCTATCAGTCCCATTTTTCAATGAACTCCTATGATGAAAACTGATGTCACCTTTAGGACTTTCATTCTACAGATATGCCTGTGTGCTCAATCTCAACTATCTCTTAACGAATTATTTACCAAAATATATATTCAGCTTATTTATGAATTCTCCCATTTTTCATACTGTATAACTTACATATTTTATAACTGAATACATTTAAGCAAAGAGAGTTTCTTCTCTTCATTTCTGTCCATCTCTAAGAGGGAATTATACTGAATTTAGAATGACATTGTGACTTTAATGGAAGAGAGAACTTAAGAAAACCACTTTAGGTTTGACTATCACCCATAAGGCTATGTGATGCTGCTTTTGTTTTTGGTTGGTTGGTTTTTATATTTCAAACATTTTTTATTATGACTCTCAGCAAAAAATATAGTCAGTTCCACCATAATATGATACATACATTCCTTTGAGCCACTTTTTTTTTTTTTTGAGGGGGGGCGGTTGGTGGTGGGGGGATGGGGGTGGGCAAGACTACCATTCCCTTCTTCAGGAGATCTTCCTGAGCCAGGGATCAAACCCAGATCTCCCACACTGTAGCTCCTGCCTGAGCTACCAGGGAAGTCTTGATACATACATTCCTAAAAGGCATTGCATTAAACAAAATCCAGAAGGTTTGTGGGGAAAATAGATTTAGGAGCACAACACTAGAAAACTTCATGGATGACACATGAAATAAACAAAATAGAAACAATAAAAATAGTAGTACACATGTACACACGTTAAATAGTTGACATATATAATACTATAATGCATAAGTCACTTCACCTTGAAAAAGATCTGAAATTAAATGCAAAGCTTTTTGACACCACTGGGAAGTCTAAAATACCATCAGGGGAAACACAAGACAAAAAGAAGGGAAGCTATGTGACTGAGAAGAGAAAGAGAACAGACAGATTGACAGGACAAGGATTTCCCACATCTAAAGGGGCCTACCACAGCCCAAGCCACGAGTACACATAGAGATAAATTGTGACCCAGGGCAAATAGCAATTACACTGTGCACCAAACCCTGAGCATTTGGAGCAATGCTGAGAGTACAATGAAGAACTGGAAGGACTGCCCTGGAAGAGGAGACATTATGAGATTTTCCTGATCTGAAACTGGGAGAACAAGCTTATAAAAAATGTGATTTTCCTACCTGGAAAAGGCTGTAGAACTGAACTGTAAACCAAAATATGCTTACTCCTTGGGGCTTCCCCCTGGGAGAGGATGGCCCCATTGCTTTTCTTTGCTTGATAAATCTGTGTGCTGTCCTCTACTTTGGAGATCCAATAAAGAAATTCTCCATCCACAGTCAAGCTAACAAGCATTTTTCCTGCTGATAAAAATCATAAATGAAAGAAAGAACATAAAGAACAAAATACATAGCTGACATTTTCTGCTCTAAGCAATATGTGAAATCTTTTTTTCCGATCAATTTCTAATCTATTATTTCAGTACAAAAGAATAATTTTATTTTGAATTTTTAGCCTAAGTATTTTATAGATATTTTCTCATTTTACTGCCATATCAAGTCATTTCAAAGCAAATACTATTATTATTAGTCTAATTTTGTAATTAGGAAACTGAGGCTTAGAGGGGTGAAATAATCCCCTCAAAGCCACAAAGTTATCCAAGGGCAGAACCAGGATTCAAAACTTAGCTGTGTGCTTTCATATGAAACAACACTAAATGAAGGGAGGTAAGAGATGAGGCTCAGGGCTCAGTACCTCGCTCAATATTTTTATCCATGATTTAGAATGAATGCAGAACAAACTTATTTATCAAATTTGCAGATAATACATATGAATCCTAATGTCACTAGTGCAGTCAGTCTTTGGCTTACCATTCAAAAATATCACAGCAGAATCATGAAATGGATGGAAATTCAATAGCATTTAATTTAATAACAAATATAACATCCTAAATTCAAGGTTAAAATCAAGTCTGTAAATTAGGAAAGAAATCTGGCTTTATAATCATTAACATAAAGAAGACCATGGGTTCTTCAAATGGCAGGCAGCTCAAAGGCCTGATGTCACTTTCAGCTGCAGTAAAAGAAGACCTGAGTAGTCAGAGGTCCTCTGCACTGACCAGAACATATTCAAAGTACAGTGAGTTATTATGGGGCACCATTTAAGAGGATTAAGCAGCTAGAGTTAAATCTCAGGAGGGTGGAGAGGGCAAAGAAAGATCTAGAAGCCACATCGCCTAAGGAGTACTTATAGATACTTAAATTTTTTCCTCTAAAGGAAGTGCAGCTGTTTCTACAATTAAGTGGCTATCATGTGGAAAGTGACTGATTTATACTTAGTAAATTTAAAGATCAGAATTCAAGCCAATGAATAGAGAAATGGGAGACAACTTTAAACATAAGAAAAATATATAATATCTAGAATTGCACAAAAATTAAACAGACTTCTTTATAAGGTAGTAAATGTTTCACAAACAAGAGCTCCAGCAGGGCTGTTTTTGTAAAGAAGATTTCTTACAATATTACATCAGCTAAAACATCTCTAAAGTTATTCTAATTTTCTAATTTGGGGATTACGGATTTCAATTGTGGCTTCCTGAAAGACTGACTAGTTCTACAAGATAAGGGCCCATTAGATAGTCCTGTGTATCAGATGTTAAGGAAAGTTATTCTGACACTTGTTTAAATGGTTGGGAAGACGTTAATCAAGGCTGTTGTAATATTGCAATAGGGGAGGGAGACGTGGACAACTCAGATACAACCAGGACAGCAGGGGCTGTTGCCAACGAGGAGAGGAGAATCAAGGGGCGGGGGATTCCTGCTAAGCTGGTCCAATTGGATTTTTGCTAACAGCGAGCCGAGAACATCAAGAAAGGGGGATAAAGAACTTGGTCAGATGCTGAGCGGGAGGGATTCTCTCTAAATTGATCTGGCAAGATTCTTGATAAAACTGGACTCAGCAAGGATGGACATGCAAAGTCAAATGTGAGGCCTAGTTTAGTTACACTCCTCACAAGAGTGTAACTAAAGGTTAATTAGAGACTTCCCTGGCAGTCCAGTGGTTAAGACTCTGCACTCCATGCTCCTATGGTGTGAGGCACTGGTTGCATACAGGAAGTAAGATCCAGCAGGTCACGAGGCACGGACCAAAAAGAAGGAATTAAAGTTTGACCAAGGAGTCTTTGTGAGTCTTTGTGAGTGTATCTGTGAGTCTTTGTCACAGATTCAATAGAGGCAAGTTATCCTCCTAGTAAGAGAAGTTCAAAACATTATCTCTAATCTGAAGCCCACTGAAAGTACATTGGAATTATTTCTAGAATGCTCTGGGTGACATGTCAACAAAACCATACATTCTGTTATACCACACACACACACACACACACACACACATTTGCAGTTTCAAAATGCCCAACAGCACTTTTGATGATGGAAATATTTTATATCTATGATGCCCAGTACAGTAACCTTAGCCACTTAATCGGTTTTGAGCATTTAAAATGTGACTAGTGTGGCTGAGGAATTAAATTTAGAATTTAATTTAATTTTAATTAATTTAAACTTAAATCACCACATGTGATGAGCAATTACTATACTGGATGGTGAGGACTAGAGCTTTAAGAATATATGGGGATGTTTAGGGTGTTTTTTAAACTTTACAGGTACTTCTAATTAGGAGACTACCAAATGACTTTAAAATATTTCCTCTACAAGCTTGTGAATTTCAACAAATAGACCTGTCAAATATTGACCAAGTCACACTAAATGTGGAGGCAATGAGATCAGCACAGGAGTGAAGTACTGGTAGGAAGATCAGGGATGCTGTAATTAGGCCCAGTTTCAAAACACCAGCTTCTGTATTAATTGTGGCCTTACAGACATGTGACCTTACCTTTCTCGGCCTCAGTCTCCTTATCTGTAAAACGCAAATATTAATATCTACTTCACTGAGGTATTTTGAAGATCAAATGCAATAATGCATTTAGTAACCTGTCTAGAATATGTAATTAAGCTCAATAAGTTGTATTAATACTTCTGTTAACTGTAAAATGACAAGAAAAAAGCTCCCTAATAGATCCAGAAAATTATGTGAATGCCTATGTACAATTTGCCTGAATACAGCTTAAATTCTACAAAAACATTTGGCATGGTCTGGAGCAAATACCATATATGTATATTATATGTGTGTATGTATATATATGTATATGCATATATATTCATTTGAGTATATGTTGCCTGTAACCCCTTTTTAATGGGACAGGAAGGTCTCCCATTGCCAGTGAAGATCTACATACACACATGTGTCTTACCAAGAAGAGCAGGCAGGATGATAATTTGCTGACACTGACATGCTTCTAGATCTGTGGCCCAGATCTCTTGACCTTTGACAAAGTATATCTGTGGTTTCTTTAGGTCAGAGGTGTCAATAGTCATTGCTCCACTCAACTCAGATTCAGTCACATTGCAAGAACATTGGCTCCCGTTTGGATGGTTTGTGACTGGGGCTTGCAGAATTCCATGCACAGTCTGGTTGATAATACTGTAGTAGAACATCTGAGATCCAGAACCAAAAACTTCTGTCCAATATAGGCGACTATTGGGGAAAAAAAAGATCCTCCAGTTTAATCAGTTAAACCTACCATCACACATATCACTTTCTAATGAAGAGACATCGTTTCTGATGACTGTGGGAACAAATGCCACCTTTAGAGAGAACATATCTCAGTGCTCAAAAACCTTCTGATGGAAAAGGTCACATGAAGTCTAGTATGCAGCGTTTGCCAACAATTTCTCAATAAATGTGTTTACAACAAAAGCCTTGGATTATAATGACCTTGTAAGTGTGTTTAGTCACTCATTTGTGTCCGACTCTTTGTGGCCCCATGGACTGTAGCCGATCAGGCTCCTCTATCCATGGAATTCTCCAGGCAACAATACTGCAGTGAATAGCCATTCCCTTGTCCATGGGATCTTCCCAACCCAGGGATCGAACTCATGTCTCCTGAATTGCAGGTGAATTCTTTACCATCTGAGCCACCAGGGAAGCCTTAATGATCTTAGGTGTTGTATTAAATGGCTCATTAAAGGCTCTAAATATGAAATACATTTGCATACTTTCCATCAACACCATCTCCATTCCTCTCTTCTTAATTTGGTTTCCACTTCTTAATACTAGTTACCAATCTAGTTTCAAGATAGATTATAACAATGCTAATGGCACAAACATAAGCAACCTGAAAAACTGCCCTTCAGTTGCTGAGTGGAGGTCTTAAAATTCATCTAATGAAGACATTAATTAAAGACAAATGAACCCAGAATATCATTTACTGTGCAAAACAAACTGCCTATCTCCTGCTCATTTCCTGCCACTGTCTCAATCCCCTTCCTGTCCTTACCAACTGGGGGTGTTTATTAAATTCACTGGATTAAAAATACAGTTTCCTGCTGGTAATTAATCTAACTTTAGGTTAAAGGAGTTCTCAGTATGGATTAATTTTATATAGTGGTGGTTATGGGCTCATTATTCATATATAGAATTACTTACTGTAAGTTAACATCAAGAACATTAAGCATCTTAGTGTCCCATCATTGCCTCTGATATTAAACCAAAGATATCACATTAAATATGTTTATGTCTATTTCATCACAATAGAAACAGATACACTTCACATACCTTAAAAAAGGATACACAGAAAAAGAAGCTATTGTTGAATTTCTGTTGCAAGCTTTCAGCTTCCTGGGATATTTCACCTTGTTTTCAAGATCCATATCAAATATTTGCATTCTGTTTTGTGACTCTTTCAGCACAAAGTAGAGGTGCCTTGAAATCCAGTCAATTGTAATAATTGTGATATCAAAAACCAGTGCATCTCTGAAAATCTTAACAACAGGTAGAAAGCACAATCAAGAAGATAGTGGTCATTTTCCTCAAATCTGATGACTTTTTTTTAAACACTCGTATTACTTATTAACTGCACTTCTCTTTTGTAACATCGAAACTTGGTAACTCTGGACTGTGTACCGTTGTGACACTGGACCTCTTTTCACACGTGGTTAATTTCAATCACCATGACTTCAACTGTAATCCGTAGACCAATGCTACAAATCTACATCTTCAGGCAAGGTGGCTCATTGAGTTACTGATTCAAATATCAAACTACCTACTGAAAATCTCCAAATGAATGATCCCAGGAAACAGAATGCATCCCTCCACCCCCAATTCTCCTTTCTCCTGCATTTTATATTATTATGGATTTCCAGCACTCACCTGAGGGACAATCTTGACAATTGTCATTCACCCTTGACTTCTTCCTCCCATTACTACCCATAGTGAATTATGGGTAGTATCTCCCGAGTTTATCCTCTCTTCTCTCACTCACTGTCTCTCATTTCCTGCTTAAAATTTCCTGTCTGGATTTCTGTGATAGCCTCCTGACTGCCTCCGACTTAACCTTCTCTAAGGGTATTCAGACAGGGAACAGAGAGGTCTTCCTGAAACACTGGTTGATTGCGTTAATGATGCACTAAATGTCTTGAATGGCTTAATGCTGGCTTTAAAATTGACACTCAACTCCTTAGCACATTATATTCAGGTCCCTGCCCACCTCTCTGGCTTTAACACCTGCCTTTCCTGTGCCCTCACCTCCATCTCCATTCCAAGTTCCTTCTACTTGTTGTGTAGTCACCAAATCATGTTCAATTCTTTTGCCACCCCATGGACTGTACCCCTTGAGGCTCCTCTGTCCATGGGATTCTCCAGGCAAGAGTACTGGAGTGGGTAGCCATTCCCTTCTCCAGGGGATCTTCCCAACCCAGGGATCAAACCCATGTTTCCTGCATTGCAGGCGGATTCTTTACTGCTGAGACACCAGGGAAGACTTCCTTCTAGTTACAGCTCCCCAAACAGGCTGTGACTCTCTGGTTTCCCAGACTTTGCTGATCGCTCAGCCATGCCCCACTTTCACCTGGTTCATCATCTTTGTACGCAAGATGTCTTTCCACGCTACCACTACCGCCACCATTCCACCCTGGGTTAAGTATCCGTTCTCTGCAGTCCCACTGCATCCTGCCCTCAGCACAGCACTTACAGTCTTCTGCCTATCCCCTCCACTAGCTAAATTCAGTGAATGCTTACCACATGCCAGGCATTGTGCTAAGTGCCTGCCAAGGCTTAGCTCATTAATCTTCTCTCTAAGATGAGGGACTATGCAACCACAGTGGTTAAAGAAATTGCTGACGATCACAGATCTAGCATGTAACAGACTCAGAATTAAACTCTAGCTTGTCAGATTTCAAAGCTCACCCTCTTAACCACTAAGCAACACTGTTTTCATCAACTTAGACTAATACTAGACTGGATTTGTTCAAAGACAGTGACTTTTTTTTTACCTCTATCTCAGGTAACACAGTGCCTTAAACCCACTGTTTGCTAAATTAAGCGTGAATCACATTTACCCCAAATCCAACCTGAATTCATTTGTAACTAAATAATTAAACAACACCTGTCTTTTTCAGCCATTCTAATCTTAATGTCTCAACCACTGGCCAATCATTTTAATCACAGGTTTGTGTGATAGGCAAATACTCCACTTTCGTTCAAAGGAATTACATAGCAAAATACCTTAGTGCTGGACCGGTTGTCCATTTTGAGGAGGAAGAGGGAGTCTCCCTGAGCATAGTACCCCACTGCATCATCAGCTGTGTAGCCCATGGCACCAACATCCCCTTCTGCTGAAAATGTCCATGCGACCTGATTTCGATCCATATCTAATAAAGTTATCTTGTTGTCAACAAGAGTTATGAGGTATGGAAATGGGTTAATTTCTAAGAACAAAACAAGTAGATAATATGTATGAGAAAAAGAACTTTAGCAAAACCCCTTGATTCAATATCAGACCATTTTGAAATCAATGAGTCTCTGGGCTCATGAACTACACCTACACCCATCTCGATGGAGACTGCCCAGGCACTCTAAGCCTAGGTTTATATAAGCAGATTTGGTGATGATAAAAGTTGATTACTTTATTTGGCGTTAGTTTCAGCTCAGAGATAGTACTTGGGTATCTCTCAGAATACTAACGGTCAAAATGTTTTTAAATCACTAGAGAGAGAGTGAAGTGAAAGTTGCTCAGTCGTGCCCAACTCTTTGTGACCCCATGGACTGTCCATGGAATTCTCCAGGCCAGAATATTGGAGTGGGTAGCCTTTCCCTTCTCCAGGGGATCATCCCAACCCAGGTACTGAACCAGGGTCTCCTGCATTGCAGGCAGATTCTTTACCAACTGAGCTATCAGGGAAGCTCCTGATAATGAAATCACTAATTGTTATTAATATTTGATAATTAAATCAAATTTATATTATATAAAATTAATATATTAATATTATATAAACATATAATATTAATATTTTATAATTAAATAATTAATTGTTATTAACACTTGCACAGGTTCCAGATGATAAATACCTGATGTTTTGGACTTTACTATGTCAGAAAATGGTCCAGGTCCTTTGGATGTGAAGACTCGAACCTAAAGAAAGAAAAGGATATAAAGAAGTGCCTTCAGAAGTGTCCTGAGTGACAATAATTAAGTTCTAAGACTGATAAATTATTGAGTGGTTCATTTCAGAGTTATAAGATACATTATGAATAGTTTAGTTAGTCACATCTAAGTATACAACAATAAATTATAAGGGAAAATATTGTCCTAAACTACTGTTGGTAAGATTTTTATTGTCCAGAAAAGTACAAAGTAATGGCACAAATCCCTATTGCAAAAGATCTAAAGTTCTTAAAAAAGGTCTTTAGCTATTTCCAAAATTAAGTTACGTGGAATATTTAACAGAAACAAAACTATACAGATTATGGTAAATTACTTATCGTGAAATCAACATGAAGTTTCAAATAACTAAATTTACTGTACTTTTTAAAAAGGAGATTTATAAAAAGAAAATAGTAATTAACCCTTATATTTGAAAATGAATTGTGTGTTTCAAACCACTTTTACATATATTATTTCTTTTGATCCTCACAACTACTGAGAGTAGAAACTGGGCAAAGATCATCATTAGGGTAGGTAACCCAGCCACAATGACACAGGTAGGAACTGGCATAAGAACTAAGTCTTCTGAGGTCTGTATGCTTTTCTTCCCACTGTGCCACGTTGCATTCCAACAGCAACATTTTTTAACAATTTTTATTAGATGTCTTTTATTACATAATAATTATTTCCACTTCAAAACCTTGCCTGTGTACTATAGCCTACAAGAAAATTGTTGTCCATAAGGATGACCTTGAAAGATAGATCCTCAAGTGTTCTCTCAATCAACAAAACATTGGTTCATTTTTATTATACTTCTATTGAATCTATTCTACTGTATTCTATTTATCACTATCTGTCTATGGTGTGTGTGTGTATGTGTGTGTGTAACATGGTACATATATATATGTGTGTATTTTATATATATCAAGCAGTCTTTACTTCTGCACTGGACTATTCAAGTAAAACTCATGCCTATGTATGTATGTCACTTTGCAAAGTTCTGTCCTGACTGAGATTTGAACCACTATAATAACCATACAGGCTCAGTGGTAAAGAATATGCCTGCCAATGCAGGAGACATGGGAAGAGCCCCTGGAGGAGGAAATGGCAACCTACTCAAATATTCTTCCTGGGATATCCCATGGACAGAGAAGCCTGGTGGGCTACAGTTCACAGGGATGCAAGAGTTGGACACAAGTGTGAGACTAAACAACACCAACAAACCATAGAGGCAAACACACTTAACCAGAGTATTTGTTTAACTGGAACACACACAATTCTTAACAGATAGGAATGTGTATTACCTTTCACTTTTATGTATAATTTTTATTAATATATGTTAACAATACTTTGGCCACCTCATGCGAAGAGTTGACTCATTGGAAAAGACCCTGATGCTGGGAGGGATGGGGGCTGGAGGAGAAGGGGACGACAGAGGATGAGATGGCTGGATGGCATCACCAACTCGATGGGCATGAGTTTGAGTAATCTCCGGGAGTTGGTGATGGACAGGGAGGCCTGGCGTGCTGTGATTCTTGGGGTCGCAAAGAGTCAGACATGACTGAGAGACGGAACTGAACTGAACTGAACTGAACTTAATATATTATAAAAATAATCGTTGAATTAAAATTTTTCAAAAATAAAATAGATCTTCTGGAAACCACAAATCTCTAAAACTCTCCCCAAAACCTTACATTTCCCAAAAAGGATGGAAAATAACTCTAAATATGCACAACCTTGTCACTAACCTGATATATAATGAGGATGTAGAAATCATCAAGCCATCTACCGTAAGGGGAAAGCTTTGTCATATTAAATTAAAAATGCCAAAACAGGTGGCAGTAGCTTTTTCCTTTTGACTCATACTCTCTTTCACTTTCTTCTCTCTCAGCAGCCAGGCGAAAAATGTGAGATGTCAATTACCCAGACCCTCAGCTTCTATTTCCTTCCGTAACTGGAAGTAAGAGCATCCCCACTTGTTGGATGCCTCCCAGCAACTGATGTGATATGATGGAAAGGATTCTAGAAGCCAGACCAAACAGCACACTACTTCCCAACCACACAGCTTTGGTATCTCCCTGATGCACCCGGGGACATGGCTTTTTTTCACAGACAATGTGAAGATCAAATGAGATAATCAACATAAAAGCACCTACCGTGACACATGGCCTTTAGTGATGGAGCCAAAAATAATGATTTATTCTGAATCTGGAAGCAAGAAAGTGTCAAGATGTCCTTAATCCTAGCTGTCCCCTCTCCCTGCTACATATTTGCTGCCACTCGACCTCTGTGATTACAGCATACATCAAATTATTAACAGAGCCGACTTCTTAACCTAGTCCTTTAATCCACTCTCTGTTTACACTGAGACCCCCGTATCCCCATTTTCACTCCCGTACCTGGAAGGCCACGCTGTACCCAGGACTCATGACCCCCAGCTGAAAAGACATCACTGAGGGAGTGACATTGACAGCAATCCAGTCTTCCAATGTTTTGTTTGTGTCGTTTTGGTTGGATATTTGGTAGAAAATTTCAAATCTTGTTAACACGCCGTTTTCATGCTGAGGCTTATTCCACCTAAATTCCACCACAACTTCATTCTTGTTACAGTGTTTTTCACTTGGTAATATAAATATTCTGGGATTCTCTGGTGCTGATGGAACTGAAAAGCAGAGACACAGGGCAGAAAAGAATATAAGGTCGACTTCTATCACTCACGATGAGGGTACAGAGCAACATGGTAATAATTATTTCTCATTCCAGACAGTTAAGGTGTATCTATCTTGTCCTTAAAGATCTTCTGGAGAGAATATGCCATAGATTTCTTCAGGAACCTATCCTGATATTTCTGCTAGTCTTCCTTTTCTCCAACCCAAATCCTGCTTCCTACCACTGAGGCTCATCTTTCTAGTCTGTGTCTGTAGACATGGAAGCTGGCTAGTTCCCCTTATAAAATACAGTATTTACTCCCATTCTGGAGGTGGAAATGGCACTCACTATTGGAAGGAAGACACTATCTCTATCTAGATTTTAGTCAGTTCAGGGTGTAAAATAAAGCATATCCAGGGTCCAGGTCATCTCATCTTGAACCCTCTCTGAGAGTATGGCTTGACTGTTGCCATCTATTCTAGAGCCAAACCAAGCAATTGAGCCTCTCACAGTCCTTTAATTAATTTCTCTGTGTGTATGTCAATCAAGAGGAATTCTTCTGCCTGTTTTCCAAGTTGTGCCATCCAAGACATTCTTCTTCTTTCTCAGGATTCCCCCACAAGGTCTTTTCCCAGTCTCTCATTCCAATCCCATTGCTCCTCAATGTTCAGCATTCACATCATTATCCAATCCCCAGGCCTTTTTACATTGTACCTACATGGGATAAACCTCTTCTTCCTTCATCCCTTAGAGCCCAGCTAAAGTTTCCACTCCCCGAAGGCAGGCCTTCCCTGGTCACACCAGTCCACAAGCGTGGCCCTCTCCTAAGAATGCTTCACTTGATAGAGGTGAAGCTTTCATGGCTTGTTTATTCACTCTACGCTATTGCTAGTCAACTGTCACTGTCTCATTTCTATTATTATTAGCAATATCTGTGCTTATCTCTCTGCATTTTTTTAAAAATTTCCCCCCAGCTTTATTAAGATATAATTGATATATGGGCTTCCTTGGTGGCTCAGACAGTAAAGAATCGCCTGCAATGCAGGAGACCCAGATACAGAGTCCTGAGTCCTGCAATACAGAGATCCCTGAGTCAGGAATATTCCCTGGAGAAGGGAATGGCAACCCGCTGCAGTATTCTTGCCTGGAGAATTGCATGGACAGAAGAGCCTGACAGGCTACAGTCCACGGGGTTGCAAAGAGTTGTATACAACTGAGTGACTAATACTTTCAATAGACATATAATGTTGTTTAGGTTTAAGGTGTACAATGTGATAGTGTGATACACACATATATATTGCAACATGATTAAGGTCAATTAACACATAAACTTACATAATTATAATTGTTTGATGTGGCGATAACATTTACTATCTACTCTCTTAGCAACTTTCAGGTATATAATACAGTATTGTTGACTACAGTTACCATGATATACATTGATCCCCAGAACTCATAACTGTTTTATGAGCTTCATCACAGAAAGAGAGAAAGCACCCTTTCTTAATCCTTATTAAATCCCTCCAAATATAGCAGAGGACTGACGCACAGTAAGTGCTTAATAAATATTTGTCAATTTGAATGATTTCCAACTATATTATAAATTTCCCAGAGGCAAGTGCCAAATCGTATCATTCTTCCTTATTGCCAAGTACTGATGATCCCTTGTTCCCAGTGCATCCCATGGTGGATGCAGTCAAGTCCATTCCACAGAAGAATTCTACCAAAGCTAACATCCCCAAGGCAATCTCAAAGAGTGCACACATGAATCCAAATGCTAACTGCTCCGGAACCTGCCCAGGTTCCACTATGTTCCTGTTATGAGACTCCTGAATAAATACTGCTGAGAAAATCTTAACAGTTTTTAAAAAATGCAATGGCAAATGGATTTCTATGTTTATTGTGCTCTTACTATCTGCCAGGTCCCATGCTGGGAAGTTTATATAAATTAAATTAACGTGATATGATCATTTGCCAATGTTTACAAAACTGACTGAATGGAGATTTGAAGAAACCAGAGTGAAAAGTCCAGAGTAAGCCCCAGCCCCGCCACTTAACTATCTTACATGGGGCAACTCCTAGGCTTAACATAACGTAATAACCTGCTAAGTGATTGTCATCTCTTAGCATAACGGAGATAATAACCTGTTCTACCTACTGCAGAGCTGTATAAGGATCAAATAAAATGATACAATAATGTTTCTGACACATGATAGGGATGTAATAAATGTTTAATAAAGAAATGATACATATAAATGTACTCTGTACACTTTTAAAGTGATATTCACATGTAAAGATGTGGCTAATTTCCCTTTTAAAAATATATTCCAAAGAAAAACACTTTTTAAAAAGTGACATCAGTTATTCACCTACAGAAGATTCTGAGTTACCATCTATAAGAACACCAGGGTAAACCTGCCTTCCAGGAAATTTTTACCTTCTTAAATCCCCTTTGTCCTTAGGAAGCATTTCACAAATAACCTGAAACATATTTCTGCATTTGATACATACATCATCACAGTCAAGTGAAACAGTCTTTAAGAAATCTGAAATATTATTTTGAAGTTAATTATGCAGATTTATTTTGCTATTCTAATACCCAAAAAGTCACTGAAAGAGTATTGAATCAAAATACATCTACACAAAACTAAAAATGATTGTCAAAAATGATTACTTATCCATTCTAGATCATGGAAAGCAAGATTTTGCCTTTTTTATAAAGAGATTTTAACCGTTGTACCTGATTCGGGAGTTCGGAGTGATAGAGATGTTTTGGGACCCTTTCCCCAGTAGGTATAAGGAGTGACAGAAAGATTAAATAAGGCATAGGGCTCCAGCCCTTCCACAGTAAATACAGGTTTAGACTGTTGTTCACTAGCCAGGAACTAAAATATAAGCACAAAACATTATTTTCTTAGGGAGAGAATCATAACATTTTTTTCCAAATTACAATCTTTAAACTTTAGTCCACATGAAAGTTAGCCTTGCAATTTTGGAAATGCTAATGTTGCTAAGTTCCATGTTGTTCCACAACACTAGTGTATGTAACACACGAATGGTTAACACTAACCATATAGCAATCAGAGACTAGCTGTAAAACAGAATTCTCGGGAATAATCTTTATAACCAAATGCTACAGGAACAGTGAGGGAGATGGATTCAGTTAAGTAACGATTAAGTGCAAATCAGTACAGGCAGGCCTGATGCAGATGGTACAGTCCTCTTGAAAACTAGAAGTTACTAGAACCAATGCCATACCTTAGAATGAGCACTAAATTCCACACTGTAGAAAATGATGCCCCAATCCACTGCTGGGGGAGCATTCCAGAGGATGTGAAATCTCGAAGCATTTCCTTCAATCATAAACGAAGACTCTGGAATGGCATCTGGGATAACCTTAGGGGTAAAGGAGAAGTTCCCTATGGGAGGAAAGAAAGAATAGAGGGAGAAAAAAATGGGGATTATCAATTATCACGGACACGTGGAATATTAATAGAAACCACTGATAATTAGAACCAAAATAAAATTTTTCTTTCCTTTAATATATCCTGAAAATCATCTTTTTCTGACTGTTTCAGGCTGTAAACTTGGGTTAAGAGTTAAAAGGATTGCAAGCACAGAAACTACTAAAGCCTTTTTTCCCTCTTAAAACATAATTTTAAAGGAAAAAAAAAACCAACCTTATAATTTATTTAACAGAAAGTATGGAGAAGAAAGGGTAGGCAGGAATACAATATCCTACCTGGCAGAGGCTTGAGGGATGTCTGAACAATTGTGAACTGATTAAATTTGGCTGGTTCCAAAATGGAGACGCTGGTCCTCTGACTGATTTCCTGAGCTGTGATAATCCGAAAGCCGTTGATCCAGAAAAGCCGACCACTGTAGAACATCAGTGCGTTCTGAGAAATGTCGGAGGTGCTCCAGGCTGCGAATTCTGTGATGGTGGTGTCCCCGGCACTGCTGAAACAGGACGCCAATTAGCATGTGTGTCGGGAGTGGGGTAAGGGGTGGTGCGTTCAAGTAGAGAATTCAAGAGGTGAGAATGTGTGTTTCGTGTGTTTGAAAACAAAGAGAACAAACTTTGCAACAATAATTCTCATTATTCTTAAGTCTCTGTAAAGTTGACTTTTTGCATTTTTCCAGGAAGTATTCCTCAAGTAGATTTTCCAGGCTTTTCTTACGAACGTGATCTTGCCATAGCAAGTGTTACACAGATCTTAATAAATCCTCGTGATTTTTCGTAATAAACTCACATCGTAGGCACAACCCACTGATTGGTTTCTCCTCACTGCCTTCCTCTTCTTCTTGGTTAGTTGTACTATTTACTCACCAATCTTTATTCTAAGCTGTTTGATCCTTCGCTTTATACTATTCCCAACAGTCAGTTGCTTCATTGATACTTACCAATTTCCACAGTTTAGTCCAAATGCTGTTTCAGACCAGGGAATTCAAGTAAACAGGATGTCATTTAAAATTGCTTTTAAAGTTTTTTCTCGATGACAAGGAATTTTATCATGATTTTTACTTTAAAAATCTGCTTGGTTGTTTCTAAAATTACCTGGATTTTCTAGTACTCAATAATAACTATCTCAATGATTCTCAGCCTTTTGGAGTAGTCATTTCACTTTAAAAAAAATGATCTCTCTATATCTTTTAAAGTGTTGACATTCCCCTTTTTAGAAAAATATGGCACTTAAAATCAAAATAAATAAAAGTTTTGTTTTGAAAGTTTCATTAATACCTCCTTGAGAAAACCGAAATTACTTCAGAAGACCTGGGAGTTGTGAGCCTTATAAAGAAAAACAACATTCACTTGTACTATTCCCATAGTCCTTTTTCTTGTAAAAGATTCTTTATTCATACCTACTCAGATGTGAAGACAGCCCCTGGCTTGCCTTTTGGATTTTCACCTTTTCTAATTTTACACTTTCTTGTTTCCACTTCTCAGGAGACCTTTCCAGTATATCTCTTGGTGAGATATATAAAACCAAATTCCATATGGAAAGAAGCTCACCAAGCAGGATGCACTTGACCTGAGACAGCCGGCTCTTCTGGACCATGCCCAGGGATGCTGCAGCCTAGATCCCACAGATATGTTCCTGTTAGCCTTGTTCACAGGCGGCTTGTTCAGCATTCCCAAAACAGTCTCCAGGACAGAGACTTCCCTGCAGTCTGAGACTGGAAATCCCTTAATTGTCATTGGCTGGAACTGCCCCTCATTCCCAGCTGAAGACTTCTCTTCTGTAAGCATCTCCTGGGCCAATCCAAAAATTCTTGACATCCGGTGTTCATCACAATTTCAGCACAACTTCCTCACTTGCAGCAAGTCAGTACCTCAAACCCTTCAGTCCCCAGCAACCGGTAGAGCTGGATTTAAATCAAAGCTCAATAACAACAAAAAAATCACTAAAAGGTAAATCCTTCCATGAAGCATGTGATACATATAGAGGTCAGCTGAGGTTACTCTACTAGAGGTTTACTCATTTATTAAGTGAATGTTGGTGCCTAGTTCTGTGGTGGCCACTGGGAATACAGTGGTAAATAAGACAAACACAATCCCTGCCCTCCTAGAATATACAGCCTAGTAAAATAGGCAGGTAGGAAGCAAATAACTACATCATTGAATGACACTGTAAATGGAAAGGTAGAGTGGGTTCCTTAACAAGGAGACCTAATAGGATCTGGTCAGAGAAAGCTTCTCTCAGAGAAAACCATGTTTAAGCTGAGCCTTGCAGTCTGAACACAAAGTAACCAAGAGAACCAGGTTTGGGGACCATTTTATTCAGAGAAAACAGCAGGGTGTGGGTACCTTTAGAGCAATATACTCAGTTCTGACATGACTAAATATGCCTGAACTTTTACGACAGATGCACCCTTTTCAACCTCCAAGACAGATATGATGTTATACTGATAATAGATTCATTATTTAATCAACCAAAGGGAATGGCTGTACATACCAGAGGGAAGAACAGTTTGAAAAGACACTTACAGTTCTTGTCAAGTTCAGTGTATGCTAAAAGACAGCAAACAGCTAATCTCATCTCTATTGTTGTTTAATCAATGTGTCTGACTCTTTGCAACTCCATGGACTGCAGCCTACCAGGCTTCTCTGTTCATGGGATTTCTCCAGGAAAGAATACTGGAGTGGGTTGCCATTTCCTTCTCCAGGCAATCTTTCTGGCCCAGAGATCGATCTTGCTTCTCCTGCACTGGTAGGTGGATTCTTTACCACTGAGACACTAGGGAAACCCAGTCTCATCTCTACTGTATGCTAGAACTACACTGTCCAATAAGGTAGGCTACAGGTGCCTGTTGAGCCCTTAGCTACTAAAATTAAGAAACTGAATCTTTATGTTATTTAATCTTAGTTCATTTAGGTTAGAATTTTAAGCTAATATTTTATTTATACATTATAAATCATATATATGATTTACTAGAAAACTTTTCAAGTATTTTGGGAAAACTGGGGTACATAGATCAACTTTTCAACTGTAATTTTATAAAATCTAACTGCAGATCAAATATTTCCTATGAAAATTTAGTGTGCAAATTGAGATGTGCTATGTCTGTAAAATACACCCAGGCTATTAATTAGAATTAATATGAAAAAAGAGTGCAAATAGCTCATTAATAATTTACCTATGTTTTTACTTTTTTAAATGAAGCAACGAGGAAATTTACAAATATGTATGTAGCTCACATTATTTGCATTGGGCAGTGATGATTTAGACTAGAGGTAAGGAGCTTGAAATGCCGTAGAAGGAATTTTGGTTATATATTAGGGAAAATGTTCTGCTTGTAAAATGGTTCTGGAGTTCCTATCTTTATCTACCACTCTTTTCTCTGGTATGATAAAAAGGCAAGACTTACTTGGAGGGCAAAATGCCTGTCATTGATATAACCCTGTCAAGATCTGCTGCACTCCATTGGGCATGCATACAAGGAAAATTAACCTTGAAATAAAGAAATGCATTTTTAAAGGAGAAGCTTCCTTCTCTTATCTGCTGAATCCAACAGCATTGATTTTCTGGACACTTGAGAGCAGGACTCTCAAACAACCCTAGTTAAGACTGTCCTCTGAGATAGGCAGACACGTACAGAGAATCAGGACCCTTCAGCACACTGTCCCTTTGAGCACTGTCTATATCACACAGAAAGATTCTTTTGACAATCAGATTGCCAGTATTTCACACTTCTAGAAAAAGGAACAGCCAGTTTTCTATGGTTCACAATTGGGAAACTAGCTAGAGCTATATGTTACAGCTGATATTAAATAAATGATTAATCACATTGCTGTGTATATGCTTGTATGAATTATAGGTATGCATTATAGGTCTATGTATATTTTATATATATATATATATAGTATATATATAGGCTTCCCTGGTGGCTCAGATGGCAAAAATCTGCCTGCAATGCAGGAGACTTGGGTTCAATTCCTGGGTTGGGAACATGCCCTGGAGAAGGGAATGGCTACCCACTCCAGTATTCTTGCCTGGAGTATTCCAGGACAGAGGGGCCTGGTGGGCTATAGTCCATGCGGTCACAAAGAATTGTACACAACTGGGTGACTAAAGATGCATGCACATACACCTTTATATATACATACATATATACTCCATTATATGTTTATATATGTATGCATATTCCTTTTTCATATTCTCTATGATTAAGAATTTTTCCATAAACCAAAGTATTTTTTAATCTAAAAGTAATCTTGAAATTGTATTCATAGAACAGGAATTTTTGGCCTTTGTAAGATTAGACTCTTTCGAAAATTTGCTGAAATGATGGATGCTCAGCTTCCAAGCACTCACACACCTCCTGAAGCTGGCCATGAACTCCCTAGGGGGTCCAAGAACCCAGCATTAGAAATCTCTGCCCTAGAGCAGGACCTTTTGCTTTACTTTAACCATTTCCTGACTCTCTCTCCAATTTAGTGTGTGACAGTCAGCAAATTTATATACATCTCATTGTGTATAATGTTTCAATGTCCTCATCTATGAAATAATATGACCTCTAAATTCTCCCTCTGACTGCTGTTCTCTAATGACTTTTTGTCCTTATTTTAATTTGAGATATGTAACTGTTTCCTTGAAGTTAAAAACTTTTGGCTGTTTAAACTAAAAATAGTAATAAACATGGATTTTATAGTATAGGTAAAAGTAAAATATATGACAATGAGAGGACAAAGAGTGGAGGGTGGTAATTGGAAACATATCATCATAAAGTTTTAAAATCATTTATGAAATAAGAACACTTTGAATATGATAATGGTAGCTTGAAGATGTTTACTGTTAAAAGTACTTAGTTTACTCTCTAAAACAATCTAAAGAAAATTATAAATACACATAATTTAAATGTCATGAGAGGAGATAAAATGGGATACTAAAATAGTATTTTATTCACTGTCAAAAATGCATACAAGTAGAATAGAGGAATAAATGGCCGATGAGACAAATGGAAGTCAAACACCAAGATGGTAGACTTACATCCAAACATATTAATAAATAATTATATTAGATGTAAATGAACCAAACACCCCAATTAAAAGGCAGAAACTGTCAGACTGCATAAAAAAGCAAAAACTTATATGCTGTTTACAAGGAACACACTTTAAAGATAAAGACAAAAATTGAAAGTAAAGAGATAAAGAGCTGTGCCCTACAAACTAAGCATAAGAATGCTGCTATAATATCCTAATATCAAAATAGTCGTTAAGATTAAGAGTATTACCATAGATGAATGAGAATATTTTATAGTGATAAAAGGAAATATAATCAAGTATATAGGTAAGAATACTAACACAAAGCATTCAAATACATCAACTAAAGAGGACTATAGGCCTATCTATAATCATAGTTGGAGACTGTGTTAAGAAGCGTAGAAACCTATCCACTCATTTCCTAGGCTCTTGAGGGGCATTCTCCTCGGTGCCTCTACTGGACTCTCTTCATACCCCATTGCCATATTCACCATGGTGGTGGTTTAGTCAGCTAAGACATGTCCAACTCTTGCAACCCCATAGACTGTAGCCTGCCAGGTTCCTTCGTCCATAGGCATCTCCAAGCAAGAATACTGGAGTGGGGTGCCATTTCCTTCTCCAGGAGATCTTCCTGACCCAGGAATCGAACCCAGGTCTCCGTCATAGCAGGTAGATTATTTACCAACTGAGCTAAGAGGAAAGCCATAGAATATTCACCACATTCTACAGTAATTAGTTGTTTACAAACATCTTTCCTTGCAAGAACAATGCCTGAAAACACAGTGGATAATTAGTAAATGTTTATTGAAAGAATAAATGAATTCTTAAGCACTGTCATTTATAACTAAGGGGCAAGTTACTTTCTTTTTCTCAACCAATTGCCTTCAGTATTACTCACCTCTGACCCCGAAGAACAGCTGTATACAGGTGAATACACTGACTGTCTTGAACCAACCAATATAGGAACCCATTACCAAGGTCTAAAGTTAGAGCAATTACCTAAATAGAAAATAAGGAAAGAAAACAAATCAAATACATGTTTAATCTTTGTGATTATGTCACACTTAAGCTACAGATTTCTCTTTAGCATCCTCTTTGGAATAATAAACTTACTGATTTTTACCTTTCACTGAATATAAATATCATGTGAGTATGCTTATTACTATGTAGTTTGGATATAAGCACTGGTTTCCTAAAAATCCTCAAATGGCAAGAATTATCTATTATTCCCTTCTATATACTTATCTCCAGTGGTTCTCAAAGTTTGATTTTTGGACTACCAGCATCAGCATCACCTGGGAACTGGTTACAAATACAAAGTTTCAACCACACTCCAGGTCCTTCTGAATAAGAAACTTTGAACCACTGTGCCAAGCCTTGTCTAAAGCTAGCACAACTTTGGACTCTTCAGCCACATAACTCAATGAATCTGATCGTTGTTTAAATCAGTTATTCTCAAACACTGCTGCAGATTAGAAAGACCTGTGATTCTTTAAATATCTCAATTTCCAGTCTGGCATCCTGTTAAATTTTGATCTCTGGAGATGGTATCATCTCCAGTATGTCTTCAAATTTCCCAGATAATTCCAATGTGTCACCAAGTTTGAGAACCAACCATTCAAGCCATTTTAAATTATATTAATATCTGTTAATTACAACCAAAAACATTCTGATAATTTTCTAAAATACAATACAGACATGGTTTTCATGTGATATAATTGGATAGAGTCGTGTACATATGGAACTTTAGTCCCATTTCCAGCTGACATCTTACAACCACTTTTTATTATGCTTTCTTTGTCTTCTTGTTACAATTTGTGTCTTAATTTTAAGTCCAGTTGATGAGGTGAGACCTGTGGAAAAGACTGAGTCTTCCTATGAAATAGAGTGCAAGAGACAGAATTTACAATCCAAGAGATCTTTTTTGCTTTCTTTGGCTTTATAAGTATTGATATTACTAGGAGTCTGACCTCAGAGTAGTGGAGTCTTTCTAGAGCAGACCTGGAGGCTAAGAGGCATCAGATAAAATAAAGTTGATGACTATGTCTTTAGCAAGATATAACAGCATATAAACAAAAGCATCAACCAGTGAAAAATATGAAAAGAATACAATGAAGTCTCCAAGAACTAAAAGTACTTGGTTACCTAAGACTTTCTATAAAGAAATAATCTCAAGTTTTGTGGCTGCCAGAACCTTCAGTCATCATATGAATCACAGCCTTCTGTCTTTAAGAAAACTCAACCTACTATTTTTCCGAAAGGTAGAAAATTATTCTAGCAATTTCCAGACTTTGGGGAATTGAATTATGTCCTTGCTTCAGGCTAAAAGAGATTTATTGATAATTTTTCCAGTTAAAGTGAAACCAGGTTAGTATTGCTTCTTATCTATAATGAGATGCCATAGAGTTTTCTAAATTACAGATTAACCCTACTCTATCTCTTAAAAAAGATTCTACAACTCCCTTTGCTGAAATACGACAGACTATGCCAGCTATAAGTCAAATTCAGGGGAGGGGCCATTACCCCATTCCTTTACACCAGCCATTGGAGCCCATGGTTAAACAGTATCAGAGGGTGTTCCATAAACCTTTGGTAACCATCATTATGTCTAATAAAGCCCATCCCTTGGAAATAATCCCTTTGATCTAAATTAAAACCTTGACGTTTAATCCTGTGGTAAAATGTACTATATACTATGAGTCCAACATCTTTTCACTTTAAAGGAATATCTCATTTCATTTTCCTTTTCATCATACAAATGCTTCTTTTCTATAAATGACTACTTTATTATACCTACTGATTGCGAAGTATCTTATGACTCCATGATAAATTTGTGAGTAACATGTGAAGGAATGACAGTGAGAGGGAAAGCTTTATTCAGTGCAAAACATTACCTTCAAAACACTCACTAGCATTAACAGAGATGGATGAATAAAACATCAAACAGTGGAACCAGAACACATATTGGCACAAGCAGAAGCACCATTAGCCAGCCTGTGAGAGAATTTGGAGTGGATTTTAAATAAAAATGTATTTCCTTAAACATGCTGAGACATCTAAAAATTCACTCATTTATAGAAAAGACCCAAAGGGCCCCTCCAGGGCTATCTTGAGTAGATGTATCACGAAGGACAAGATCAGGACAGCAGGGTGATTACAGATGAAGTCAAGGGGATGAATAGGAAATTACTCTTGAGATACTATTATCTTTAATATGCTTTTACAAAAAGGAGTTTTTCCCCTAACATTTTTTTATTGAAACATAAAAAATATGCTTTGTATTCAGACTCAAGTGGCCCCAAAATACAATTAAGGGATCTTCTCATTATTTGACAGAAATGAATAATCTCTGGATATGGTGTGTAACTTCTATTTCTTTTAAATACCTGTGTTATAATCTGTATATGAAAATCTTAGGAATTATAACCAGCACATCTTTCAGAATTGAGGATCGAATAAGTCAACAATTTGTTTGTTTGTTTATGAATGATCTGGTATACCTGTATTATGTATGTTTTATCTCTATTGACAACAAAAAGGGATAAAAAATTTTAAGAAATATTAAATAGAAATAGTATGAATGATTTATTTCTTCCTCACACTTTTCAGTAATTTCTAAAATTTCTACAGTAGAGATATTCTTAAGAGCATCAGAAAAAATAACTTTTCAAAATATAGATGGATAGCTAGAGGGAAGCTAAACAGGATCATGGAAAACAGATATTGCTTCTAGAAGTTGAGGAAGTAAAAAAAAAAATTTGTCTTAGAATCATTTCTCTTAATATATTAGTGCATTTTTTAGATTCAGTTATAAAATATAACTTAACTATTGGGTGATTGTTCTCACTACTTCCCATGAATTATCTCATTTAATCATCACAACAACCCTAAGAGGGAGGAAAGTTGTTAATATTCCCATTTTTCAGTTAATGAAACAGTTATAGAAAAGTCAAATAACTTTCCTAGGAGCTGCATTTCCTAGGAGCAGTCAGTAGCAGAAATTGACTAAAAATAATAAAACACCTAATAATCACCCAAGAAGAAGTTCTAAAATATCCAATAGAAATCCTAAAGACTATAAAAATGCTCTTAAAGTGTGAGATTTCAGATTGATTATATTCTTTGCAGCCAAAGATGGAGAAGCTCTATACAGTCAGCAAAAACAAGACTGGGAGCTGACTGTGGCTCAGATCATAGACTCCTTATTGCCAAATTCAGACTTAAATTGAAGGAAGTAGGGAAAATAACTAGACCTTTCAGGTATGACCTAAATCAAATCCCTTATGACTATACAGTGGAAGTGAGAAATAGATTTAAGGGACTAGATCTGATAGAGTGCCTGAAGAACGATGGACGAAGTTTCGTGACATGCAAAAAAGCAAAATGGCTGTCTGAGAAGGCCTTACAAACAGCTGTGAAAAGAAGAGAAGTGAAAAGCAAAGGAGAAAAGTAAAGATATACCCACTTGAATGCAGAGTTCCAAAAAACAGCAAGGAGAGATAAGAAAGCCTTTCTCAGTGCAAGGAAATAGAGGAAAATAATAGAATGGGAAAGACTAGAGATCTCTTCCAGAAAATTAGAGATACCAAGGGAACATTTCATGCAAAGATGAGTTCGATAAAGGACAGTAATTGTATGGATCTAACAGAAGCAGAAGATATTAAGAAGAGGTGGCAAGAATACACAGAAGAACTGTACAAAAAAGATCTTCACAACCCAGATAATCATGATGGTGTGATCACTCACCTAGAGCCAGACATCCTGGAATGTGAAGTCAAGTGGGCCTTAGGAAGCATCACTACGAACAAAGCTAGTGGAGGTGATGGAATTCCAGTTGAGCTATTTCAAATCCTGAAAGATGATGTGGTGAAAGTGCTGCATTCAATATGCCAGCAAGTTTGGAAAACTCAGCAGTGGCCACAGGACTGGAAAAGGTCAGTTCTCATTCCAATCCCAAAGAATGCTCAAACTACCACACAATTGCACTCATCTCACACGCTAGTAAAGTAATGCTCAAAATTCTCCAAGCCAGGCTTCAGCAATACGTGAACCGTGAACTTCTAGATGTTCAAGCTGGTTTTAGAAAAGGCAGAGGAACCACACATCAAATTGCCAACGTCTGCTGGATCATCAAAAAAGCAAGAGTTCCAGAAAAATATCTATTTCTGCTTTACTGACTATGCCAAAGCCTTTGACTATGTGGATAAACTGTGGAAAATTCTGAAAGGGATAGGCATACCAGAACACCTGACCTGTCTCTTGAGAAACCTGTATGCAGGTTGGGAAGCAGCAGTTAGAACTGGACATGGAACAACAGCATGGTTCCAAATAGCAAAAGGAGAACATCAAGTCTGTATATTGTCACCCTGCTTATTTAACTTATATGCAGAGTACATCATGGGAAACGCTGGGCTGGAAGAAGCACAAGCTGGAATCAAGATTGCCAGGAGAAATATCAATAACCTGAGATATGCAGATGACACCACCCTTATGGCAGAAAGTGAAGCCTCTTGATGAAAGTGAAAGAGGAGAGTGAAAAAGTTGGCTTAAAGCTCAACATTCAGAAAACGAAGATCATGGCATCTGGTCCCATCACTTCATGGCAAATAGATGGGGAAACAGTGGCTGACTTTATTTTTTGGGGCTCCAAAATCACTGCAGATGGTGACTGCAGCCATGAAATTAAAAGACGCTTACTCCTTGGAAGGAAAGTTATGACTAACCTAGACAGCATATTAAAAAGCAGAGACATTACTTTGCCAACAAAGGTCCGTCTGGTCAAGGCTATGGTTTTTCCAGTGGTCATGTATGGATGTGAGAGTTGGACTGTGAAAAAAGCTGAGCACTGAAAAATTAGTGCTTTTGAACTGTGGTGTTGGAGAAGACTCTTGAGAGTCCCTTGGACTGCAAGGAGATCCAAACAGTCCATCCTAAGGGAAATTGGTCCTGGGTGTTCATTGGAAGGACTAATGCTGAAGCTGAAACTCCAGTACTTTGGCCACCTCATGTGAAGAGTTGACTCATTGGAAAAGACCCTGATTCTGGGAGGGATTGGGGGCAGGAGGAGAAGGGGACGACAGAGGATGAGATGGCTGGATGGCATCACCAACTCGACAGACATGGGTTTGAGTAAACTCCGGGAGTTGGTGATGGACAGGGAGGCCTGGCATGCTGCGTTTCATGGGGTCGCAAAGAGTCAGACATGACTGAGTGACTGAACTGAACTGAAAGTGTGAGTTCATTCAAGATAAAGCAAAATATAAAAATCTCCATATTATATTTTATTTAATCAATTATGACAATCAAATAAGACTTAGAGAAATTTGGTTATACCAAGATCTTATCATAGTAGTATTTCCTTTTGAATTCTACCTGAAGTATTCACAGCAAGCGGAAATAGTATTATTATAATTATACACAGCATTATTTAGTATAATTAAATATCAGATCTTATTTTTTTAACTTTCACCTTTTTCCCAGAAAACCAAGGCTGTGCCTGTAATACAAGTGGACTTTCTCCATTTAGCCTGGTACTTTCAACTGTATATAATGTGGTCCAATAGAGATATCCACCAACTGAGTCCACCACCATATCATTTACCAGCAACTTCACGTAAGTCACAATGTCTGTGTGTCCTGTCAACACAGACTGCCTTTGAATCTATAAAACAATCATAACTCAGTTAGTGATTTTCAAATGGCATCATTATTTCTGAATAGTTTTTAGCAATTGTTAGTAAATTACTGCTTTCATCCATTCATTTCTCCAGCCATAAATATTTACTGGCACTCTATGCTTTGTCATGTGCCTACCTTCAGGAATGTAATTACAAGGAAGCTTACTCCTTTTCATGTCTCTGAAGAGAAAGGAGATACACTTATTTTGAGTTAATACTTGTTCTCCCTAATCATATACCTAGACAATCAACACATAATCAAAACATAAGAATGTATTGGATTATACTCCCAAAGATGTATACTCCAAATAGTGATGTCTCTCCTTGCTCCTCTCTGTCTGTTTAATCTCCCTAATATTAATTACTGTCATTATTGAGTACCTATTATATGCCAGGCACTGTACTTCTTTTTTATCTTTAAACTGTTAGTTATTATAACACATTAAGCCTGTAAAGAATTTCTATTTCCTACTTTTTCACAAGTAAACTGTGTTCAAAGAGGTGAAGTGATTTTTCAAGAAGTTAAATCATTTTATAAGAAACAGAGCAAATACTTGAAACCAGTTTTTGTACTACTCTTCCATTTCCTCCTTCAAAACTATTTTCAAACTAATCCATTTTCAGAAGCATTCTCTGATTAACCCCACTCAGCTCCATTCTGCCTACAAGTCATTGGCACTTATGAATTCAGGCTATACCATATTACTTTGCTTCTAAATACAATGCTCTGTCCTTGGGGAAGGAAATGGCAACCCACTCTAGTATGCTTGCATGGAAAATCCCATGGACAGGAGCCTGGTGAGTTGCAGTCTATGGAGTCACAAAGAGTCAGGCACGACTGTGCGCACATAACAACAATGTTGTTGCTGTATGCTTCTTCTAATGATTCCTGATGTTTTCTTTTCTTGGCACTGGTCTTGGTTGTGGCATGTGGGATCTAGTTTCCTGACAAGGAATCAAACCCAGGCCCCCCAGGAATTGGGAATGTGGAGTCTTAGCCACTGGCCCACCAAGGAAGTCCCCATGAATTTATTTTTATGTCATGAAAAGAGCAGGGGCAAGTGGTGATGGTTGCACAGCACAGAACATACTAAAAACCACTGCATTTTATGTAATCAAAGGGTGAGTTTTATGGTACATAAATTATATCTCAACAAAGCTGATATTCTTTTTTCAAGGGCAGAGACAGGGCTACTATTTTCCTCATATTCTCTATTATGCCTGTTTTCAAGGCTCTAAACATACTGGTAACAGATAATAGATAAATAAACAAACAGACCATGTGCCCTCCTGACTAGAAAATGAGTTTTGTACCATAAAACCAAAATGAAATTTTCATATCATAAAACTGAAACAGTTTTTTTCTTGATCTGTTAGACCGTTGATCTCATCATCAACCGTTCTTTTCTTCAGCGTGCACAACGCACAGGATGCCTTCATCTTGCCCCCAAATCCCACCCTGTCCGCCCTCCCCAGTGGCCCTGAGCCTGACACGGATGGACTGCATCGACCTAGCTCCCTGCTCCCTGGCTTCCAGGGAGGTTCAGCCAATGGACACAGTGGCAGAAGATCAGAGTTCCGAAGAAAGGAGGGCTGGAGGTGCATCTGTACTATCGTATCACCGCTTGTTGGACTACACCTTTTGACAGTGGCTGGTTCTCATGTCGGCAGCTCTGCTAAAGCTACAGCCCTTGCCTTTCCTTCCCGGCTTTCCTTGTCGTTTATGCCTAGAGGCAGTAATATCCTCCCACACTTGCTAGCCCAGAGCATGCTTCACCGTCCTATGCTCCTTTTCCTTAGCCCCGACCATACTGTTGAAAATAGTCCCCTCACTTAGTTTCTTTTCATTATGCCTTTGGGGTGTGCCATCTTCCCCAGGGCACTACTCCACCGGTGAACATTTTAATATATTTATTTCAAGATATTACTGAAAATATATGACTAATCAAATACTGATATAGAATTTCCTTTCTACATAAATATTTTTAATTAAAAGGTGAGTAAGCTTAGAGACAAATATTAAGTAAATAATAACATGGGTGAAACACAAGTATGAAAAAAATCATGAAAATGACATTCCAGTCACTGAAGTGGGTAGGCATTGTTTGAGAACATGTAGGATGTCAGGCTTTAACTTACCACATAGGTCTTTCCAGCCCAGTAGAGAAAGTGACCCAGCCACTCAAAAGCTAAAGCCCCTGCTCCTGCAATGCTGGGTATGTGATAATTCTCTGAGATGTCTGTCCCATTCAGCAGCCATACATAAACATCACCTTTCATGTCGCTGTAGTAGAGGCTGTTGTTATACCAATCCATGTCTCAAAACAAAGTGAATTGGTAGCAGTTATTTTTTCATGTATGCCAGTGTAAACATAGCACGTCAGCAAATCACACATGCACCTCACCAATAACAGAGATATTCACTAGAGCTTCAGAGATGTGTCCAGAATGTTTCAATAATATTATTCTAAAATCTTAAGCCCTGGAACTAGACACAGGAACTATTCTTCATTGAGCATCTCCTCTTTGCCAACATTGTCCTGGGCACTTATATATCTCACTCAACTCTTAAAGGTCTAAAGTAGAAATCATTTCCATTTTTTGACATGGCAAACCCAAGACTAAGTGAAATTATGTTTTGCCTGAGGTCTCACAGATGAAAAGAGGAGGAACCCAAACTTGAGCCAACTTCAAAGTATCATTCTTTCCATTAGTACCATACCACCTCCTAAGTCCAACTCATTTTGGTCAGAAGTGCTATGGTAATTTTTAATGACCAAATAAAGAAATCAAATAATTAGGTAATTACGGAAGATGTCATTAAGTAACAAATGGGTAGTTTTGCCTTAGGCATTTATTACATAATCTTCTTTGCCATGAAATTCTTTCTTATGCTTTATTTAAAACTTCACATAGCTGTTCTGTGTTCCCATCTTATAGCAAACTCATAACAAATTACTTAACTATAGCTATCTTCATGGAACAAGATAGTCTGTTACTTTGAGATGATATTGAGATTAAAATACATGAGAAGTATATCAAAGCCTTCCTGAAATGGGCATACATCATTAAATAACCTCACATTTGGTGGAGTAATAAATGGCCCTCATCCTTGAGAACAGACGTTTTCTTCATCATGTCACTGGCGGTATAATTCAGTCAATATTTTTTCCTTTCATTATTGACCTAATATTAAAACACTCAATTCTTCTGATTGGTCGAATATCTCAGAAAGTCTAACAAGTAGAAATCTGCCATCCAAGTGTACAGGGAACTTGGTGTTTACCTGACACATTTGCTATATCAGAGGATAGGAATTCTCCCGGGCCAAAGCTATTTAATGGCTTACTCCAAAGTCCATCTTCTTTCACAGCCATGATAAATGGTGGTTCTGCAGCTGTTTGGTTTAAAAAAATTGAAAGAAATATCACAGAAAACACGCATTTTTAGGTACACATCTTGTTTGTTAGATTTCTTTTATAAAGTAAATCAGCATTTTGAAAAATACACTGGAAGTATATGAATAATTGTATCTGTTTAAAAGAATATGCTATCATATTAAACACACTTTGATTTTTATGTAAATGTTTGTAATTGAATGTGAAGAGAAATGTGTATTGATGCTGCCACTACAGCAATGTCACATCATGGCAAATTTTTTTGTTGTTTTGCTTTAGCTATTGGTGATATTCAGAAGCAACAGTAGTATAAATGGGTCAGTTCTTTCCATTTTCTTTCAACCAACAGGACAGAATTAAACATAATTCACAGCCCCTCAACTTCTCTCGTTGAGACTTTCAGCATCCAAGCAGTGCTACAGCTTAATAAGCCATGAGAAAGGAGAAAACCACGAAGAAGAAGAAAATTATATTGTTTGTTCAAAAACATCTTGGACAGTATAAAATAGAACGTTAGAAACATTAATATCACACTGTGCTTTACTTGTTTTCCGAATGTCAGAAAATAAACATGCTCAAGGGGTCAGTGCACCCTCATTCTCATTTCTTTACCACATCTAAGGTGAGAAATTTTAAAGAAGACAGGGATAAAGCCTTTTTTGTCAGAATCACTCCCTAAATCGAGTGCATTCTCTCACCTGGTACCAGAGTAGTTCCCACTGAGGGCTCTGACCAAGGGCCTGGCCCCTTGGGAGAACTTGCTCTCACAGAAACCTCATATTTTGTAGCACTCTGAAGGTCATGTACATTAAGGATGGTCCCACTTATATTAGAGAACACGTGAGTGGTTTCAGGAAGGTCTTGAGTTGATACTTTCACCTCATAAGTCCAGTCCTGCCAGGCAGAAGGACCTATGCGGAAGAGTTAAACAATATTACTGACTAGGATGACATCAGCAAGGGCAAACAAAGGATTGTCCGTAAACTTATCTACAGCTTCACCTTGAGCGGAAGGATAATTGGGCCTGTTACCCCTTAATCACCAGGGTTAACAATGACATGATTAGGACAGTGGCCATTCTGCTCACTTATTTTGTCTCATCAAAGGAGACATCTTGCCAACAAACGGGAGGCCACTGTTCGCCTCTCTGTGCGGTGTGACTGGCTGCAAAGAACTATCAGAAGGGTGTACTATACAAGCTCCTAATAAACAAACACTTAATGATGAATCTCTAATATTATTCCAGTGTCAGCAGAGTATCACTCTCCGAGAAGTCCAAAAAATAAAAATTAAAAACTTTTGCTAATTCATTTTCAGCCATCTTTGAGATATACAACAAACAGATATAATTAACTTGGTCTTAAAGTAAAAGTAGCCAGTGTTTGCTAGAGGACCAGAGGTTGGCAAAATACAGCCCACAGGCCAAATCTGGCCCACTGCCTGTTTTTATAAATAAAGTTGTAATGGAACACAGTCACAGTGACTTATTTACATATTATCTATCGCTGCTTACATACCACAAAGACAGAGTTGAGTATCTATTCCAGAAACTGTATGACCCACAAAACTGAAAATATTTATTATCTGGTCCTTCTTTTATTAAAAGAAAAAGAAATTGCCAACTGCTATGCTAAATACTGTCTGGGTTCTACGTATGCATCTTAATTTGGTGTATATGACAATCCCTTAGAAGGATATAATTAATATTTTTATTTCCAGTAGTGGAAACATGCGTGAAGTGGTTAAGTAACTTGCCCAGGTCATTCTGCTAATAATTGATGAGACTAGCCTTTGAATCCGTGCAGGCTGGCTCTAGAGCCCACCTGCATACCCACCGCACATGCTGCCTCTCCAGAGATGAAAATTCAAGTCCCGAGAGTTTTAGGCTCAAATTCATGCAAGGTCTCCCTGGATACAAAATCTCAACCCAAGTGTTCCATCCTCCTGGCTAATGCATTCCCTCCAACTAGAATGTCAGTGCCTGGCTCCGAGGAGACACTCAATAAATGTTCCAACCCTTCTGTTGGGATGTAGATGATGAAATATAGAAATTTTCTTAATTTATCAAAATTGATAAATATAGAACAAATGTTATAACACTGTGTGTATGTGTGTGAGGGGGAGAGAGAGACAGAGAGAGCTAAGGAGGGCTTTGGGTTAATGGCTAAATAATCACATAAGGGCTGTCAAAGTTGAGTTGCCATGCCAAGCCTATTAAGTCTTCCTCTCCTTCTGACAAGGCCAGCCTCCAGGTGGGACAGGGAACTCACTGGCTCCGATGGCGAGCGTGGGGGGCTTCCACTGAACCAGGGCCTGCTGGGAGCCGAACAGCACGGACACCTGCTGCGGGCGGCCTGGCAGCGGGTGTGGCTGGGTGTATGAGCCAAAGATGACCAAGTTGCCAAAGCCAAATTCTTCTATGTGACTCAGGTCACATCCCACGATGAATTCATTAAAAGACAGCGAATCCTGTTGGAAAACGGCCTTGCCATCTGTGACCAGGAAGTCATTGTTTTCACAAGCGAAGCTCTTCACATTAGTAAAGGGGACATGAGGTAGGACGATGTGGGATGCAGAGCCGTCCAGAAAGGTTGACATGAAGACTTGGGCGGTGTCATTGAAGTAAATGATTCGCTTGGACTGGGGCTTGATTGCAAAGTCCTTTAAAGTGCCACTCTGCACAATATGCATAGCTTCTGAGCCCCCACCGGACGGCACAGGAAGGTCGACTCTATAAATGCCGTCTCTCAGGAGATAAAAGACATACCTGACAGAGGAGCAAAAGAAGCCTGGTGTGAGCCAATGCAAGGGTGATGGCGGAACACCACCATTGTCTCATCCTGTTGGGCAATCAGAACCAAGTACCTCCAGAGTGGATAAGTACAGGGTTTCCCAAGATGCAAACTGATAAAGGCACTTATTAAAAACATGCTCTATTCATTTAAGTTAGAAACTGGAATCCTGGAAAATGTCAGCCCCTTTTATAAGGCTTAATCTCCTAATTATTACATGTGACTTTTTAAGGAATCAGAATTTAAGAACAACAGGGGTCTTTAAAGGTTTTCTAATGAAGTCTACTCTTAAAGGAAAGCATATTATATAAAACGTACATGACTGAACCTGTCATTTATTATGAAACATTTTTATCCAATACACAGAAATTCTTAGTCAAAATCTGTCAATAAATATTCTATGCATTGTGAATGACAAAATGGGAGAAAACATAAACATTTAAGCCATTTTTAAAAACTTCATGGTATTATTTTGCACAGTTGCTACCCAGCAATACTAATCCTATGTTTGTATTAGACTAAGATTTTTGCTGACAAAGGTCCGTATGGTCATAGCTATGGTTTATCCAGTAGTATGGATGTGAGAGCTGGACCATAAAGAAGGCTGAGTGCTGAAGAATTGATGCCTTTAAATTGTGGTGTTGGAGAAGACTCTTGAGAGTCCCTTGGACTGGAAGGAGATTAAACAGGCCAATCCTATAGGACATCAACACTAAATATTCATTGGAAGAACTGGTGCTGAAGCTGCAGCTCCAATACTTTGGACACTTGATGCGGAAAGCCAACTCACTGGAAAAGACCCTGCTGCTGGGGAATATTAAGGGCAGGACGAGAAGGGGGCAACTGAGGATGAGATGGTTGGATGGCATCACTGATTCAATGGACTTGAGTTTGAGCAAAGTCCTGGAGACAGTGCAGGACAGGGAAGCCTGGAATGCTGCAGTTCATGGGGTCACAAAGAGTCAGATACGACTTAGTAGCTGAACAACAGTAACAAGCTTTTAAAAATATTCACAATTGAGTGAGGCAATAGTGTTAGCATGTTACAAAATCATGATGAAATACCCCCACAATTGAGTGAAAACAGCTGGGAAGGACCACCCAAAATCAGCAAAAAAAATCAGTGGAAGAATGCTAAACCCATCTCCTGACAGACATGATAGCCAGACCAGAAAAACAAACAGGCACTGAACTGCTCAGCAAGAGAAAATGGTGTAATGAAAAGAGGAAAGATAGGCAGGAAGGGCTTCTCATGGGGAGAGCTGAGGGGGAATAAAACTCTGAGTCATGCATAAAATCATGACAAACCCAAGATGAGAAGCCAGGTCCCTGAGTCCCAGAGAAGAGATTTTTCCCATATGCCCATAATCTACTGCAAAGGAGAAAGGAAAACCTGCTTACCTAGAAAAGTTGTGGATGAAGTTTGAAAGAAATTTCCTCTGGGCTCTATAAGAATGAAAACTTTGCCTGGATTTAATTAAATATGAAATCAGATTGGCTCATCTGGCACTAGGATATTATTAGCAAGCAAGCTTCCCCAAGATTCTTGCCAAAGGAAGAGAATTCACGTTTACAAGGCTAACACTTACCCATTGTATGAATCAGCCACAATTTTTTGAGGTGCAATGTTTGAGGGAGGTGTAATTGTCTCAATGTTTGAGCAGTTCTCTAAATCACAGACACATACCTAGAGAAAAATACATCAGTAGCATTAGTGTCTATAGTCAATTTGGCCAACAAATATTCCTTGAGCAACTGTCCTGTGCTTAGAATTTCACCAGTCACAGAGCACTTTTTGAAAACATAAAAAAGTCCTTAAAAGACAGTTTTATATCCTATATCCTAATGATAACCATATCCTCTTGATATCCATGAAATACAAGTACATATTTTTCATATTTGTGGACACACTCAACTACTTTTATTAATATTTTAGCTATATCTAAGCTTATGGGCCTATCTAAGCACTGAAGAATTGATGCTTTTGAACTGTGGTGTTGGAGAAGACTCTTGAGAGTCCCTTAGACTGCAAGGAGATCCAACCAGTCTATCCTAAAGGAAATCAGTCCTGAATATTCATTGGAAGGACTGATGTTGAAGCTGAAACTCCAATACTTGGGCCACCTGAGGCGAAGAGCCTCATTTGAAAAGGCCTTATTTGAAAAGACCCTGATGTTGGGAAAGATTGAAGGCGGGAGGAGAAGGGGACAACAGAGGATGAGATGGTTGGATGGCATCACCAACTCAATGGACATGAGTTTGAGTAAACTCTGGGAGTTGGTGATGGACAGGGAAGCCTGGGGCCCTGCAGTCTATGGGTGGCAAAGAGTCAGACACAACCGAGCAACTGAACTGAACTGAAGCTTATGGGCTTCCAGCCACAGTGACTGAGACCAGTCTCTCTTTCAAAAAAGGAAACTTGAAACACAGCATACTGTGTCCTCTCAAAGATTTGATAATACCAATATTTTCAGAGTCCTACTAAAGTTATCCATGATTATTAAATAATTACAAAATGCTCACAGCTAATTTTAATCAAGATTGGCAGTTGTTACCCAGTGATAATTCAGGTACCACTGTCTCATGGAAGTCAAATTATCATTAGTGAAAACTCACAGCTCTGAAAAATCACAAGAAAGATGATTTAATGGTATATCAGAACTAAGTAAAGTACTTAGTACTAGGTAAAGTCTAGACCCTCCTGTAAGACTCCATGTATGATTCATTGCTAACCCAGTACCTAAAACATAGTAAACACTCAATGATTAATTATTGAAAGAAAGAATTATATTTACTTATAAATATTAATATGTCAAGATATGCATTAGATTTTTAATATCTAGTTTTTCACTTTAAATTCTCAGACTAACCAGTTCATCCATGATGAAATACATTTTCTGATAAAGCCAGTCTAGGGAGATGGAAGAAATTAATCCTGAACCTCTGTAAAAAATTCTCAGGCCAGACACATCAGACATGTTGGCAGCGTCCTTCACCCATATGAGAGTTCCTTCAGAGAAATAAACAACTTGCTGGTGGACATGAACTGATATTCCTGGAAAAGTGATGCACATACATGTGTTACTGTGTAACAACCAGACAAAACACTGACACTAAAGAGAACTCGTTTATTTAATCTTTAATGAAGGTATTAAAGTTGAAGTCAACCTGGATCTTTCCTTACACATTAAGGAAACATTTTTCTCTATTACACTGACCTGTAATATTATGGTGTGTGGCATCTGACTGAAGGCAATGTGCTTCATCTACTAAATGTTTTAAAGATCTCTTTCTTAGAGAAGTTTTCCTGGATAAAAAGAGCCACTGTTCCTCTTCTTGAACTAAAATAACAACACGACTTTATAGACAGACAGACCAATCATATACATATTGACACGAAAAAGATCAATACCACCCTTAAAAACAAGGGGACTAGCACATGGAAGAGCTTCGCCAGATACTCTCTGAAGATACTGGGGTATTTCAACTGTGGTATAAATCACATTCTATGATTGGAGTGGGAAGTACTGTGTCAAACAAGTAGGATTTCTGGGTATGTGCCCTTGAATGCCCTCAAAATAACATCACATGCAGTATCACTGTTCGCAACAGCCTTGCCCAAATAGGAGCTCAGCTCATTATCCTCCACCCTGGGACTCTGACTGCTTGGTGGAGGTGGTCCAGCTCAGGCTGGAGGGGCTGGTTGCATAATACACACATATAGACAGACTTTGGTTGCCTCCGTTTTGTCTTCAATTATCTCTCCCTTTGAGGCAGGAGAAAAGGCTGTAGTAGTGAAATTTGAGGACTGCAGAACTATGCGTGATGTCCTATTTGACTGGAGACTGATGCATTGTGCCTTGATCAACACTTTGAGGGTAATTAATAAATGTTATGCAGTAATCACAGTAATAACAACTTTAAACCTGCTCTATATTTAACTCGTCCTTTGGATGCTTCTTGCATAACCAAAATACCTCTTCTTTCCTAGAGTCTAGTAACAGCCAAAGAAACTAAAGGTTAGTAATGGATGACATTCAATAAATACCCACTGGCATATCTGGGGGCAGATTTGGGGAATGGGAGGTCAGGTCAGCAAATAGGGTTGCCATGAAGACAGAAAACACACTCCTAGTAGTTTGAGTTTTCTTGGGTTATTCCAAACTCTTTGAACTAACTTTCCCCAAAATATTTCCGTTGCTTCTTAGCATTTTCTTATGTTAAAATTTTGCTTACGTGGGTATCATGCAGTAAATATTTAGTCTCCCAAGGCAAACATTAAAATGCTGAAGCCGAAAAAAAAAAAGGTACTTGCCAAATAATAACAAAAGTTAATTTGGTAGTTTGAATATTCAGAATAGTAAAATGTAACTTACTAAGTCCAGATAGATTTGAAAACCTAAAGGAAACTGGAAGAAAAAGATATCTGATCTTTATTAAATGATGAGGTTAGGATACATGTATTCCCTAAGTATGTAAATGAAAGTCACAATCACTAGTGACTTTAACTGAAACCAAGAGTTTGCTTGGGACCATTTTTTTAATTCCTTTTTTTTTTCTTTTTTAACATCAAATTTCAGTGTGAAAACTTTGCTCTAACAACTTACTCCTGTTTGTCAGATGGGACTGATTTCTCATTTTAAATTGAAACTTATCAAGTTTTCACAAGACAGTGTTATTTGGGCAGACGAGTAGGGGCTTAAAGAATACTGGATGACTCAGGACCTGTAAGACCTGAACCCACCCTTCCACCCCTCAATTTCCCAGTAACAGGAGGCACACCCCCAGTCTATACCTGCTGGAGATGAAGTGGTAATACTAGATTCTGCTTCCGGCCCCTCACCAACTTCATTTACTGCTGCAATAGAAAACCTATTCCAAAAACAATTTGGAGAGATGTGTTTTACATGGCATGGTGTGAACATAGGATAAAAATAGAAGGAGCAATAATGTTTCTATTTAAAGGACAAGGTGGCAATGCGTGTATCTAGTTACTTGGTGCGCTGCTCAGCTCTAAAATGACCATCAATCATGTCCTTGTTTGCATTCCCCACAGAATAGTTCAGGGTCACAGAGGTCAAAAACTGAACTCTGCTATCTGCATGACCCTCATTCATGCTCTAATTTATGGAGGGCTTAGTTAATGCTAGAAAAGCTAACAATAATAAAATAATTCCCTTAACAGTTGATGTAAAAATACCATTAACAGAATCCTCTTTACTTTTTTCATGTTGGATTAAATGAAGAAATGATATTGATGGTGCTTATGTTGTCTTTTTTAGCTCATATTTATTAGCCCACATTTGTATTTTTCTCTGAATATAATAGAAATGCTTGAAAATGCTTTTGCTTAGGATGGTGTAATCTAATGAGCATACAAACTTGAGGAAAACCACAACTTCAAACCAGCAGCACAAAGTCAATGAGACTTCTCAAAATAACATTTTAAGTTATTTTGTAGCCATATTTCTTAGATAATTATCATGAATGCACGCATGCTGGTCACATTCTTCACGTACCACTAAATTCTTACCTGTAGGTGGTATTCGGTAGAGTGGAGTAAAACTGGAAACTGGTTCCCTGTGTCCCTGAATCTAATTTCTGATTTTTGCTGATCAGCCTTAAGTTGTAGCCCAAAATATGTCCACCTGGGAATTGAGGTGGAGCCCAACTGACTTCCACCGTGTCGGGACTTGAGCTTTCAATATTCCTAATGAAAGGAGCAGTTTCAGGAACTAGAAGAGATAATGGTAACGCCATGAGCAGAAAATATACAGAGAAAAATGTAATAGGCTAGGGTAATAAAAGTCTTGTTTTTTGAAAACTTAGCATAAATGAAATATTTTCTTTAATAGTCATAATAAGTGGTAGGAGGTGATAATCTATGAACCACAATTCTTGATCCCTAAACAATATAAGTTAGCTACTCTTCTAAGGGACTCTTTAAAGAAAGTTATTTCCTCACTTCTAATTTATGCAATAAAATCAAATGTGGAAGTATACAAATAGGATAATGCTGTAGGGGGGGAAAAAAAACTGTCAAAAATCTCCAGATACCTGACTTGAGTTGAAACACGGTATGGAACCAAGTTAGGAAGGAGAAGAGGCTCTGTAACAAAACTGAAGTCAATGATTAACATGAGTTGAAAGAAGTAAGGCCTGGGGCCTTTTCCCTCACTAGAGTCCTGTGTTCTGTCCAGTTCTAGCTAAAGATAGGGATTTAGATAAGCCTGGATTAGAACAGTCTGCTTCCCTTTTGCTGGCATTGGCTCTGCTGACCCAGACGGCACTCTCCTCCCCCCAGCTCTCAAGGTCCCCCAAATCCGGGGGGGGGGGGGATTTTCTGTGCCTTAGCAGCATCCCTTCCCTCACAAAGGACGAAAAGGAGTATGCATTTGCTAACCAAGCATTCACCCACAGACTGTAGCATCTACCCCGGTGCCAAAGAACAGAAAGGAAAACAAATGATCTAACAGCCTCTCTTCCAGCCCAGTCCCCACCTGCTTTCCATACCTCCTAGGCCCTGCAGCTACACCCGTTTGTGTCCTCTTTTCATAGAAAGACAGACTGGTGTCACTTTGCTGTTCAGCAGGCTCTCTCCTTCTAACAACTTTTGGCAGGTTGCACTGCATCACCCCTGTCCCCTTAGAGTGGGGAGAGAGACCACAGTGCAGCCCTCCCAATGGCTGTGTTTTTAAAAGGCCCTTCAACTGATGTGGTTCCTCCCCAACTCTCTGACTGAACTTGAGCAAACACAAACGTCATTGCCTCACTCCTCAGCTCCGCACACTAAGTGACTCAGATGAACAGGGAAGTAGGAATCATCTCCTAGCAAATCGGAATCAGGATGTCAGAAAACCTAACTCTTTAGTCCACACCCAGACAGGCATGATCTACCCCGCTGAAAGTACATTCCATGCCACCTCTGTGGCAAGTTGTGAGTAGTCCAAGTCTCCTGACAAAAGTCGTCTCTGAAAAGGCTGGTCAGGTTAGGCAAGGTAATTATTCCACCTGATTAAGAAATTATCTTCATAAGGGCCCCAATTAAAAGGTGATAATAACCATCTAAAGTCATATATTTCCCATAGCTGAAAGAGAAAAGGGCCACAAGGTGATGGAACACAAAATGGATAACTCTATAAGTTTTGATGTGGCTAAAAAAGTGAGACAGAATTGAAGCATGAGATGTTATCCATGGAAAGGATACCCAGTATAAGAACTGAAACATGTGGAGGGTATAGGGGTTTGCATATCCAGAGAAAGTCTACTCTGTAATGGAAAGCAAAATTTGCCTTCTTCACTACTTTGAGTTAACTAGCCATCTGCCCTGGACCACAGTATATCTCCAGTACTGGAAAATGTTCCCATACTGTTGGAGTTCATGAGGCACTGCTCTGAACAAAAAAGATCTATATATTCTACTCTGATCTGGAACATTTCAAATATTGCCCCAGACCCATGTCTAATCTGAGGTCCTGAGGATGGTCAGGGAACAATCAGCAGAGGGACCCCATGTACCCTAAAATCTGATAAGCAAAAAGAAAAGCACTAGTCAGGGAGAGGGAAAATGCCCCAACCAACTTCATCAGCTGTCCTGCTGAGGTTTGGTCCAAGGCCTAGTTCAATGTGAGGGTCTCTGCACGCAGCTGATTCTCCAGAACTGAGGGGTAGGGACATCCACCATCTGGCTTGGAATAAGCCCTCCCAAGTCCCCTTGGCTAACTCAGATGTTGAGAACAGCAGCAACTCTCCCTGAATGTATTCCCCTGGCATTTATCGCTCTGAAAGGCTCTGGGCTTGAATCCTTTTCCCAGTATGGAAGTCAAATCTTTGAAAGAAGTAATCAGAAAATGTTCCAACATATCGACTATTTTTTAAAATAATCTCTAGCCAAAAGTTGAAGTACAATAATAACCTCCCAGCTGGTCTTGCTTCCTCTGTACTTCCCAGTCTCTATCACTCAATATCATTCAATGCATTGTATGTGTATTTGCCAATTACCTTTTTAAGGAGAATTTGAAGCAATTACTCCTTTAAAACCTTCCATAACTCCTAATCACATAATAAAGCTTATTCTGACCAACTTCTTTAATGTACTCCCCATTTTTCATGGACAGGCCCTGCTCAAAGCATTTTTCTTACCATAGCAACCTACTGTCTTCCTACTCACAGTATACTTTCCTTATTTATTAGATTTACTGTCGAGGGAATTTCCTTCCCACCAAAATGAGAACTTCACTAGGGCAGAGATTTTTGTTTTGATCAGAGGTATTGTGAGCACCTGGGCTTCCCTGGTGGGTCAGATGGTAAAGAATCTGCCTGCAATGTGGGAGACCTGGGTTCAATCCCCGGGTCAAGAAGATCCCTTGGAGAAGGAAATGGCAGCCCACTCTGGTGTTCTTGCCTGGGAAATCCCAGGGAGAGAGGAGCCTGGTAGGCTACAGTCCATGGGGTCACAAAAAGTCGGACAGGACTGAGCGACTAGCACTTTCACTTTTCATGGTGAGCACCTAGAGGACGACTTGACACCCAGTTACGTACCCCATTGTTAGATGGATTGATTAACAAACGAATAAATCTATTTTACTATTTAAAATAAAAGTGAACTAAACCAAAGCTTTGGAGTGACTCCTGATTTCTTGAACAAGGTATGCATGCCATACCTCCATAAGGATGAGTCCTATAACTGGGACTTGGAGGGGAATACAGGTGCAGCTGGGCTGTGAAGATCCAAACCACTCGAAAAACATATTCAGTGAAGGGATGCAGGGGCTCTACCACGTAGGAGAGCTTGGACACGGCCTAATCAATGAGAGATCAAACGTCAGTATTTATGGAATCACTTCTGTATATTGTAACTAAGAGCACAGATTCATTTGTAGATAATGCATGGCCTTCCGGATATGAAGTGATCCAGGACTTCCCTGGGCTCCGACAGTAAAGAATCACCTGCAATACGGAGACCTGGGTACAATCCCTAGGTCGAGAAGATCCCCTGGAGAAGGGAATGGCTACCCACTCCAGTACTCTTGCCTGGAGAATTCCATGGACAGAGGAGCCTGGAGAGCTATAGGCCACGGGGTCACAAAGAGTGGGACACGACTGAATGACTTAGCACACACAGCACAGTTCCTGGCAGACCAGCTGAAAACGAGGCCTGGGGCTCAGAGCTGAGACATCCGGATTTCAGTCCACACAGTTCACACCGAAACTCCTTCCTTCTTCAAACTTGCAAAATTATGGATTCAATTATTTGGCATTTACCTCAAGGCTTTCCTTTCATTTTCTGTGTTAAAATACTTGGTGTCTTGGGACTGTTCTCTGAACCTGCTTTTGCTGTCTTAATAGGGACCCGCCGGGGTGACCTCCCTGACCTCCACCCTCGTTGGCCTCATTTTCAATGGGATGGACAGATAATGACCAATGATATGAGTAGTTGGTTATGTGATGCTGAGTTGAAGGAACAATATCTATATCCAATAATATATTTTCCTCAAAATTAAAAGGTTTAGCATGAAGAGTAGCAAAGACTGAAGTTCAGCGGTTGGTAAAGCATCCACCTGCCAATGCAGGAGACACAAGAGGCACAGGTTAGATCCATGGATTGGGATCCCCTGGAGTAGGAAGTGGCAACCCACTCCAGTGTTCTTACCTGGAGAATCCCATGGGCAGAGGAGCCAGGTGGGCTACAATCCATGGCATCGCAAAGAGTTGGACATGACTGAATGGGCACGCAGGTACATAGGCAGTGGTTCTTACCTCAGTGTAAGTCCAGCTTCCAGGAAGTTGTGTGTATTTCCACTGAATGATGTATTTTACTCCAGAGATGTTGGCCGATTTCCATCGTAATGTCATACCGTGGCTTCCAATGGAAGAAGCAAAGGGTGCAGTAGGGAGGTCTGCATTTTCTGGGGAGAAAACAAGATTTCATTCACCACATCCCATGTCTGCCGACACAGGACAGCGTGTCCCTGCTTCATCTCAGCACACTCCTGCTACATCTTGCCACAATTACTCATCTGAACAGTAACTGATGCCTATAATTCAGTAGGTTTATTTCTTTAAATCAGCCAGTTGGTCTGGCAGCTTTTTTCCCCTCATCCTGCCTGCATGCTTAGTTGTGTCCAACTCTTTGTGACCCTTTGGATGTAGCCCACCAGGCTCCTCTGTCCATGGGGTTTTCCAAGCAAAAATATTGGAGTGGGTTGCCATTTTCTTCTCCAGGGGGTCTTTCTGACCCAGGGATCGAACCTGCATATCCTTTGTCTCCAGCATTGCAGGCAGATTCTTTACCCACTGAGCCATCTAATCTTTGAAAATAGTTTTTCTTACAGGCAAGCAAAATGGAGTGTTCTGAGACTACCTGGTTTTCTCTTGTCATACCACTTCTATATAGTTTAGAGGGGTGGGTGCCAAGGGTATGTGTAGGGCAACAGAACCATCCACTGACCCAGGGCACATATCTCAAGATATTTTAAAATTTTACACTATCTATCTATAGCCCATTGTGTCGAACACATTATTTTTATATGTGCAAGTAACTGTCTGAGCTCCAAAGGATCCTATATTTTGCTCTTTTTTATTGTGAAATATTTCATGACTTTTAAGCATTAGCAACATTACAATTGGTACATGCAGTTATTGGTACTACTTCCCAGACACTGTATAAGTGTTAGAATTCTGAATGCCAGAACCATACTCTTTTGATTATTATAGGTTTGCAATAAGTTTGAAATCAGGGAGTATGAATCCTCCAACTTTGTTCTTTTCAGAATTTGGGGTCACTTGAGATTCCATATAAATTGCAGAATCTGTCTTTCTATCCCATGTAAAACATCTGCAAAAATGTATTTGGAATTTTGATAGGGATTGCATTAAATCTGTAGATTGCTCTGCTAATATTGACATCTTGACAATATACCAAGTTTTTAAATTCATGAATGTGGTGTATCTTTCCATTTACTTGCATTCTTTAATTTGTTTCAGAAATGTTTTGTGAACATTCCACTTTACAAATCATTCACCTCCTTGGTTAATTTCTAAGTATTTTATTGATGCTATTGTAAATTAAATTTTCACCATAATTTCCTTTTCAGATTTGTACATAGTAACGCAATTGATTTTCTAGTTTTAACTTTGTTTCCTGCTACTTTGCCAAATTTGTTTATTAGTTCTAACAGGGTATTTTGTGGTATCTTTGGGGTTTTCTGCATATAAGATCATATCATCTGCAAACGAAGATAATTTTACTTCCACCTTTCAAATTTGGATGCCTTTTTCTTGCGTGGTTGCTTTGGCTAGGACATACACTATTATAGAAGTGGCGAAAGCAGGCATCTTTTCCTGAACTTAGAGGATAAGGTTTCTTCACCACTCTGATTCAGAAGCAAATCAGGATAGCAAGGCAAGATCCACCTGCCAATTTTCATCAACCATTGAAACAAGGACTGTAGCTTATGGAAAAGCCAATCATCTCTTGTTCCGGAAGGAACTGTTTATCTTCCAGTGGGAGGAAAAACTGGGGAATTCTGGAAAAGCTAGCTGCTAACATAGGCTATAGTTTATCAAAGTGTTGATCCTTCAGAAACGACTAGAGAATTAAAACTCTCAGGCATACTGTAATGGTCTTTATCTTTCTGGCTTACTTCGCTCTGTATAATGGGCTCCAGTTTCATCCATCTCATTAGAACTGATTCAAATGAATTCTTACATATATATGGAATTTAGAAAGATGGTAATGATAACCCTATATGCAAAACAGAAAAAGAGACTCAGATGTATAGAACAGACTTGTAGACTCTGGGAGAAGGCGAGGGTGGGATGTTTCAAGAGAACAGCATCGAAACATGTATATTATCTAGGGTGAAACAGATCACCACCCCAGGTTGGGTGCATGAGACAAGTGCTCGGGCCTGGTGCACTAGGAAGACCCAGAGGGATCGGGTGGAGAGGGAGGTGGGAGGGGGGACCGGGATGGGGAATACATGTAAATCCATGGCTAATTCATTTCAATGTATGACAAAAACCACTGCAATGATGTAAAGTAATTAGCCTCCAACTAATAAAAATAAATGGGAAAAAAAAAAAAAACCTCTCAGGCAAAATCTCTTAAAGACACCCAACCTGCTCTGAAATAAGTCAGAGGGAACTGGGGACATATACAGTCAAGCTCCTTACTTACTCCAAATCTAACACTGAGAAGCATAACTTTTACACATTCTGCAAATTTCCCAACATGTTGTAGGGAGCCATAACTATAGAAGGTACTCAGTCAATTAAATAACTGTGAGCTGAGTAATGAAATTCACATTAAATAAAATATTTCTACACTTTCAGTTCATTAAAACAGTGGCATTTCCTGATATCAAGTTGCTCAGGATTCACATTTGTTCCTCTCATTAAGAGAGATGTGATTGCATCCACTGAACTGAGTGCAAAATCTCAAATTCTAAACATGTCATGTGCTGTTTCCCCTCATTTGCTCTGAAAGAAGACTTTTGCTGAGTCTCTAAATATGGATTCCACATTTGAAGTTAATAAAAATATATATTCAATTATATATATAGATAGATATAGATCATACTAAGACATAGAAGTCTAGATATTTTAAGAGATGGCTCATTACCCCTACATTAGGACAGGTACCTGGAGTGGTGTAAATTGTTTTCAATAACAGTTGTGTGAATCTGCTTACCTAGCACTTCCTCTTCATACGCGCCTTCCCCACTGCTGCAGCCAACTTCACAGGATTCTCGCTATGGAAAACAGGTAGCATGCCCATCAGTGCAGCCTTTGTACTGCTTTTGCTCACAAGCTTCAACCAAATTTTGAAATATGAATGCTTGATACATAAGTATACCTGTATATCAAGAATTTGAGCTATAATACTCAAGTCCCCATTTGCTAGTGGGATTAGAATACCTTTCAGTTTTCTTTGACCACGTCCCAAATTCCAAAATACACTTAACAAAACAACTTTTTACACACATACAAGTTGGTGAAAAAGATTGCTGAAACGGTAGTTTTTTCCCTTTTTTAAACAGTTTCATTGAAATATATTTTACATACCATAAAATCTACCCTTTTAAAGCACATAATTCAGAGGTTTTTAGAACATTCAAAGAATTGTAAAATCATCATTACAATCTGAATTTAGAACATTTTCATCTCCAAAAGGAATCCTGAGCTGTGATGCAATCTTACATGTTCTATTCTATGTCATTTTATTTATTGTGACTCTTTATTCAGTAAGTTAATTTCATGACCTTCTAATGGGTGACATCTCACAAGGTGACAAAATACTGAGCTCAACAATGCAATTATATGTTTGCTATCTTAGTCAAACGTTTAGTGAGTTACTTACAACTCTAGCCTAAAATGAGGCCTATTTATTTTATGTATCCATGCCTTCCTTGAAAAAGTAAAAGTGAACTGTAAACTTTAGAGCAACTGAACATTTCAATGAATGTCTTAGGGCCAAAGTTAAATTTTAAGGTCTACAAAAACCTAATGGTGATTAACATCTCAACTCATTAACTGAAAACAGAGTAAACATTTTGGTGGCTGAGACACAAATTTCCTGCAACTTTTAATGTTAACAATTGTTAGGAGGAGAGAAAAAAAGGAGAAAATGCACACGTCATAAAACTACAACACAATCATGACCAATCTTCCCGCTCTCATTCGGTTTATAATTATAACACCTAGGACAACATTCTATTGTTTCCCATGATAATAGGGGAAACCATGACTCAATGCACGTACTCTGAATGTCCAGGTAGAGAAGGGCTGTTTAATTTGCAAATACTCAACTGTCCCATATTTGATCTGTGCTCTCCAAGGAAGTGGAGACTGATAAGCCCAGGTTTGCTTAGTTAAGGATTAAATACCTCAGTCTGGGCTCAGGATAATTTAACTTAAGGGTCTAGTATACTTTTCACATCTTCTTTGAGGTTTCAGTAAAATACACTCAACACATTCATTAACTGCAGAGAATAAATGTACCAAGTGGTGGCAAAATTATCACTAACATGCGATTTTCTTTTCAAGAAAGACAACTGAGGAAGAAGAAAGGAAATGGAATAATGAGTATTTGGTAACACAGCTAGTTCTGACCTATCCAGGAGCTTAAATGTTTTGTTTACTTCTATGAAGCTTGCCTTTTTTTCCCAGCTTTATTAAGATAAATGATTACCACCATAGCATTAGTTAACACCTTCATTCCATCATATAATTACCATTTCTGTTTCGTGATGAGAATATTTAAGATCAACTCTTTAGCAGCATTCAAGAACATAATACAGTGTTGTTAGCTATAATCAACATATTGTACGTTAGATTCCCAGAACTTGTTAATCTCATAACTAGAAGTTTGTACTCCAGAGAGTTTAAATGTTATCTCAAGTGGAGGCAAAGCTGTTGAATAGGATTTTCTTCTTTTGTCTCTCCCTCTCTCTCTTTCTGTGCCTTCCACCCTCTATCTTGCTTCCTCTCTCTCTCTAATCTAACATTAGACTTCAAACGAAGTTATCCAGTGTTTCTCAAACTCAAGTTGCCCTGGAGAGAACTTAAAGGAATTTGGATTTAAGAAGTCCACAGAATCTGAGCCGAAAGCCCTGGATGGGGCATTTATACAACATATCCCAGGTTACTGAGCTGCCATTCCCACTGTGAAAGCCAAGTTCATCCTTCCCAGGGGCTATACCCGTCTGCTCTCTCTGTTCTCGCAGCAGTGAGATCACTATTACCATCATCCCTCTGGCTCCACTCTTGTGTTTCCCTGAGTGTCACACCTGCTGTGGGTGCCTTTTGTTATCCTGCAGCTCAAGAAGGACAGGCCCCACCACCCTCCCTGGATGCCTCTATTGCAGTGTCTCCATATGAATTGTGGCTTCATCTCCTAAAAAGTCATTCACTCAAAAAATATTTACTGATAACTTTTACATGCCAAGCACTGCTTTAGATTTTAAGGCTATGGCAATGTATAAAACCAGTAAGTTCCCTGACTTCATAATTTATATTCTCTTAGAAGAAAATACACAATAACAAAGTAACTAACAAAAAATAGTACGCTTGGATAATGTATTCTTGCCTGGGGAATCCCATGGACAGAGGAGCCTGGTAGGCTATGGTCCAAAAGGTCACAAAGAGTTGGACATGAATGAGGAGACTTAGCACGCACCCATGAGGAAGATAAAAGTCAAAGACATAAGGCATGACCAGACAGGAAGGGGACTAACTTTAGTTAGGGTGGTCAGGAAGAACCATGCAGAGGTGACCATCATGACAAGACCTGAGTGATTAGAAGGAGCTGGCCTTGCAAAAAGCTGGACAAAGGCAAATGCCTTGAGGTAGGAATATGGTGCATAGACTTGAAGATGAGGGAAAGGCCATTATGGCTGGTACAGAGAACAAGGAACAGGAGGCAAGATGAGGTGGATGAGCCAGCAAACACTGGTAATTGGTACTTTTTCTCAAATGGCAATGAGAAGTCATAGAAACGTTTTTAGAACCTTCTAGATTAGGATAACCTAATTTGTGTTCTAAATTATCAGGGATAAGCCATCTCACTTGCTCACATCATTTTCCAAGTTACACCTTGCAAGCTACCACTTCTAAAACTATTCCCTCCAAGAAACACGTGGGCAAATTCCAAGCTTTCTAGGTGGAAGCATTGATGGTCAAGGAGTTCAAATTTCCTAAAGGTGTGAGCAACTGAGTTAAAAATATCTATCTCTATATCTCTCTCTTTACCTCCACCTCTATCGAGCATGTATGACTGTTCAGGTCTACATTATTTAACGTATAAAATAGCAAAATATAATAGAAAAGAATGGAAAATTGCATGTTATAATAGAGAGCGAAGGTTCACGTTACATAAGCGCGAGTGGGCAGCATACTGATGAACAGTGAACTATCGCACTAGAAACCCAGTCCTTGAGAAACAGAGATGCCAATGCAGAGAATGGATATGTGGACACAGGGCGGGAAGTGGGTGGGACGAATGGAGAAAAGAGCATTGATAAGTATACACTGCCATGTGTAAAATAGATAGCTAGTGGGAAGCTGCTGCATAACGCAGGGAGCTCAGCTCTGTGTCCTGTGATGATGTAGACGGGCAGAATGCAGGGAGCGGGAGGAAGCTTGAGAGGGAGGGATATATGTATACATACAGCTGATTCACATTGTTGTAAAGCAGAAATTAACACAACATTGCAAAGCAATTATCCTCCAATTTTTAAAAAATGCTTTAAATTAACAAAGTTTAAAAAAAGAGAAAGAAACCCACTCCTAAACGGCTTGGATGCTTCAGACCCTTTTGCTCTCTCTGGCTTCTAATCGCAATCCTCAAAGGGACTGTTATTTTGGCTGCTGCTTTTGTTTTGGTCACATAAAAGAGTTCTCAGGCAGTTTTTTTTTTTTTTAATCTCATCCAGGAACAAGCTTTAATTGTCTATTTATATAAGGAGCAATTTTTCCTCTTTGTTTTATTTCTTCTTACCTAACTCAAGCACCATTCACTCCCAAGGAAAAATCACTCAGATACAAGGTCACCACAGACTATTGAGAGAATATTCCAATTTAATTTTTTGCTTTTATTTTCTATTCAAAGGAATTTTTTCTATTTTACTAATAAATGATCATCTGTATCTCTTCCTCAGGCAAGATAGGATAGTTCTGTTCTCTGGTTTCAAGGACATTTTAAATAGGACACAGCATAGATGTGAAACTGAGAAATAATGCAGTTTCATCATAAGTACCTATTGTCAAATAAACTAAAATAAATTCTGCAGGGTACAGAATCCTGGACAGGAAATTTTAACTGAAGAAGACTGAAGGAGAAGAAGGTCAGGTGCAGGGGAGAGACCTCCCTCGGGGCTAGAGGAGAGGGTAATCGGAAGACACACCTGGGCAGCCAGAGTCTGTATAAGGTCCCTCAATATCATAGCAAGAAGTAAATTAATTAACTGAAATTTAAATTTTAAAAAGCTGTGTTGTCAAAGGAGTTTGCTGAATAAGGAAGAAGATTGCTACCTAAGAGTACTCTTCTGCGACTTTCCTGGTAGTCCAGTGGTTAAGATCCTGCACTTCCTAGGCAGAGAGCATGGGTTCAATCCCTGCTGTGGAGTATGGCCAAAAGAGAAAATAAATAAACAAATAAGTGAAGGGTCTCTTCGAATGCCCTGTATTTAATGATAACCCACAGGCTTTAGGGGGGAGGAGGTGAAATCAGCAGAGACGAGGGTATCCCCGCCATGCCTTTCCCTCTCTTCCCACCACCCAGGCTTCAGGAATCAGAAGAACCTTTCAAACCAGATTAGAGTAATACATATGTATGTGTGTGAATGCGTATGAGTGCATACATACATCTATGTACATTCATAAATGCATTTTATATATGCACATAGATATATAGAGCACAGCAAATACCTGAGTCAAAGATGGAAATACAGTCATCTTTACACCCAGAGTTAGAGCACTCCTAGGAAGAACATTTCTGTGCACCAAGAATGACTCCACTTTCTTTATCTTTATTTTAACAGCATTTTAAGGATAACAGAGAAAGACGTGGGGTTTAATGACACCTTTTTTGCAAGTGACTGGCACTCACCTCATAAACTGCAGCATAGGTTTCATTCTGCATAGAGGAAAAAGGAAAGAAAAATTACTTAGAATCTTTAAAGTTGTAAATAATTTTATTGACACTCAGCTAGGCATTTCTACCAAATTAATTTATGCCCCACCATTAACAAAATGCTTCCCCAGTGGTTCATCCACCTTCAGTACAGGAGATACAGGAGACTCAGCTTGAATCCCTGGGTCGGGAAGACCCCCTGGAGTAGGACATGGCAGCCCACTCCAATATTCTTGCCTGAAAAATCCCATGGACAGAGGAGTCTGGGGGGCTGTGGTCCAAAGGGTCACAAAGAGTTGGATAAAACCGAGCAATGGAGCATGAGCACACGACAAAATAATCAATAAAGAATAATCAAAAGCAAAAGATTCCAGAGCTGGGCCTTCCGTCCAGGAAGGCCACTCACTGTACAAACTGCTGTAAAAATTATGTTCTTTGCATCACTGGAAAAACAAGGACACATGATGTCTACTAGAAAGTCTCAACTAAACAGTAATCCATGATGGACCAGGTTAGAGAATGAAGGAATGTTGGTAGGTGCCCAGGGAGACAGAATCGGAAATGAAAAGCCACCAGTAGGTCTGGTTAGGAAAGGCCAGAAGATTCTTCTGCCCAACTGGCCACTCCAGCACCCACTCTGCTTCCTGGACTGATTCCCCCAACAAATGGTACTTCTCATTCCCTTACTCGCTCAGTGCAGTCTGAGCACTAGCTACGTGCCCCTCACTGTGTTTGGTGCAGAAGACAGTGTGAACAAGACAGAAGGCATCCTCCCCTGATGGCCCTACATGTCAGCAAAGGATATTAAACATGTAACTAGGCAAATAATGATTCAAACTACCATCTGGACAATGTGCTACCAAGGAGTAGGAAAAGTGTTTTTATTTTTTTGCTTATTTATTTACTTGACTGCCCTGGGTCTTAGTTGCAACACGTGGGATCTAGATTCCCAACCAGGGGTCAAACTACAGCCCTCTACCTTGGGAGTGTGGAGTCTTAGCCACCAGGCCACCCAGGAAGTCCCTGAAAAATGTATCTAGAGTGTGTGATTGTTCACAAGTCCAAACAACACCTGCTCCATCTTTTGGTAACTTCCAGTCTATGAAGCACAGTGTCGCAAGCAGGAGAGTGGGTGTAAGTGACTCCTGTGGCTGAGATCTGTGAGGACACAGTACAAAAACGGATGTGAGGACTGACTATACAGAAGAAGACATTAATACCCTTATTTAAATCTCAATGCTGTAATTTGAGTCATTAATAGAAAATGATATTCTGTGTGCTTAGTTGCTCAGTCGTGTCCAGCTCTTTGAGACCCCGTGGACTCTACCCCGCCAAGCTCCACTGTCCATGGAGATTCTCCATCAAGAATACTGGAGTGGGCTGCCATGCCACCCTTCCAGGGGATCTTCCCAAGTCAGGGACTGAACCCAGGTCTCCCGCATTGCAAGCGGATTCTTTACCATCTCAGCCACCAAGGAAGTTCAAGAAAATGATATTACCTAAAGTTATCATGATCCTAACTAATTTAATCTCTGAACTGAACAAAGCAACCCATTTTTAAATTACAAAACTCTTATCCATGAGATTGAAGTAATTAATTATAGGGTAACAAGCACTATCCTTAGCAGGGATTCGCTTACTATCTTAATTTACCTATTAGGAAAGTAAAGTACCAAGTACCTTAACGAAGTCACACACTAATTGGCAAAGCCAGGATAAATGAAAAATGAAAAAGTATTAGGGAATGTATTTCCTACACGAAGTGAAGTAAACCTAGGTGTGTGTGCCCTCTGGGTTAGACTGCTTCCACATTCCCACAGAGAAACCTTGAACGTGATCTATGTCCCTTCAAAGAGTGTTCTGGCAACACCCAGCATTGCATCACCTGGGAGCATGTTACAAGCACAGAATTTCTAGTTCCCCACACAAAACCCAGTGAATCAGAATCTGCATTTTTAGCAAGATCCCAGATATTTGCATATTAAAATTTGAGAAGTACGGGACTAGGAAATTTAACAAATACTTAACATTCTACTAAAAGGTCACTATAGTTTGGAGCAATTGGTCATTTCTGGCTTCCATGGTTTGCATTAACTTCTCTTGGTTGCCAGTTCACCAGTTGCATTAATAATGTTGATTTGGGGACTTCCCCAGTGGTCCAGGGGTTAAGAATCCACTTTGCAATGCAGAGGATGCATGTTCAATCCCTGGTTGAGGAATTAAGATCTCACATGCCACAGAGCAACTAAGCCCTCACACTGGAACTCCTGAGTTCTCTCCACAACCAAAGAGTCTATGCACCACAATGAAAAATCTCCCGTGATGCAAACCAAGATTCCGTGTGTGCCACAACTAAGACCCCACAAAGCCAAATTAATTAATCAAAAAAAAACAAAACTGATATCATTTTCTCCATTACTCCATTTCCATTATGTATTACTCATACTTTTGCTTTCGAGTCAAGCAAGCTAATTAAAAGCCAGTGGAAACTCAAATGGGAATCCTCATGGAGAATGATTCTCTTGAGGGAAACATTCATATCAAAACAGAAACATAGTTAATACTTACACACTTTAAGGCACAGTTTTCCTGATCTGCTGAATTCCAGAAATGACATCCTTGGATGCACTATAAGAGAAAGAGATGATGATGACTGAAGAAGTGTGATTTTTCTAGTCACCTGAAGTGCAAATAGCAGCAAAGTGTTCCTGGAGTAGAAATGTATCTACCAAGGAATCTGTGGCCTCCCAGCGATCAGGACTTCTGAGACTCTAAGCAGAGCCGTCGTATTCGCAGAGAGGAGGGCTTGGTGTGGCTCGGGGTTGCTGAGTGGAGCCTAGCCTGGGGCGGGCAGGCCTAGATCCCAGGGAGCGATGGACTGTCTGGGAACACACTGTCCCCTGGATGCTTGGGGCAGGGGAAGTCCAGGACCCCATGGTGTCAAGCACATCATTTAAGTCTTTGGGGTGTGTCGCGCAACAAGCAAAACCTAAAGCTGGAGACTCAAGCAAAACCTAAAGCTGGAGACTCAAGCAAAACCTAAAGCTGGAGACTCAAGCAGAGGCAGCACATCAAAACCAAGGTAGGTGGATAATTTGGGAAGTCGGCCGCCCTGACCTCCCACTGGACAGATTCAGCTGGGGCCTCCTTACCTAGTTTGTCTGTGCCTGTGATTGTGTGGACCATTCAGTCCAAGCCACAATAACACCTAAATCGCCTTCCCCTTTTCCTCAGTTCCTTCTGCTCTGCCATCTCTTCTTTCCTCTCCTTTTTCTTTTCATGTCTATGTCCTATCCTCAACTTATTCCCTTTTCACACTTCAGGTTTTCCAAGACTGAGCTCACATCCCTTCTCAGTATCAACCATCTGAACTTGAACTTCAGCGGAGACCCCTTCCTGAGCTCCAGACCCAGATATCAATTGTTTGTTAAATAGCTCCATTTGAGTCCCGACAAACACCTCAAATACCGGAGTGAGTTGCTATTTCCTCCTCCAGCGGATCTTCTCTATCCAGGGGTCGAACCCGTGTCTCTTACATCTCCTGCATTGGCATGCAGGTTCTTTCCTACTAGGGTCACCTGGGGAGCCCCCCATTCAGCATATGAAACATCAAATTCCTCCCTTTGTACCCTCGAATTTGCTCTCTCTCCTGTGTTTTCCATTAATATGCTTCCATCTTCTGAGCTGCCTAAGCCAGGAATCAAGCAGCTTCTCCTCCTTTCACTGCCTTCCCACCCCATCCTCATGGACAATCCATCACCAAGTTCTACCGATTCACTTCTTTGTTTCCTGGACTCTGTCTCCATTCCTTGCTCGCTCACTGTCCTTGCTTTTCTGGGCCCACCACCACTTGCTAACAGCTTCATGAGGGACAACAAAACCTAATCATATCCTTATCCTATCTAAAACCCTGTGTGTCATTGAAACCAAATATTCCCAACATGGCATACCGAGCTCTCCGCCATCTGGCCCCACCTAGCTTGTCAGCCCAGTCTTCTCCGTCCTGTCTCTGCACATGCACACTCCCCCAAGCAAGCTAAAGTACCCCTCCTTTTCTGCACAACTCAGCTGTCTCAAACTTTTGGGTCTAGACACAAAGGGCTCCCTCTGACTAGTGTACCTTCCCCTCCAGTCCTTCTAGAAAACTCTTCATTTTTCTAGTTTTAGCCATGCAAGACCTGCAGGCAAGCAAACTGCTTTTCCTCCTGCGTATTATTCTTTCTCCTGCCACCCACTGCTCTTCTGACTCTCACAATGCTGTCTGGCTATGATTTTATGCACATGTCTGTCTCTCCTACAAGACTGTGAGTCCTTTAAAACAGAGCCTCTATTTTACTCATTCTTAAGTCTCTACTACCCAGCACAGTGCCTAGTTCATACCTATACTTGGAGTCACCAAACATGTATTGTGTAAATGGATACAGGCGCAGGAAAGAAATAAGACCATAAATGTAACTGATAGAGGAAAGAGCAGACACTGTCTAATCCAATCCTCTCAGAATACCCATATTTTAGTAGTTTTAACTACATCTCAGAAATTTTAAGTAATTTGGCCAAAGCCACATTCATCGGAAGGACTGATGCTAAAGCTGAAGTTCCAATATTTTGGCCACTTCACGCAAAGAGCTGACTCATTAGAAAAGACCCTGATACTGGGAAAGATTGAAGGCAAGAGGAGAAGGGGATGACAGAGATGGTTGGATGGATGAGATGGTTGGATGACATTGCTGACTCAAAGGACATGAATTTGAGCAAGCTCTGGGAGTTGGTAATGGACAGGGAAGCCTGGCGTTCAGCAGTCCATGGGGTCGCAAACAGTAGGACAGGACTGAGCGACTGAACTGAACTGAACACAGCTAGGTATAATCAAAATCATGGTCTTGTCTTAGTCCTATGTTCTTTCCACTTCAACACACTGTCCCTGAACTCATGTTTGAATAATCTGTGATGCAGACTTCTCGCTATTTTCCATCCAGCTTCCTCCATCGGGCACAATTAAATGAGCTTTTACTTAGGATTCATTATTACGATAATCAAACCTGACTTTTGTCCCTTTTTTATCAATGCAAACACTGTAAAGTCCCGGGCAGTGGAAGCAATTACTCACTGGTTCACTCAGATTGTGAGGTGTGCCGACATCAAGCTGTCTGCCCTGAAATGAAGAAGGAGGGAATGAATATCTTATCAATCTTGTGTTCGGTATAACTACCACAACTTGAAAAAAAGAGCTTCCTTTTTTTGCCTCTCCAGTGTTTTCTAACTGTAAATTAAGGAGCCAAATGTTTTAAAGTCATTAAATCAGTCATAAAACCAGACAAGACGCCTCTGCAAGTTAACAGGAATACCTTGGAGATCCCACGAGTTTGGTTCCAGACTACTGAAACAAAGGAAATCAACAAATTTGGGGGCTTCCCAGTGCATGTACAAGTATGTTCACACTACACTATAATCTATTAAGTGTGCAATAGCACTGTTTTTTAGAAAAAGTACATGCTTTAATTTAAAATGTTTTATTGCTAACAAATGCTAACCATCATGAAACAACACAAGGTTATCACAAATCTTCAATTTGTAAAAAAACCACAATATATGCAGAGTGCAATAAAACAAAGTGTGCCTGGATAAGATGAAATGCCTAAGGATTCTGTAGAAATAATAAAAGTGGGAGTCAGGTATGACAAAAACCACTACAATATTGTAAAGTAATTAGCCTCCGACTAATAAAAATAAATGGAAAAAAAAAAGTGTGAGTCAGGATGTAGCTGAAAGAAGTAGTTAAGAACAATGGGGAGATATAGTATTAAATAAGCCTGTGACATTAGTCTATCAAGGACTCCTGGATTAGAGATGAATTACGTTTGCATTTCTCTTTTTTAAAAGTGACTAAAACAACAATTGACTGCATTTAATTAACATTATATAACAAACCATACAAAAAAATGCATTCATGTTCTAACCTAAATCTGTATACATTTGTGTTCATGACACATAAGGTAAAAGTGTGAATAACAGCTGCCGTAGGCAAGATTTTTTCAAGATGTAGCTCTTCCTCGGGTTTCTATGCTTATTATTTTGGATTTGTTTTTATAATGTGAAAAGCTATTTTCCTCCATCCAAGAAAGTACTTCTTATACAAACATCATTAGTGCCCTTGGATCCAGAATTAAGAAATGGAAAAATAAAGTCATAAACTAAACAGACTATTTGACCATGAGGTTAATAACCTGAAGCCCAGAGACAACTTGATTTTTTTCCTTATAAAGTCTCATGTACTAATATGAACAGTGTTTCTTAATTCTCATGGCTATGCAATGTGTGTGTGTGTGCATGCATGCTCAGCCATGTCTGACTCTTTGTGACCCCATGGACTGTGGCCTGTTGGGCTACTCTGTCCATGGGATTCTCCAGGCAAGAATACTGGAGTGGGTTGCCATTTCCTCCTCCAGGGCATCTTCTGAACCCAGGGATGAGACCCACATCTTTTGCATCTCCTGCATTAGCAGGCAAGTGCTTTACAGCTGAGCCATTGGGCTATGAAATATTTGAGGTTTATATGCCCAGTCACTCTCCAACTCTTTAGCAAAGAGATTTTCAGAGTTCTGGAAACAGAGGAGTTAATGGAATGGCATTACCACTAAAAGATTTATGCTAACCAGGTGTTTGGGTTGCTTGAAAAGTACACCATTTAACATACAACATTTCTGTTGTAAATACTGTACCACCAGAAGACAGCTTAAACAGTTTTGTATAAAGCTATGGTGTAAAAAATTAGTGTTTGCGTGCAAAGTCAATTCAGCCATGCCGGGCTGTTTGAGACCATATGGACCATATCCTATCAAGCTCCTCTGTCCATGGGATTTTCCAGGCAAAAATACTGGAGTGGGTGGCCATTTCCTTCTCCAGGGGATCTTCCTGACCCAGGGATCAAACCCACATCTCTTAAGTCTCTTGTATTGCCAGGTGGGTTCTCTGTCGCTAGTGCCACCTGGGAAGCCCTGGAAGCCCCCCAAAATAGGGATAATGAAAAAACATTGTACTCAACTTTACTTGAGTAAATTGACAAGCACATGATTTGGAGAATGCCACAATGCCCTTATTACTAAGGTCACTTAAATTGTCTCATACAGAGATGAAGATGGTATCAGGAGCTTTAAAACATGAACGTAGAATATGCATACCAGAAATGGATTAATGACTATGCTAATCAGACATACAATTATATGTGTCATGCAAAATCTCAAAGTACCCCAAGGTTACAGAGGCCAATACCATCATCACCTTAGGGTCCTTTGAATGATTTTTTCCACGTGACACATATAATCATAGTTCTACATTGGGAAAAAGAGTACATCAAGGCTGTATATTGTCACCCGGTTTATTTAACTTATATGCAGAGTGTATCATGCAAAATGCCAGGCTGGGTGAAGCACAAACTGGAATCAAGATTGCTGGGAGAAATATCAATAACCTCAGCTATGCAGATGACACCATCCTTAAGGCAGAAAATGAAGATGAACTAAAGAGCCTCTTGATGAAGGTGAAAGAGGAGAGTGAAAAAGCTGGCTTAAAACTCAACATTCAAAAAATGAAGATCATGGCATCCAGTCCCATCACTTCATGGCAAACAGATGGGGAAACAATGGAAACAGTGACAAACTTTATTTTCTTGGGCTCCAAAATCAGTGCAGATGGTGATGCAGCCATGAAATTAAAATACACTTGTTCCTTGGAAGAAAAGCTATGACCAACCTAGACAGCATATTTAAAAGCAGAGACATTATTTTTCCAACAAATGTCCATATAGTCAAAGTTATGGTTTTTCTATTAGTCATGTATGGATGTGAGAGTTGGACCCTAAAGAAAGCTGAACGCTGAAGAATTGATGCTTTTAAACTGTGGTGTTGGAGAAGACTCTTGAGAGTCCCTTGGACTGCAAAGAGATTAATTCAGTCAATCCTAAAGTAAATCAGTCCTGAATATTCATTGGAAGGACTGATGCTGAAGCTGAAACTCCAATACTTTGGCCACCTGAGGCGAAGAACTGACTCATTTGAAAAGACCCTGATGCTGGGAAAGATTGAAGGCAGGAGAAGAAGGGGATGACAGAGGATGAGATAGTTGGATGGCATCACCAACTCAATGGACTTGAGTTTGAGCAAGCTCCTGGAGTTGGCAAAGGACAGGAAAGCCTGGAGTGCTACAGTCCATAGGGTCGCAAAGAATCAGACACAACTGAGCAACTGAACAACAACCACATATAATTACATTCGTGATTTAGCATAGTGATTGGCACAGTCATTAATCTGTGGCTTATACCATCACTGGGCTTCCCAGCTGGCTCAGTGGTGAAGAATCTGCCTCCCAATGCAGGAGATGCAAGAGACGTGGATTCGATCCCTGGGTCAGGAAGATCCTCTGTAGGAGGAACTGGCAACTCACTCCAGTATACTTTCCTGGAGAACTCCATGGATAGAGGAGCCTGGCCACCTACAGTGCATTGAGCCTCAAAGAGTCAGACCAGACTAAGGGACTAAGCAGGCATGCACACACATACAATCATACTCAGAGACTTTGACTTTGTCTGAATAATGAGCTTAACCTGTTAGTTATTAAAAATCCTGCCTGTTTGGGAAAATTATGGTTTTTCAGATTTATAGTCATGAGCTTTTTTTTATACAAACTAACCACTAAAAATGGGGGCTGGGGGAAGCTTTTCATGAAATAAGCATTATAGGAACTAAGTTCTGGGTCAAAAACTACAGTGATTCACAGGAGCGATTTCCTGGAGTTTCATAACTTTTCCATGAAGGGATTTACATATGTCCAAAAGAAGCCACTGCTGAAACTGTTTTTTTTTCCCCCTTGGGGCAGAAGAGAGGCAGGGAGCAGTGATTAAGGGGTTAGGGTGTGCTGTTTTCAGTAAGCAGTGAAGTAACTGTGTCTGTTCATGGTTACAGAGCCATCGTGCTTTTTGTTTACTGGGTCAATATGTTGTTGTCATGTTAACTTGCATCTCAGCCGATCACGAAAGTTGCCTCACAGAAGGTTTTAATCAAAGCAGCCAAACCAACAAAATAGGACATCCTGTTTCAAATTACACCCTCAACCTCATTTTGAACTGCTGCTTTTTCAAGAGATTTGGCAAAATTCATAAGCCACTTAGCAAAGTGTTCACATTTGATGAAGCCATTTTTATATAAAAATAATTTTCTGCCACCCAGTCTTCTAAAATGTCAACTATCCATAGTTAAATGAAGAGTAGTGCTACATTTTCAATCAGTCTGCCATGAAGACTTAAGGCACAGAGTCTAAATGTGTGCTCCTATTTAAAAGATGTCCTGACTCATATCTCTATAACTTGGACGCAAATCTTCAAAAAAATTAAACATTTTTTCCATCTTTTTCAGCTTCTCATAAACATAAGGGCCATCAACCTTGTTTCATATTTAAGCTTTTGAGTATCTGTATCCATCTTCCTTTCACATTGCTTGAGTATAACAGACAAAACAACTCGTATGTGACTACTAGAGCCTGTCACTGTAAAATGAAACAGAATACCACCCATTGTCATCAAGAGTTACTAGATTCCCACCAGACTCCCCTGGGACTCCACCCTTCTGCTGTAGGGGGCATGGGTTCAATCCCTGGTGTGGGAACTAAGATCCCGCATGCTGGGCAAAAAGAATTATTAGATTCCCATCTGGATTTCCCATGAATCACCAAGTTAGCATACAATCACAACCCAGAAATTTCTAGATTGTTCACAAATAGTACAATAGGTCAAGCCTGGTGCAGGTTTAACAGCATTTTGATTGAAGACCATCCTATTTTCATTCATATAGTCATGGCCTCAACATTTTTTGCTGATGGTTCATTGAAGCCCAGGGTTTTTTTCTTAAAACAAACAAAAACTAAAGTCTCATTTTTCTCATAGACAGATATGAGATTGACATTAATTCTTAAAAGCCCAGTGTGCAAACATTCAAGACTTTACACAGAGGCAGTGTGTTGCATACATGTGAGCAAGCAAGTACAACTGCTGCCATGTGACAAGTTACGGATCGGGTCTTCTAACCCTACCTCATGGCACATGGCATTTTTCTTTTTTTAAAAGCAGTCTTATTAAGAGCAAAGGGAAATAAATTCAGAATT